AGGTAGGGCTGGCAATCAGTGTCGGGTTCGGATTGATAGGTCGAGTTGAACCCGAACCCGAAAAAAATATAGTGAACCCGAACCCGATCTGTTTAATTATACAGGTCGGGATGGTAAATCCTAACCCAACCTTTTAAAAATCAGGTCAACCCGACTCGACCTGTTTAACCCGAAAAAAAAAATCAAAACAATCATAAAGCACAAGGACAATCTAAACCAAAATTCAAATCGAGAATCCGCCTTACTACAGATTTTAATAGCATAAAGTCCATAAAATCTTAAAACTACAGATTCCAATAACCTAACTTCATTAGTAATTTAGTACTCAACTTGGTCATCATTCCACCAACAGTTTTAATTCCGAGGATAAGAGGAGCCACATCCAAAAGTAGGATATCTGCAAAAAAAAGAATAGCTCCTCCTTGAATTGCAGCACCATAAGCAACTTCAAAATGACTCCAAATTCAAATGCACATTTCAATTTTGAGAAGACCCATCAATACCGTTGCCTAAATAAAGGCTATTTTGACCAAATTCATGAGCCAAAACCTCTAAAAATACTTATTTCATTTTTCAACAAACCCATGTATAAACGATCGATAAAACTAAAGTGAAAAATGGAAGAATGGAAGCTCTTATGTGTCGGGGCGCCGCTAAGAATGAAAAGAGAGACTGAGAGAGTAAGGGATTGAAGTAAAAGGCTGAAAATAGTATATATAGTCCATAGATTAGGGTTAAGTTGGAGATGAAATTCCCAAAATACCCAAAGAAAATACATAAATTACATATTCGCCGATAACCCGAATAACCCGGTGGATTGATCTGAACCCGACATGTATAATAAACGGGTCCAAATTAACCCTAATCCGACCTGTTTAATATACGTGTTGTGTTCGTGTCGGATCATTTCGTGTCGGATTCGTGTCGAAATTCCGAGTCGTGTCAGAGATTTCCAGCCCTATAGGATGTCTTACTATTATATTGTAATTAGATCCACCTTTTCTCCCTAATAGCTATAGCTTTTTTTCCTCCATCAAAAAGCTAATGTATTGAAGTAGTGATTTGCCATTTAATTATGCTACTAATTGGAGCAAATGTTCTCGAATAGAATTATAGAAGAGTGAAGAAGACACCGAGTAATTGGTAATCTTTTCACTATCTGGGCAAATTTGTTTTTTGGTGCGTGTGACATTAATTGCATCAAGTAAATAATTTGTACAACAAATGAAGATCAAATTAAAAAATCAGTTCATCGTATTGTTACTTTATTTTCTTAAAGTTAAATGGATGATTTAATTTGATAATGTTCCATCTATGGGTTGTGAAAAATATTCCAAAAGTATTTACATCCTCTAAATTTATAAGAAAGCATCCTTGCATTACCATTAGAATTGAAAAATCACAAAATTAAAATGGATCAACTCACCTTTTTTTTACACTTCCATGGAAGAAAAGAATATGAAAACAAGGAACCACGAGACAGTATTATACAAAAACTAATTTTGATCTTTTAGTTTGTTAATAAAACTTCCCACCTTTATAAAACTTCTGTAATTACGATCTGTTATGATCTATATGTTATTTAAATTTTCACTGTATAAGAAATCATTTAATAGAAAAAATAATAGTCGATTTGGAATCGTCCTAGTAATATTATAACGTCTAACACACAGCAGAACTCAATTGAATTTCATTTTTCACCTCATATAAGAATTGGATCGCGACCGGGTATGGGTTTTTTTTAGATTATGGGTTTTAACGCATTAAAAACTAGCTAATACGGGAGAAAGGGTTTACTTTTAGCTTTTTTTACTCAGATAAAAGCAGTGTTCGGGTTTGTTTGAAACATCACTTAACATTTCTCCACTGAAAAGTAAGAAGCAGATCATAATGTCCACCCCCCACAACCGCCACCGCCTTTTACCGAAAGGCCGCCGCCACCTAGCCCCTTCCCCGTCATTGGCTACCCGCCTCTCAGCTTACCACCACCGCCCTCCGCCGACAGCGCCGTGCCTCCGATTCTCAAAAAAATCTTGATGTTTCTCATCGTATTATCTGTTCTTCTGGCGTGTGTTTCCAGGGTTATCTGGATGTGCCGTACTCGCAGTAGGGAAGAACCGGATGATGGACCCGACTTTGCAGGTGGTTTGGAAATGCACGATGAAGTCCAGAATATCTGAAGTGATGAAGTGAGAATATATAGCATACCCTGTTTTGTGATTTGTGCAGGGGTGGCTCACTATTTTTGGAGGCCTAAAACAAATACGGAATTGAATCTTTTAAACATTGAAAAACTAAAAAAATACATAATAAATTATTACGAAAATATAAAAAAGTTTGCTTGATATATTCATTTAAAAATTAAAATTTTTAGATGTTACTATATGACACCGCAAGTTTAAACAGTATTTTTATTCAATTTTTCTTTAAGGTTTTGTGAAAAAAACAAACGATCTTTTTTTCACGTAAAATGTACGTGAATTGACCGCAAGACATCATGTGTCCATCATAAAAGTTTGATTTGAGTCTTCCGTATCATGTGATGTTCTTGTAAATTTACAAAAATTTAAATTTTACATGGACACACAATACCGGTCGGTCGATCCACGTGCATCTCAAGTGCAAGTAGTTGATCATTAATTTTTTCACTAAATCTAAAGAGAAAAGTAATAGAATACTACTTAAGTTTATGATATCATATAATAACGTTTAAAATTATAGCTTTGAACGAATATAGTAAACACTTTTTGGTATTTTTTGGAAGAATTTATTGAAAAATATAAATTTATAAACTACTTCTATTTTAATTAGATTTGTAACATTGAGCAGTTCTTTTGGTTGCTGGATAAATTGCGAGTTATTATAATTTGTAAATATTGAGAAATTCTTTATTTATTTATTTTATTTATTTAAATAGGAGGATTTATTTGTTGGATATAACTAAAAATATTAAAAAGATTTTTTTTTTTTAAAAAAAAAGAACTCGAAATTTGCAGAGTTTGAATTGGGATTGAAAATTTGTAATTTTTTTAATTTATGAACCATAGTCTATTTTCTTCATTTTAATTTTTTAAAGTAATATAATAATATAAATTTTTAAAAATTTGGGGTTCCCAAAATGGGGCCCTAAAGCCATTGCTTCATTGGCTTTTTGGGAAGGCCGCCCCTGGTTTTGTGGATTTTGGGGATACTATTACTCTCTGTTCCAATTTGCATTGGAGTTCTAATGTTCCATTTGCAGTTACTTTGTGGAGAAATGAAGTTGCATTTGTTATCAACAATGTAACCATTATACACCAGATTTAGTCAGGTATTAACGCTCATATACAATGGTTAGTACTGTTACAAGTCTGGGAGAGTGAAATGTGTCCCTCATTTTGCGCACATTCGCTACATTTGGGCCCTAAATATGCTGTGTGAGATTTATGTCTTGAGTTCGTACAGCACCGAGTCACAGTGATTTATGCAGTTTTCCTTTATCGTCTGTTGTTTTCATTCACCTGGCTCTACTCTATTAGATTACATGGGATCTGCTGATAATTAGTATATAAACGAGTCAAAATTGCACTGCGTGGAGGCATACTGGACTGTATTTTGCACCTCTTCCCAGGAAAATGCTGAGCTTAACTCTTGAAGCAAAATCCCTAATAAGTCAGTCACACTTGGCCATGAAAATAGATTTTATCCTTTACTGTCAGATCAAAATCAACAAGCAAAAGCGCAGTGTAGAATTGAGAAACAATGTGAATTTGTTGAAATGTGCAAGATGTCCTTGAAGGTGAATTTGTTGAAATGTGTCAATATCAAACGACGAATAGAAGTGCAGCAGAAGCCTCTATATTATTATTGGGAGTCGTTACAGTAATGTTAAACTTAGAAACATGAAAATTTGCATCCAGATTCTGGATTCAGATTCAATTTAGTGCAGAGGTATTCTGTACCCAAAAATCAAAAGTAGACTCGATCTTTTGATTCACAAATCACTGGTTCATAGCGATATTGTTCAGTAGTCTATTGCCTCAGTCTTTTCTTTGGAGCCATAATTATGCAACTATCAGTTAACATTTGTATCTGGCTCTAGGAAATTCATTACAGTGGCAATAGAAAGTTCAGTTGTTTTTCTTTCCTTGCAGATAACAAGGCGGCGACGGCTCTCAACTCCACAGTATTTTCTCCGAAAATGTAGTTACTGTCATCTGGGAATTTCTTTCGTATTGCAGCCATAATGATACTCCAAAGAGTTCCAGTTGCTTGTGTTTCTTACATCTCATGCAAAATGATTACTAACGTTACCAACATGGAAAAACTGCATCACTTTGCTTTCCATGTTTGTGAGTTCTCGTGTAAGTCCTGATCCGCGTTTAATTTTCACATGCTATTAATCTGCACCATTAAGTTGGATCAATCCTTCGTGTACGTACTCGGATTAGAGATTCATAGGGTCAACGTTAAGAACTATTACTACTGCATTAATTTGCGAACCTCAAAACTGGATTGAGACACTTCTGATTAGAAATAGATGGGGTATTAGAGAAGAAACACTTCAAACTCCGTCTACTTCCTCTGTGAATATTTCTCGATACAAAACCAGCAATTTCCTTACTCCAGCACTTAGACTAGCAAATACATAATCCGTTCTGAAATTATTGTTCAGTTTTGATTTTTCTTTTAGCTCAAAGTATATTAAAAGTGAAATCCCAAACTGAAAAATTGTTTTGTGACAGAGGGAGTAGCTAAATACAGAATCTGTGATGAGTTTTGTTAGTTTGTTATTTTGTACTTAATAGGTTTAAATCAGTTGTCAGCACCCATTGAGCATCTCGTTTACGAACAGATCTAGTTACCCTTTTCTAACTTGTAAAAGGAAACAAACATTCTAACCCAATACTAATCAAATATGAAACAAGATCGGAACCTGCCGGGGAGTCCAACCTTAAACCTAATCGAAGCAAAATGTTCATTTAGTTTGTAGACCCCACTTAGTGATAATAAAGATTGTAGTTGTTTTGAGGAATCATTAATTCAACATTAGCTTTCAGTTCGACGAATCCTTTCGTTTCCTTAAACTACTTGGTTCAGACTTCAGAGTTCAGACTTCATAATCCACATTGTTTTCACTTATTTAATCAACCATACTTTTTTTTTTTGGGGAAGCCATGAACAACCGACTATTTAAATCTCTGTGTTTTTAACTCACACAAGACACTGTTTAAGTTGTGTTGGATGACAATCAAGTATACTAACTTGGTCATAATCTTCTTCTCTACCTCTTTCATATCAAGTAAACCCACCGCATGCAATACTTCACGATGGTAACTCCAACAAATGATTTCATTACTTTAAAACAACGGCATCAACAACAAGAAGCAACAACAAAGACTGGTTTTCTCAATATATGAGATAAATGTAGATCCACCCTATAGCTATAATAGAGATTTAAGCCCTTGCCTTCATGGTAAAAATGAATATAGAGAAAAATGACTTCATACTTTTTTAAGGTAGTATAAAGCAGATCCAAGATATATAGAGTATGCTAAGAGACTGAAAACAGTAATAGGAAAATTTAACCCACATGGCAAGTTCAAAGTCAAAGTACATTTAAGAAGCGAAAAACTAGCCTGACTTAGATACAACTCCCAAACCAAATCACTCATCAAACTCATGCATATGGTCTAACAGATAATTTGCAGCCAGCTCCTCATTCTTGTTGCATGCAAAAAATACTTCCAACACCAGAGCTCGGTCAAAACCCATAGCTTCAAGCTGCACAAATCGCATTTCAACGCAGTAAGTCTTTAATACAGTAAAATTACATGTCCAACTATCAAAATAACTCGTATGCAAGTGTTCTGAAAATAACCCAAACGGAGAGGAAAGGGAAAACACATTATCAGCAGAAAACTTCAAAGCAAAAGTTTGTATGAGCTCTCATCTACTATTTTAACAAATCTGTATTCCTAAATTGCCCTTTTATCTGGTGACTTCCCCCTCCCTTCCCTCTAAGAACTTAATAAAAATCAGGGGAAAAATTATTTATCTTTCATTGGATAATAATCAAGCAGTGCCTCGACCACCTTCTCGCTAGTATCAGTTGGAAGCAAAGCCTTAAAAGAGCTTAAACTCGACACGGCACAAGGGAATGTGAACCATCAAAGAGCACTCTCAATAGAACTATTTATAAAAAGGAAAATGATATATCTAGTGAAAAAAAATAGTGAAAAAAGATAGTGAGTGATGTGGCTTATTCTTGGCCCCTAGTTTTTTGCCACTTTCCCGTTAAAATTTTATCATTCCCTAAAAAATTACATTTTTACCCTTCATTAATAAATGCACATATTTAGTGAGGATGGCGTATTTGTCTTTTCATTAGTCACTATACTTTTTCACTATAATTAGTCACTGTCTCTATCGTTGCTCTTATAGAAAATAGATCAAACCACATCAAGTAAAACTAGAGAGGATATAACGAAAGCATACACGTTCAATTGCCTCGCGTTCCTCAGGTGTAACAGAGACCGCCTGTGGCATTGCATCAGCCAGTTGCCCCAATATCCTAAAAGGGTATCATAATTAAGAAACCAGTTAAATAAAATGGTTCTTAATTGGTTTATGAACAGAAAAATAGAATATTTAGAAACAAGAAAGAATCATAACCACAGCTAAAGATCTCACCCTTCTCCTTCAACCGGTTCATTTATTAGGCGCAGGAAGTCAGCCTGATGCTCCTGAATGAGCCGCATCAAATGCGGATTTTGCTTTCCCAGCTCCTGCAGCATGGGCTGAAACACAAGAGAAGTTACCACAGATGCTTCACTAACAAAAAAAAAAAAAAAACAAACAAACAAACAAACAAACTTGCCCAAAATTGATACCTGCAGAATTTGAGGATTGGCTTGTACCATTGCGCGCAAAGCTTGAAACTAGAAATGCAGATTAGAAATAAGAATTTGCCACCCCAATAAAATATGGAGGATAAAAAGCACTTATGAATACCTGTTGACTATTGCGAAGAAAATCCAAGGTACCAGCACTAGCGTTTGAACCCACACTTGGAAGCCCCTGATCCAACATTAACACAGGTCATCATATAGTTCTTTTTCTCAGACTACATTTCCAGAATTAAGCAGCAGCCCTTTCAGTAAATTCAATCTTCCAAAGAATATGCTCCATACCTGTGGAAAAAGATCCAAAGGATTTGCATTAGGTCCACCAGAGAGAACTGCCCCCTGGGGAGCGGGAGCTGCTGGATTCACTGCCTGCCCACTTGCAGGAGCCTGCGCAGTCGGTGAGGCTGCGGGTGGGGCCACTGGAGGAGCTTCAGCCACTTCAGGTATACCCTAAACAAATACAGGCGATAAGGAAACAAAGTGAAGATAAAAAAAATATAAATAAAAATAAAAAATAAGAATTTAAAGATGACAAAACTTCAAATTGCAGCACAGAAAACAAGAGTATGAGCAACATAGCTTCACCACTCCACAAACTACTTCATCAAACAGAATGCTCTCTTGGAGTACCAACCAATAAACTCATCTTATATTGCAATAATAGCAAAATGCAAAATCCAGCAATTATATTCAGCAGATTAAATTACTAAATTGGAACCATCAGCTTGCTCTGTTGTCTATAAATGAAGGACATGGTGATGATCAAAAGCGAAAATCTAACAATCATCTTTTTTTTTCTTTCAAATAAAAATGTCAATTCAAAATCACAATAACTGAATAACATTATAATGCTCAAACAAGATAAAGATACCGGCAAGAATTTCTGGTAAATTAAAAGATAAAGAACAAGGATGCAAACTCCTCCCCACCATCATAAGAGGTGTCCAAACTAATGTGAAGTACTCACAGAATAAAGGTACTCGACAGCTCTCTCTGGATTATTAAATGCAGCCCGCAGAGCACGAACCACTGTGTCCCGATCCCAACTCCCTCCACCCATGTCAAGAATTTGTTGAACAGTATTCTCCAGGGTACTTCCAGCTACAAGGTTTGACGCTGCCTGGCCATAAACATCTGAACTGGGACTGGTAGGACAGGTAAAGGAGAAAAATTAATTGCCATTTTCTTCTTTTTTTTGGACAATTCCAACTAAGGAAGTAACAAGATTGTGTAAAAGGCTCACGTAGCAGATGCAGCAACAGGAGCAGGAGCAGGAGCAGGAGCAGCAGCAGCAGCAGCAGGTGCCGGAGCTGGAGTTGACTCAGGAGCTCGCGGACTACAGATTGCAAAGTTAAAAGTAAGTATTTCAAACATAGGGGGAGAAAATCTTCCACACTTTGATATCTTTGTAGCAGCCAAGTACATAGGACTTACATTATTATACTCTCAGCCGGAGCTTGAGGTGCTGCCACTGGTTGAGTTGCCTGAGCAGCAGCTGTAGGTTGCGCCTGCAGAGGGGTAAATTTCACCAAAGCTTTAAGAAACTTCAAAAAACGAGAGCTCAGATTGAAATACCAAAAAGCCTCACCCCTGTTTTTCCCCTTCTAAGAGACTTGGAAAAAAATTACTTCCATATTCTGAACAAACAGAGATATCTACATTCCAAAAGAAAAGGAGAATCTAGAAATACTAAACAAACACCATCAATGCATCAGTTTTTAACAAAAGAGCAAATTTAAGGGCAGACACGCCTTGAAGAGACATGCTCCACTAAGAAACAACTGCCACTGGAGGTAGTACTAATCCTCTCCTTACTAGCAAAACAGAAGATAGGAGTAGTATTTTCCAATTCAACCTCCCCGATTAAGAAAAAATATCTATCTTTCACATAGATATCTAGCAAATATATGTCCTTCGACAAATTTCCCATTCTGGTGTGGAATCAATTAATTAACTTTCCCTAAGAAAATCACTTTGAAAATAATTGTCAGTACAGTTTTCAACGAGCTCAGGAGTTGGAAATAGGTATATACCACATTTGATAATTGAAATTCACAAAATATCAACAAAATGATGCCAGACTGCCTAAGCCAAAAAGTGTGTGAGTTAGTAAGATAAATTCTAAATGACTACAAGAAAAAGAACAGATCAATGACTGAACAGACCAATCTACTTGCTTTACTAAAAACGGAAACAACAATGATCTGGGTGATCAAAATATCAGACATTAATAAGGTTGAGAAGATTTGAACTCACCGAACTAGTCCCTGATGCAGTTGAGCTCCCACCAGTTGCAGCCTTCTACAAGCATTTAAAGGAACATAATCAGGATAAAAAACTAAATGAGTTACTGTTTGAGACGATCGTGAACTAAATAAGTATGAGTTACTGTTTGAGATGATTGTGAGTGCTTCATTTTTCTACTTCACCAGATAGAGAAATTCATCTTAAACAACATTCTCCATCACCACATGTTACTCAAAACAGAGACTGAAAACTCTCACCAGAAATCTCCCCCAACGAGAGGGTCAATTTCCTCGAGAACTTCCAGCCGCAAAAAGCTAGTAAGAATTTATATTATGTCGCCCATGACCACTCAGGAATCAAGGAAAGTGTCAATATATGCACAACTTGCAACAGAATATACTGGGACAGGGAAAAAAAACAAATTAGTACCTTGGTCAACATAACGACAATAAAAGTATTTTCAGCAACTTTATTATCTTCCAGGGTAGTGTCATCCTTGAGAACCTTTCCCTGGTGAATAAGCATCTGCTGTGCGGCCGGGTAAACCTCTGAACCCTGAGTTGTTTCTATTGTTTTCTTCACATCAGCAACCTAAAAATAAATCAACCACATGAGCCCAGACAGAAAACAAATACAAGGACAACAAATTTCAAACAATATAACAGGAACAACTTGAGCAAACGAGCTTTTTTTTAACAAAACAATCAGAGAAGACTGCATTACACATACGGAAAGGCATCCCACTAAGGAAGAGATTTTGCAACTGGAAAGAAAGGAAGGTAGAAGCTAACCCTCATATATATCTATAGCACAAACAACGAGCAGTAAGCACTAGATCATCTTAGCTGAAATCAAGTAAACAAAGTGGCAGAAGTTTAACAAAAGAAAGAATCAGTTCTCAAGCCACAGAATAAAGAATGCTATGCTATCACCCTCCGTATATGGTTTTAAAATTGACGATGCACTGAAAGCTGGAGCAAACCAGAACAAATAGAGAGCAACCAAATATATATTTGACAGCCTAATAAGCTCATATCCAACATATCCATAGTAACAGTGGCAAGATTCGGTAAACTCCTTACCTCAGGAGTAAAAGAACTTATCTGATATTTCAACCTAACTAAAAAATGTAACACAGAATAAGGAAAGCTGCTCCAAAGAGACTTGTAAAAAACAAACAGCCATATAAACAAGTCAATAAAACTATCACCAACAGCAAAATACATGCACAAAAATAGCAACTATTCCGTACAACATGCTATGACTGCACAACTCAATATTTCCTGTTTCAGCTTTTCCAGTGAAAGGAAACCGGCAAAATACACAAAATACCAAATATCTCTCAATAAATACCCCGCTACTATAGTAAATGTGATCGGCCCTTTCCTAGCCTGCAATTACTCTCCACCTAACCTAGGTGCCAAGCAACAAATCGAAAGCAACCTATCTCTTCTAACTTCAAATTTTTCCTATGAGATTGAAGTTCGGACAAGTCACTGAGAAAAGTAAACAGACACACGAGAATAACCAGTGTCACCTGAACTATAGGGAGTCATATCTAAAAGTTGCAGGTATTCCAATCATTTGGTAACTTATAGACGAAAGCAACAGCCAATCCCCATTTCTACCCAAACAGGAACATTTTGCCGTCTACAGTCAACCAGTCCCCCAGGCCAGCAACGAATTTATCAAACTAAAATTTAACATAATTAAAACGCTCCATAAGAGACTTCATACCAAAAAACAAAATTAATCCAGAACAAGATAAAACCTCTGAACTCAAAAACCCTAATTATGCTTTCAGTCATTCGAAAACATAATTCATCGTTAGAAGATCGAAATTCCCAAGGGAAAACAAATTTATCACGCGTATGTATACGAGTTAGAATGTGAAATAAGAGGATTGAGAGAAAGAAGTCCTTACGGTGTCGCTCGGATTCACTTCGATCTGGAAGTGAGTGCCTTTCAAAGTCTTCACTGAAATCTTCATTTCTCTTGATTCGCTGTAAAGCAACCAAACAATCTCCTACGGACGGCGTTTCCGATCTCCGGTCGCCGCTGAGAATTTATTTGATGAGAAAGAAGACAAATGGGAGAATGTCGAAGAAGTCACAGTAAAAACTGATTTTGCTTGTTGACGTTCTTTCGCGGCTTAATATATAGCTGACGGAACAGCGTTAAGTTTGGAGGACCTTTTAGGCAATATCGGGATATTTTAGCATCCGAAATGATTAATTGCTATTTATTTTTATACTCCTTATAGTTTGTTCCTGCCTCTAATTGGATTTTTATTGTTATTGAATGCCCCTATATTTTGGATTTTGGTTTTTAATAGTTAATATTATTCATCGAACACAAAATCTTGTTACTAATACCACCACACTCAATGTTTTTCCATACAACATTAAATCACCCCTGTATAATGAATTTGATGAACATAAAAAATAGTATTAACTATACATTTTCGTGTATTATTTTCGTCTTGTAATAATAGTTTTGCTTTTGAAACTTAAAAAAATAATACTATTATTTAAAAAAAAATGAGTAAATTGAAACATTGAATTTGGATTGTAGATAGGTTTCAATGCAATAGTTGGTCTTTTCTTTCTTTTTTTTTATATTGGGAAACTACATTAGTATTTTGATGTCAATGTCTCATTAGTAAGATATGAACCTTGAGTCATGAGTATAGTATACTATTTATTGTAATTATGAACCTCCACTGATAATTTAAAGAAAATCAATAATTTACTTCATTTCTTTGGGGAAAAATGTAAATTTATTATTGACTCAAAGCATATCTATATATTGCCGCATAATAATTTAGTTACTATAATTTTATTTTATTTTATTTTATTTTTTGTTGAAGGTGGTAATCTACTCACTATAAAATATTCAAAATGTTTACCAACTTCTAAAATCCGTCATAAATCAAAGTATCGAAAAATATAACAAATTTTTACCGACTCATATTATTTTAATATACCTTTCATCTATGCATTTTTTCCCCCCAAAAAAAAGGGCAAACAAAATCAACAAAAAAAAAGAAAAAAGAAAAAGGAGAATCTCAAGATTTTTTTCTTAATTTGTTTTTGGTTATTCCTTAAAAGCACTGAAACAATGTATCGAGAATATCATTACCAAACAATGCAAATACAATGTACAACTTTTATTTATCCTTTTTTTAAGAAAAACCATGGATGTTATGAAAACATCATAGCTAATTCTCTCAGCCACAATCGATTAATTACCAAAATTAAATAATAATTTCGCCTTTAATAAAAGCAAATACTCCCTCCATTCCGAAATAAGTATCATTTTAGAGTTTGCACAGAGTTTAAGAAACACTTAAATAGGGTAGCTAAATTATTAGAATATCTTCAACTAACCCCATTAAAATAAATGTTCACCAATAATATTATTTCTTTTGAGGGTATGTTTGGAAATTTTTGAGAAAAAATGCATTGAAATCCGAAAATGACACTTATTTTGAAATTTCTTCATTTTGCTAAAACGACACTTATTTTAGAATGGAGGGAGTACATCATTCTTATGGATTCACCTTTTTTTTATTCTCTTGTAATGTGTTATCATCATTCTTATTTTATTTATTTGAACATCATGAAACAAAACGAAAAGATTGGACGGTGTAATTTATTAATTTGTACCATTTCAATTTAAATGTCCGTTGAATGAACATTGATTGGACTAAATTAAAACAATAACAGAAGTCATGGGCGAAATAAAACTTTATCTAAAACCAAAGTTAAAAACAGTTAAACATTGAAAATTTGAGGGTCCAATTGAGTAGTTGTTCGATAAATTATTGGAGTTCTCATAAAAGTGCTGTATGCTTTGAGTGGAATCGGAGTTGGACTTTCTCAGTATGGAGAAGAAGAAGACAACCCAAAAAAGTCATCCCAAACCCGAGTTGGACGACCCGGATTCCGGGTTATGGAATTGGATCATCCACAGAGGAACTGCGGCAACGTTTCTGTGCATCAGCCTCTTTGCAGTGTTGGTCAGATTAGGCGTATCTCTGCATCCATATTCTGGAGCTGGAATTCCGCCCAAGTATGGGGATTACGAGGCTCAAAGGCATTGGATGGAGATCACAACTAATCTCCCTGTTAAACAATGGTACCGAAACAGCACCAGCAATGATCTCAGCTACTGGGGTCTCGATTATCCGCCGTTGACAGCTTACCAGAGCTACTTCCATGGCATTTTTCTCCGATTTTTTGATCCCCAATCGGTTTCCCTTTACAGTTCTCGTGGCTACGAGTCTTATTTCGGGTAATGCAGTTGTTGTGTTTGAATAAATCTCTCATGGTCGTAGGTTACTAAGTTATACTAATTTTGTTTTTGTTTGAAGGTTCTCAATTATGGTTTGGTTTTGTGCAGGAAATTGTTGATGAGATGGACGGTTTTATCATCTGATGTCTTGATATTTTTTCCTGCCGTGCTGTATTTCATCATTTCTTATTATTACGGGAAGCCTAACTCGCAGAAGAGAAATATAGGGTGGCACATTGCCGTGATCTTGTTGAACCCTTGTCTCATTCTGATTGATCACGGTCATTTTCAGGTAGGAGGGAGCTCCCAGTTTTATCTGTTTGAAGTTTATACCAGTATTAAACGTCAGTTATATTTGAAGCAGATGTGTGATATCTATGTTGTTTTGATGTCAGTACAACTGCATTAGCTTGGGACTTACTGTTGCGGCTGTGGCAGCGATTCTCTCTGATAGAGATGTCATTGGTTCTGTCCTCTTTAGTCTTGCTCTCAACCATAAGCAGGTGCTTTTTCCTTTTTCTTCATCTAAAATGTTTTTAATCTTGTTGCTTTTGATTGAAATAAGAAATTGTCATGTCCTCTTAGTTTTCTTCGTTTGTCAAGTTTTCTTAGAGCTCTGATTCTTAGTTTGCTGCAGATGAGTGCATATTTTGCTCCTGCATTTTTTAGCTATCTCTTGGGAAAATGCTTGAGGCAACAAAGACCATTTGTTAAGGTTGTGAAACTTGGCTTGGCAGTGGTAGGAACTTTTGCTGTTGTCTGGAGCCCGTATCTTTATTCAGCAGAGGCATTTCTGGAGGTAATAAATGAATACTTGTTTTCTCAACTCCATGTCTACTTTCTGAGTTAGTATTGTTTTTACTTGTAGAAACATTGTGGTTAGTAATATGCACGTTATCTACATGCATTTTGATCCGTGAACTTATTTTTAATGGGGTGTCGATGACTGGTAGGCTTGATATGTCTTACGGCTTATGATTTAATATCTTTTAACAGCAGAGTAGCCGTCAGCAAGTTAATAAAAATTGCCTTTTCGGCTTTGTTATTCATTCAGGTTTTATCGCGCCTGGCTCCTTTCGAAAGAGGTATATATGAGGACTATGTGGCAAATTTTTGGTGTACCACTTCAATCGTTATAAAATGGAAGAGGTTGTTTGCTACACAACCTTTAAAACTGTTAAGTCTTGCTGCAACTGTTTCTATGTGCCTGCCTTCAATGATTCAACTAATATTGGCTCCAAGAAAATCGAGCTTTCTGTATGGACTCCTCAATAGTGCTTTGGCATTCTACTTGTTCTCATTTCAAGGTACTTACCTTATCTTTCTTTTCCTGAGTGATACAAGAACAAGAATGTATGTACTCATTAACTCTTTTATTTGTCATATTGCAGTGCATGAGAAATCGATCCTTCTGCCACTTCTGCCTGCTAGCTTGTTGGCCTTGGAAGAGCCTTCCGTTTTCTTGTGGTTAGCTCAAAATGGCTTGATATCTATGTTTCCTCTACTTGTCAGAGACAAGTTAGTCCTGCCATACGTTGCTTTATACAGTCTCTTTTCCCTTCTTTACTACACACCCAGTGGAAGACAGCATGAGAGGGAAACATGTTATCTTACCTTGAAAGTTTTGCTTCTTGGTTGCGTTATTGCACTACATGTTGCTTACTTGACTGTAACACCTCCAAGGAGGTATCCCTTCCTTTCGGAGGCGATCATCATGCTGCTTTGCTTCTCTCAGTTCGTATTGGTCTTTTTATATGCCAATTATAGGCAATGGACTGTGTCGAAGCTGTCCTCCCCATCAACAGATAAGAAAAAACACCTGTAACTTTTACTTATTTGTGCCATGCTTCAAAGCATGTTTGCAGGCGGGGGGAACCATCTTTCTGTTCTCCTGCTCCATCCTATTGAACTAGGGTAGGGACACTTTGTACCTTCAGTGTGAGAATAGCACAACGGGAGACATTAACTGTAACTTAAATCATTCAGCAAATGCGGTGCAGAAATTTTGGTTTATCGGGGTATTTGCTCACTGAAATATGGAGCAGTTTGAGACACAAATTTATGTTGAGATCTGATGTAGCAAGTTTTGCAGCACAATTCTTCACCTCATAGGAATAGTTGTAGATTCAATTTATACTGAAACTGATGTATACAGTACATAAATTTTATGGATTTCACTTGGTCATTTTCTGCATTTAGTCCTGCAATTTAAAACGCTGCTCTTATCGTGAGGGTGGATATACCGTTCTTAGCTGGAAAATTGATCCACAATGAATCAGTGAAATGACAATTTGTTACCTCTGTCAAGATGGCAACCTTGTCACAGTTGAGATCATTTCTCCAAATTGTACGGACATCTGCATATTTGAAGTACTCTTTCTCCAATCTTCAATAGTTTACTATTTCGTAAGTGTTTCAGTAAGCACCGTTCGAACTCAGACTAAAATTTGAGATTCTAGCTTGTTTCAAAAGAGGAATGTTATGCCCATTCAAGCCAAGTCCCACCAAAACTTCAGGTCATTGTCATAAGATCAAACTCATCAGGATCATTTTCACATTAATAGTTTCTGCTGCTAGCAAACTAATATTAAGGGGATGCCATCCAGCTCATATCTAACACTAAGACTTAAATAAACTAGAGCGAACAAATGGCTGTGATGTTGGACAGTTACAAGAACAATAAAGCTGAACTCCATCTTCGGCAGCCATCAACAAAAGGCAGCATTGTATCAGGTGCTTCAAAGCCATTACCATGTTCTCATCGAATTCTCCTTGGTTCAAAAACATTCCATCCTTTAGCTGGAAACCTCAAATACTGGCGGCTGCTGTTGTTGGACATCTAACAAGTTCACCCTCCATTCCTCCTATTAAATATAAACAAGCTAATCATTACTCTCCATTTTGGTACACAGGACGAAACAAAGCTTAAAGAATTAGAAAAATCAAGATCAAACTGCTTAAAGATGCAACATGGTCTGCTGATCCTAACTCAAGCTCACTGGAACACAAAAATTGGGAGAAATCACGCAATCCAGCAATCAGCAGACCACATTGGCCACAGTCTCGAGGATTATGCTTTGAAATGAGAAGAAACAAGTTGTCCTCCCTCTTCCCAACCCCTCTAACAATAAAAACTAAAAAGGGGAACTTTTTTCAAACCAGAACTTTTAACAATGTGGACAATATTCTTATTATTTCATTGGTACAACAGCTAAGAGAGATAAGAACTCATGGGTATACAAGACCTTCAAATGCAAGACTAGGAATTGACCAAATGTGCATCAAGCATAAGCATTTTGAACTGATGAATAATGAAATATCAACATCCATTCAGAATTCAGATGATAAGCAACTACTACAACAACCTAAGCCGCAATTAGTGTACCTAGACCACAGCATTCTCGTGTAGAATGTTTAAGCTAAATCCCCACCGCTCTCCTGCCATAAGTTGATGATATCAGTAGCCTGATTAAGAAGGATGACAATCTGCTTCTGGGATATCCAAGGCTTGCCCTCTAGCAAAGTTTTAAGCTCCTCCCACGCATCTTTTCTGGGCCAAAAATAATAAGGGCTTAAGGGGATAGTTCCATAGCCCGGAATCACTTGGTCTATCGAAATCCCAATATTCTTCTGCATCCATATGAACTTCAAGACCAGCCTCGGCTTCTCCATTGGCTTCAGAACCACCCCGAGCTTCTGAAACATCCTAACATAAAGAATAAAAATGCTATCTTTTTCCCAAGGGAAAAAAAAAGTCCATTCTTTCATTCTATACCTACAAAATTCATCATAACAAATTGATATACAAAAGCAAAGAGATGAGGGCACCTTTTTACGAGGTGGGTTGGGGGAAGCAGAATCAGGGTTGAGGGTGTCCTGGGCAACTCCTGAAGCAGCAGTGATACAGAAAGTCTTCGTAGAGCCAAGTTGACGTGGTTTGCGAATGCGGAGGACTGGGGTTTTGAGGGAGACCAAAGACGGGGGAGTTGGTTGAATAGTGAAAGGGCAACTAAGTTTAGGTTGAATTGCCGCCGGGAACATCGTTGGAAGAGAGAAGAAGATTGTGGCAAGATAATATTTCACGGCATAGCCTGATGCCGGTCGCAATTCACGAGGTTTTCTGCGGTTGGGTTTAAGGACTCTGTAGAGTTAAGCAGCCGCGAAGGAGTTTGGTTATGTTGTGTGGAGTTTTGTTTTCATTTGATCTTTTTGAATTTATAGCATAATAACTAGTGCATTAGTAACCCGACTTAACCAACCATCTGATTTATGTGCAATAGTACTATAAATACATTCTGTTTTCTTTTGTTTTTCCATCATACGTTTCAAGAAAATCCGGATACAAAGAATTGAATCTATGTTACAAAATGTAGAGTGAGGACCCAAATCGTATAAGTCCAAACCAGAAGAAAGTAGCAGATTATTCTATAACATTGTATGCCAACGAATCATACGAAGCGAAAGACGTTATCCAAGGAGATGACTCCGGTCACAGCTGAATAGACTTGATAAAGAAGACACGGCAGACTCTGCTCAAGACCAGCTTTCAACATGGTACTTGCCAGCCTTCTCCAATGCACGAATCCACTTCCCTGCAGCCTCCTTTGTAGCTCCACTTTCCATGGAAATTATTTCTTCCAGTGCTGACATTACATCTGAAGGCATTTTATCAGCAGAACCTGCAACGTAGACAGCGGCTCCCTGACTGAGCAGGTTCCAGATTCTCATGCTCTGTTCACGCATTTTATGTTGCACGTATACCTTCTTCGGCTGCTCTCTTGAAAAAGCAACATAAAATCCTCCACCATTTTCTTCAGATAGTACGCCCCCATTTGCTCTATGCGACAACCAAAAGTCTCGATACAAGAAGTCATCCTTGGTTCTACAACCAAAGAAGAAAAGTACAGGAGCAGTTGGACCAGATTTTCTTTGAAGGGCTCTTTCCTCGACAAATCCACGAAATGGGGCACAACCAGTTCCAGGTCCAATAAGGATAACAGGAAGAGCAGGAGCGGGGGAAGGAAGTGACCCTTTATGAAACCATGCCGGAATTACGATTCCTGTCAAGATAGAATAGAATCATCAACAATGAGCCAGTAATACTACTGAAAGTACACTGGAAATAAAACTATAATGGGTCATACCTTGCTGAGGATAAAGTCCAGCTAGCCATGTCGAACAAAGACCATTTCGTTTTCTCTTATAAGGTGTAGTCCAAGACACAACACTCACTGTTAAGTGCACTTGGTTCGGGTGAACTAAACTAGAAGAAGAGATGGAAAATGCTCTTGGCTTTAGAGGAGGAACTAGCTGTACCAACCATTCAAATGGCATTTGAACAGAAGGGAAATCTTCTAAGACCTGCAGTTTCCATGAAACCATAAAATGAAATTAAGAAGAAGAAGAAGAAGAAAAAAAACAAGGGAGAAAGCTGGAAAGCTAGTAATGAGTTCCACAAAGTTTTGTCACTTCGATTCCGGAGTTGAATTATGGCAAGTCCATTATAATAATTGGTAGAACAATATCATAATAAGTTTAAGCTGATCGGAAGCTTCAAGCCCTAGTACATGAGCATATAGTGCGTGCTTCTATGACAAGTAACACAAGATGAAACAGAACAAAATGAAATGTCTAGATATACCGACTTCGAACTGCAGCATACTAGCAGATTTTAGCTAAGGTTTAAACCCTTGCCAGGTATTACTGCTTATGTTCATCAAACCTACCAAATCATTTATAATCAAACAACAAAAGGGGTATCTATGTAAAAAACGAGTTCATTTGTCAAAGAAAACAGCACCTCCAAGACAGTTCTTCTCTCTTTCTGGTTATATTGATATAGGTCATCTCTTCCTTCAGGTGAGGCAAAATACAGAAGTCTTTCCTTCTCATGTTCAGCACTAGCAAAATTACTCATGATCTGTGGAAGTTAAAGGAAATCAGTAATAGCACACCACACAGAAGCACATATCAACAAAAAAATCACCATTAAGAAATTAGAATTTCAAAAATAACAAGGATATCAGAAAGAAAACAAAAATTACTCAAAGCATATATTTGAGAAACTACAAACTACTGAAAATCAGTCAGACAGACGCAAGGGTAAGTTGTAAAGGAAACATTTCAGTTGGAAGAGATCCTTTGAACTTACAGCAGTATGTCTCAACCTGAAAAAACCTCATGGAACACAAAGATCAGGAGTCACCTAGTATAACACCAGAGAAGCAAAACAGCAGAGACCATGGAATAGAAGAGGTGTATTGAGGCTAGAAAAGTGGGATTTGAAATGTCAGTCGAAGAAAGTGTCGTTTTCATGAGGATTACAAAATGAAAATTTTTATCGGGTATCATCGCAAAATCCACTCGAGGTTGGCAATGCTGGAAAACTGATAACAGGTTTTCAACAGAGCAAATAGAAATTCCAAGACAGAACTCACCTATCGATCTAAGCATTCGAAAGATCTTAGAGCACCAGCCAAGCAACATATTGATTCATTGCTGTTCCCGACAAATATTTGTAACAATCTCATGCCGCTACTTATACATTCACACCAGGTTAGAGAGCTAGGTAGTAATAACTAGAAATGTGATTGTTCCTTCGACAACAGAAACTTTAGAATAATTAGTTTCATTAGTGAAGGCAAGCACAATCACCTAATATTTTTAATTTCTCTATTCTAAACTCTATGTTGGATCTATCCGAAGACACATTTTGGGGAAACAATCAAAATTTGACTCAGCAGGGAGCAATATAAACAAAAATAGAAAATAAAAAATTATGGAGTAATAAATAAAGGAAAAAGCTTAAATCAAAACAAAGAAAAAGCTAGACACTGCAGTGAAATGCTAGTGAAGCTGACCTCAAAGAAATACCGTCTGGGTGAAGCTGAAGCAACATCCATTGTTAATTCCACAAATGTTTTTAGTTTCATAGGGGCGATCAGCGAATGATTGGTATCCCCAAAATCAGTCTCTTTCGCTCTGGGCAGAACCTGGAATAAGTAATCATTAACTCTCAAAAAAGTTCACTTAAGCTTAGACATGCAACGAACTCATCAGAAACACAATGCATTTCCAGTAGAAACATGTAATATTCAAAATGACTCATAAGTCCAGAATAAATCACCATGAACAAAATAAAGAAGAAAATAAGAGGAATAGGAGGGAAAGAACAGAAAGGAGAAGACATTAGGAGGAGGAAGTATGGTTACTGGATAGCAAGACACAAGAAAATGTTAAAACTTCACAACTAAACTTAATTACTCGTAGCTAATGAACAGCAGATCCCAATTTCGTATGACAAATAAGGAGCACCAGAGGGTGAATGCAGACAAATTCATCCTTCACTGTTTCTGCAAAGGTTACAGCTCGAGAAACAAGAATTTAGACTATTTTGGAAAAACAATAAAGATAGCCAAAGAACAAGATAATTCCAGGTTCAAGGTCAATGAAGCATGGCACAAGGACAGCAAACTACAGAATAGAGCTGCTTGATAGTGATGAAAATTCCAGGTTTAATTTAGCAGAGGTCTGTAAGGAAATTGCAGAAAATCAACAGGGCAAAGAACTGAAAATAAAACTACTCACCGAAATGTATGTTTCCGGGTTCAAATTACAGCGCTTTATAAAAGTATCCACAGCATCAGGATCTTGACCAGGGAGCAACTCAACATAATCACCAACTTCATACTCAATGCACTTATAGAGGGGCATAGAAGAAAGAAAGAAAAGTTTTAGTCACAAGCAGTTAATCAAATGAGTCCAAACTCATGAAAAAGCACATTGTCTAATTGACTTACGGATGAAACTGCTTCAAACTCAAGGTGCCGAACATCTTTACCACATTCTGCTGTAGTTAATGAGCAATTTTTTATCTACATAAAAGCAAATGGCCCACAGAACAAATTAAATGCTGAAGTTCACAGTTACGTAACAGAACAAACAATAACTCTCCAACAGCATGATTCCCTGCGAAAATTTCAAGAGGACATACATGCAAGTTGTGTTGAAGGAGAAAGATATAGTGCCAGAGACTAGCATGAACTAGTACACATGAGACTCTGATAGTCTTATTAAGTAAAACATCATGATATCAAATCTTTATTTAGCATGAACTGTTTTACTTGTTTGTTGAATGTCTTCATGTCCTACTTCTTTGGAGCTCTTTAAGTGTTATGGCAACAAGAACAATATACCTAGTATATTGCCAACTTCGTTGAGGTCTGGGAAGTTTATAACTAGCATGCATCATCTCAAGAAAAATGCCAATGCAACAGTTCTCAAAGATTATTTACTATCTTTATAGAACTCAGAAAGTCAGCCATACCATTTTAAGAGAGCAATCAGGTTTCATATTACTAGAAAATTTTCCAGGTGACATCAAGCGAGCTCTTTCAATTTGCTCCTCAAGATACTCGAAGTCTGCACGGCCGAAAGTTTAATGATCAGCTAGTTTTAAACTACCAAAAAATGGAAATTGATACTCCCATTGCAATATGTTAGTTAGCTCAAATACTTTTGACTAAGCAGCTTACCAGTAGAGTACGAAGACCTAGAATTTTTGTTGCCAACATCATGGTATGTTATTTCAATTTTTGGTTGGTCCACCCAATGGTGATCTGACACCACAAGATTTGGACCATTGGGGAATAATATAGGAGCCTTTTGGTACAATGCATTCCACAAGTTGGACATCCAAGGATCTAGAGCCCCTTCATACCTAACATTCACATGTAAAGCACAAGTTGCAACTTTCTTTGAGAAAAGATAAAGTAGAACGAAAGGAAATTGTCAATAGAACCAAGAAAGCAGCAGCAGCAGCAACAGTACTAGAAAATCGAATGAAACATTTTCCATCTACTTAAAGAATAATAGAGAAAGATAGCGTCCCATAAACATGACCAAAATAGGGCAAGCACTAAAGCACTCCTTCCAAGGAAGAAGGAAAAGATAAAGTGGAGAAGCAAAAGAAACTGAAGCATAGTTCCGTCAAATCATTGCTCGTGATAGATTCATACCCTGATGGATGCTGATCATCGCCAAGGCCTCTTTCAACCAGGGCTCTTGCACCAAGATCCAGAAGTCTTTTGTCAAGCTTCTTTGCAACAAACTGAAAGAAGTTTATACAGATGCATAAATAAGACAAGTTATGGAGCACATTACTCACCACACCGCTCAAATCAGAGATTCCATTTCAGAAGACGTTATCAAAGGACAGAATGACATATTGCACCAATGGAATAACAAGGCTGCACTCGAAAGAAGCCCCAGCATATGCAATTTATTTCTTTTGTTATTTGTGCAAGGTTATGCATTAAGAACAAGACGAGAGTATCACAGTTAAAAATGAAAGTCTTTAAACTCCGAAAATAGAGCACAATTTGAGCAAGGGAGAAAGAAAAGAAGTACCATAGGATTATTGTCCCTAGGGTATAGAATTCATCATTACATTGTATTTCTGGTAGCTAGAATCCCCCAATCCAAATACAGCATAATCAACTCCTTCGAGCCACTGCTTACTTAAATTCCTTTGTAATAAAAACCTCCAAAATCCCTACAGTACATTAATGTAGAATTTGCAAGAGGACAAATTAATAAGATTAAAAAAAAAAATCAATTTTATTAAATATAAAAAAACGCAACATTAAAAAAAATAAAAATATTAATAAGAATAATAACCTTCATGGCACCCGGAACATCCCCTTGCCCTGTAGTTGAAACAACGAAAATCACCGTCTCTCCCAAAGGTAAGTTTTCCTGAGCCGTGAAATTATTGCGACTAAAAATTACACCATATAATTACGCATTCGAGTAGAAAGGTCGGGAGTTGGGATAAGTACGTACAGGATCATATTCATCGATTGAGAGGACGGTGACGGGGCAGCGGCGGCGCTCAGCTTCGCGGCCCAATCTTTCAGCGGCGTCCATCGCATTTCCTGTTTCAGACGCGTAAAGTATAAGCAGCTTCTTGTTCTCGGATTTGTCGTCCTCCATGAACAACCCAAGAATTCAGTTCTCTGCTTAGCTTCTTGCTGATTTCGATTAGCTCTTTTTTGCCGCGAAATCGATTAGTCGAGTCGGAGAGCGCCCAACTGATCAATCGAATTATGGGGTTGAGCTTTTTTTTTTTTTTTTTTTTTTGACGAAACAATTACGGGGTTGAGCCGTGCAAAGGAAAAGACAGCGGGTTTTGCCAAAATGCTTACAGCCCATATGGCTACATTTTGGGCTTGGAAAGAGCTATATTGGGCCGCTTGGACGTTTATCATGGTTTTGGGTAATTCTAGCATTAAGTAGATCTAAAAGGAGTGAACTGTAATTTCCATTTCTTAGGTCGGTTGATCAACAAAGGGGCACCAATGCCACGCCTACAGAATAATTTAAAAGAGAAGAAATTACATGAGGGTGTTAATGTACAATCCACGGGAGTAATTTGGATCAATACACTAACTGATTCTCTGAAATTTAAACGGTTCTCGGACAAAAAATATTTCTCAATTCTAACAGACCAAAGATCGGATGATTCCATTTCTTCTTCCTCATTGCTAAGACCCTGCAGCACTGCTATCATGGGGTTCCGTACTTATGTCGCGGGATTCTTCAGCCTGTTGAACCATACACGAACTCGTATTCTTCTCAGAGTCGGGGGCAGGTCTAGCTTCTTCAATATCAGATGTTTCGCTGTTAGTCTCTTGTGCTTCCACAATTGTCTGAATTGGCCCAACTTCATCCTTCTCTACTTCAACCACATCAGCTTTCTCGGTATCATGATGTTCATCGTGAAACTCATGGAATTCCTTTTTCGCTTCTTCCTCAATAACAGAGTCCGGGATAGTTCCCACATGAGCTTCTTCCTCATTTGTCGTGGTGACTAGAACATCATGAAACTCATGGAAATCCTTTTTCTCTTCTTCCACAATAACAGAGTCCGGGATAGTTCCCACACGTGCTTCTTCCTCATTTGTGGTGGTGATTACGTCTGCTTCGTCGGAAGAAGGTGATTCAAGGTGCAATTCAACATCCTGGTTCGGAGTAGAAGTGTTTTCAGTCAATTCAGGCTCTCCGGTGCTCATAGAATTAGTTGGAACTGAAGCAGGAAAAGATTGGAATGTGTCCCAATCATCATCATCATCTTCTTCATCTTCTTCGTTATCCTCATCTGCAACATTGTCATCAGCAGGCCTATTGGCGATAGCAGACAAACTTTGCTCCTTGCTTTCCTTTATTTGTGCAGGAATCTTTATAGCTAAGGGAGCTACAGAAGGCTTCTCCGTGAAATTCTGATCCTGGGTCAGAGAGGCACGAATAATATCCTGAAAGTGCAACACTTGTAATCAGATCCTGAATCAAACGTTCGAAGCTATGACTCTACTAGACACGACATCTTTAGATTACAAGAAAGGAATGCACACGAGGTATCAGAGACATTGTCCACCGTAGGGGAGAACAATAATTTCATTTCATAAAGTCGCTCAGAAGAAAGAAGTTTTACTACTTCAAGGCAGCATCGGTATCTTTAACTCAAAACGATTATCAACTAATAGTTCTAGCTAAAAAGTTTGCCGAGAGACCAGACCAGGTGGGTTGTCAAATAAACTAATAAGCAATTCGGAAAACGAAGGTATACATGCTCAGCAAGGATGCTGGTCCTAAAATATCAAGGAAATGAGTGGTTAAACTAACAGGAGTGGTTAAACTAACAGAGCATCGGAAAAGATCCTTATAAGAGTTCAAAGGACGGGAGAAACACCTGAAGTTTCTGCCTTCTCTCAAAAGGCATTGATAATAGAACATCCTTGAAATAAACTGCCGAACTTGGACTCTGAGCAAGCTGTGAAACAAGTTTAATAGCTGTGCTTCTTAATCCATTAAGTTCCACCTTAGAAGAATAATTAGTTGATGTTGAAAAGACCAAGAGAACAGCTTCCAATAGCAGGTGCAGAAGACACTTCCGACATTCACTAACTCTCGATAATGCTTGCAGAAGCATTAGCATTTTTAAGCACTCCCCAACTACGGTCCCTGATTCCTTATTTGCAGGATTCTGCTATAGATCATTCATCACATTTCAATAGGACAATTAAGGGAATGAATTTAGTATTAACCTAGTTTGACTAAAAAATTTACCTCCAAAAACACATGGATTACATTCATAATGTCTCTGATGAGCTCCCCCAAAAAGAAAATCTCAAAAGAGTATTGTTCAGGGTTATTTCCTTTCTGTAGCATGCTTTTCAATGCTTGTAATCCAATTACTTGAACCTGTGCATGGGTAGTTCAATAATGTCAATGAAAAATAAGAGTCTTTCAACTGCATAAACGAGAATCTACTAACCTGTATGTCATGATCATTAAGAACAGTACGGAAACATTCGATGCCATGTCGCATAATAGTTGATAACTCAAGATTAAACTCTTCGCAATCGCCAGGGCACTCAAGCAGAAAAGCTATCTTAGAAATTGAAATAACATGCTCAAGCAAGAATGCAAGCTTCATCAGCAGCAATTTACGTTGGTTAGACCTCTTATCCTCCAACAAGTGAATACTCTCGATGCAGACAGTAATCAAACTTGTCGATGACTTTAGAGAAGCATTGTTGAGTGTCCTCAATCCGCAAATGCCATCATCATCAATTTCAGATTTATCTGGAAATCGTTTCACTAGTTAGACTTGGAAGAGCATGTCATTGCAAAGACATCAAAGCATTAGTTTGGTGATCAAATCAATCTTTGGCCTTTGTAACTGAAAAAAGCAAGGTTACATAAATCACAGCAAGATTTTCATGATAGTTCAGAAACTATTCACACAGAAACACCGCATAAGTTATTATTCATGACAATTCGGGGCACTCACTATGAATGACCTCCATCAGCTTGGAAATAACAGCCTGGAAGAATTCATTAGCTTTGAAGAGGTGTAAATCAGTTGATGCTCCTCCAATGGATTTGCTACCAATCAAAAGAAAAGTCAACAGAGACTTTAACTGCATCTGCAGTGCACATTACATTTATGGGTGAGCAACAAATTGACAATGTCAGAATACTAACAGCAAATAACATTGAATAGACAGTTCTAGACTGCCAGCATGCAAAAAGACAATTGCCTTGCTATCGGTACCATGCAAAGTAATCTAACACCCACCTTACAGGTAATCCGTCCCAACAATGTAGCAGCAGCACTGAGTGAGGTGAAAACTACATGTTCCCAGCATGATTTAGGTTCAGACGTATCACCAGAACTGCAATTTGAACAGTAAGAAAAAATTGAACAGTACGACTTCACCAAAAAAATATATATATAAAAAAATTGAACATTAAGAAGCTTCTGTTGATATCTAATCCAAGAAAACTTCTGCAAACGGGTGACAGAACCAAATGAAGGATCATACCTCAGGAAGAACTTGAAAAGAAATGCCAAACAAAGTTCCAATGACAAGTACACAAAGTTCTCCGATTCCAGGAAATGATGGGGGCAGTTCTGCAAAATCTGTTAAGATCACACAGAAAAAGAAGAGTTAAAGATTAGATTTTATCCTCACAAGTCGTAGAATGTACATACGTTGAGACACATTGCCAATATGGATGAGGAATAATGGGCTGAATAAAGCATAGGTTATATCTGCAATTACAAAACCATAAACAGTAAGTATACTATATATTCTGAGTTTTTTTCATCTCTGAAAGCCATCTATTTGATCCAATGAATACAAACCATGAAGTTTTTCTCATGGGTGAAATGATTAATCCTTCACTGACATCGTCATGAGGGCAGGCAGATATATGAATAGCTATTAGGCACTAAAATAACCCCAACCTACTTCCAAAGGAAAAAATCTTATGTTGGGTATGATTCTGCCTAATATTTAATTCACTAAAGAGGGCTACTCTTTGAATTGGAGATATCTTGAAGGAACGAAAACAAATTGACAACTCTTTGCTTTCTGGGATTCGTAGAGGGGAAGGAAAGCTTTAATAAATCATGATCTGCCAGAGTAAAAGCATAGAAAAAATTGACAATACCTTCAATGTAACAGAGACAGCGAGACCATCCCATGTATTTCCCGTCAAAACAGAGTACACGAAGATCTGCACCAATTTGAACAAACTCATCATAAGAAGGCTTGAGAGATCTAATGCTCAGTGGTAAATCACCCAAAAAGCATGAAAAGAAAAAATCAGTTGAAAAGCACAACTTTCCACGAGAAAGTTACACCGCTAAATCATATCTCATATCATCCACAATAACAACAAAAGGATTCACAGGGCTTTGAAGCAGAAAGAACAGCCTACTTTGGGAGAATCCCAACTTTGGGACTTATGAAACCACTTGCCTAAACATCCCCAGTATCCCGCTTACTTACATCACATCAACACGTCCAGATTCTAACAATTACGGAAAACAAGAGACAGCGCAGCCACAATGTCCTCAATAAAAAGAAAATTGCAGCAGAAGTTGAGCTTAGAACTTAAAATGTGATAATACTCACATGGAACAGTTCTTTGCAGATATCCGCAGTGAGGAATCCAGCACCGAAAAACCTTTCCACAGATAGAAATTCTAAAACAGGCAGAACTGTTTCGCTTAACTTTGTGACTAAAGAACTATCCTCAGTCAGTTTTGGCTTGACTGCACTGACGGGTATCAAAGAGTCATCACCGTCTTTATCTTGCCCTTGAAATAGAACAAGTAAAGAGAGGCCCCATAGAAATTGAAATTCTTCAAGTCGCAACTCAACCATGCGAAATCCGGAAATAAATGGCCCCTTTGATCTGCTGTCAGATGCTGGAGATCCATTTGAGAAAGATTTTTCTGGTGCCGCATCAAAAACCACTGCTTGCAGGATCACTGGCCAGGCTTCTTCCAGACAATGCTGCAACTTGCTTGAAACTAATGGTGACTGGACACCATCAAGGAAAGGTTTCCACTACATGCAAACATTTACAAAAAAAAAAAAAGTAAAAAGCCTAAGCACCAAAGAGTAAAAAACCCCAACTCATGTACTTTCTTCTATTGGAAAATTAGAAGAATTAACCAAAAAAAAGCTTTAGCTCACATTTTTTCTAGGATGTGAACGGAAGCGGATGAAAGAATAATCCTTCAAAACAGAAAGCCAGTACAGCCCAAGAATTTCCGAGTTTTTGGAAAACAAAGGTAATAATGCTTGATATTCATCAGGAATCTTGTCATCTTCTTTCCTCAAGAATCCATATATATGACATTTGAGGGAGGCATGGGCAGTCAGAAGTCTAATTTTTATCTTCAAAGTGGAAAAAAAGAAGGATGTCAGAATTCGTTGAAGGGCTGTAATACATGCGAGGCGTCAAAAATAAACAATTCACCATTGAACCTTGCTTGAAACCCATTCTGCATAGGAAGGATAATAAAGGTCATTGAAGTCATCCAGTGGACGTGAAATCAACGAAAATATACGCTTCACTGCGGCTTGATCTTGACTAAGAATACCACTTGTCAATAGCTGCAAGTTCCAGATGTCAGTACATTTATATCATTACCACAAGAAATCAAAAGGAAAGAAAGAAAGAAGACGAAAAGAAAGCTAAAATGTTTGTTTCTACACCTTTGTAGCCAACCGCAACCCTGCTTCCAGGAGAATAGGACCAGCTGATGGGTCCAATGCAGTTCGAACAGCCGAAAGCAATTGAGCCTGTTGTCAAATACAAATTGAGTTTAATATTGCAGATCAATGCTGCACATAAACCTTCACAAATACTTAGTAACCTAAACAATTAACAAAACTTAAGTTGTTGTAGCTTATGAAGACTAGGGTCAGGGCAAGCTGATACCTGATACTGTTCAAGAAGAAGGTGTCCAGACAGATCAGGATCTTCCACTGTTTCAAACTGCATGTAAAGCAACAGTGTTATGACATCACTAATGAATGGTTAACAAAATCTCAACCTGTACTCCCCTAAGAAATGTGCACAAAAGCAATAATCAACTCCTAGTAGACACTGGGGGCAGAAAGCAAAAAGCTCTAAGGTAACCATCCCTGGATTGATGATTATTATTTTTTTTCCAGTTTCCAAATAGGGACCAATTCGAATCACTAAATAGAACAATTATTTATACCTTCTTAACTGCTCATTGAGTTCATTAAACTTGTTCACAAGAGAAGAAGAGAGATGATCAAAGAGACAAAAGAGACGGAGAAAAACAGCAGCTCAAAAGAGTATGAGAAAGAACAATATCACAATAAGTTAAAAATACAAATGTTTTAGCAGAGGAAACAAGTTTAAGATACAATCACATTGCATGTAAGGGTACGTATCATAAATAGAAGAGCTATGGAATCCAAAACCCTATCATAAATAGAAGAGCTATGGAATCCAAAACCCTAACACCCATATCTAAACATAAAAGTAAATTGTCAATAACATGGTGAATACCTTGTCTATAATTGTACTTAGAAGTGCCATGCCAATAGGCCTCATGTTTTCAAAGTATATTGTGCTAATCTGCAGGAAGGAGGGAAGAAAATCACTAACTCAAGGATAGTTTTCAGGGATCCAATACATTTACAGGTTCATTAGTGATTCATTAGTGAAATTCAGTACCTGATAAGCAAGAGAAATGAGGTCTTGCAAATGAAGGATTAGCCAGTCCCCAGAAGCTACTGAATTGGTACTTTGTGCTCTAGCAATAGAGAGATCAAAATGAGCAGAATTTATCCCAACAGCTTCAGGAAGATGGCTTAAGCACCTGTAATCCACACAAGAACATGGTGAAATTTAATTATGCATGAAACCATTAAGAGAAGAAAGATAAACATCATGCTCCACATGAGAAGGTTAAGTTTTCAGTACTGCTCAAGAAGTATGTATAATAACAGTTTGAGCAGAAAAAATTCCATTTGAATGGCAATGCAGAACACTCCGAAGACAGAATTTTTGGATATCAAAGAATCAACTGTTCAGGCTTCTCTTTCACACGTCCATGAGAATGATATCTGTGACAAATCCTGTGGCCATATTCCTGATCTCATTCTAGACATCATATAATAATAAATTTTTCGTTTATTTAGCAGCAAAACTCACAGGAAGTATCGTGGTGATACACAGTTTCCATTAAAAATGGTAAAGATGAAGAACCCGTGTTTCAACAGATTAAAAAGTTAAACATTCTTAGCAATAATTAATTTTCAGCAGTATGTGTTAACCAATAGACAGTCATATCCCAATCCTTAATGAGAACAGTTCTGGGAGGTGGTTATGAAACAACGAAATTTTCTTTTTAATCTCTATTCAATTTTGGAAACAACGAAATTAAAGCATCAACAGACAAAATGAAACATACTCAGCTGCAAAAACTCTAGTGCGATATCTTAGGTGCTTATCCCTTGCATTCTTGAACCCAGAATAATCAAGTGCATGATCTGGTGTAGTTTTGGAGGTAGAAACCATGTTCTCATCATCTTCTCCAGGATTCACATCTCCACTAAGACCACTCGAAGAGTCATCATTATCCACGTTGTTACTGCCAATATCCCTTCTTGATGATGTAAGAATCTGGAGAATTATAATTCATCCCAAAACAGAACTTTATACGAATTTGAATTTTGAGCAATTTGTGGAAGAGCTAATAAAGAAACACAAATTGTGAACATTTTTTATGCTCATGGACAAAAGAAGGAACTGGCAGAAAAAAATTTCTACAGATAAGCCACAGAACCACCAACAACCAAGAAATGGTACACCCCTTCACAAGATGACCCTGGTGAATGTCATCCAACCAACCCCGGGGTTACTATCCTTTAGCTGTAGCTCAGCCTTAAATCAGATAGCAATTTCTGTCTATATTTATGTAAAGAGTATTAATTTGTTCCTTCTAATAGTACTTTTAAAGGCTTCTTGTTGTTGTAATAGTAAATTTAAGAAAATCTTGAAAATGTTTAAAGCAACTTTTAGCTGTTCCTCAAGCTTGAAGCCCTAGTTTGGTTGAAATAGGAGTACAACATAATAACTCTCACTAGCGCACAAATTGAATTTTCAGCCAATATGCTAAATCAGAAGGAAGTCCAAAAGGGAGAAAGCATATACCATGTGCCTACATATTGATAGCCAATGAGATGGACACAATGGGCAAGATGCATAGAGCAGCCGCATGATAGTGGTGCGAGCTAAATTAGCAATCCTACGAAAAAAATATAAATACCAAGACCAATTAGATTTATTAAGTCCAACGTAAAAGCAGAATCGGCATGTTTTGCCATGTTATCTGTCAGTAATGAGGAACAAAAGAGATAGTGATGATTATCAAATAAACGATATGAGATAGAGAGCAATGTGATTGGATACATAACAAAAAAGCTTGATATATAGAATGATACAAAAGAGTGAAAATAAGAATCGGCATGTTTTGCCATGTTATCTGTCAGTAATGAGGAACAAAAGAGATAGTGATGATTATCAAATAAACGATATTAGATAGAGAGCAATGTGATTGGATACATAACAAAAAAGCTTGATATATAGAATGATACAAAAGAGTGAAAATAAAAAATCATCCGGGGCTACAACTATGACCAAAAAGTAAGTCGAGGAGAACAAAGGAACATAAGGATTACCCAATAGCTTTAAGCACTAAGGAAAGTGGGAAATGGTTTATGATCCCATGTACACAACAACAACAACAACAACAGCAACAAGCCTTTTTCCCACTAGGTGTCGGCTATATGGATCATATGACGCCATCGTGCACGGTCAGTGCATAACTCATCGGACAAATTTAAATATTTCAAATCGTTATTTATAGTTTCTTTCCATGTTTTCTTAGGTCTACCCCTACCTCTTTTAATTTGAATTCTTGATTCTATAGTTTCTACCCTCCTAACCGGAGCCTCCACCGGTCTCCTATGCACATGCCCAAACCATCTTAAATGGTTTTCTCTCATTTTTTCGTCTATTGGAGCTACCCCTACTTTCTCTCTAATATAATCATTTCTAATCCTATCTAATTTAGTATGCCCACACATCCATCTTAACATTCTCATCTCCGTTACTCTCATTTTTTGCTAATTTTCATATTTAGTGGCCCAACACTCGGATCCATAAAGCATCGCCGGTCGAATGGCCGTTCTATAGAACTTACCTTTCAAACTCAATGGTACTTTACGATCACAAAGTATTGATGAGGCACTACGCCATTCATTCCACCCAATTTGGATTCTATGTGTTACTTTATCAATATTTCCATTTTCTTCTATAATGGATCCTAAATATTTAAAACTTTCAGATGTGTTCACTTTATGTTCTCCAATCTTAACATTTACCATGCTGTTACTCCTACAGTTACTAAAATGACATTCCATATATTCCGTTTTCTTGTCCCATGTACACAAGGAAAAAAAAAGTTCTCTTTTAGTCTTTAGTAAGGAGCTAGACAAATTCAACCCAGAATTTTGTTTACGTTCAAAACTTAGCAATTCTGAGACACATTTGGTGTAATTATCAGAGGATGTTTCACCCTTTTGATAATCAAAGGCCTAGGCCATTTCTCCAATTCCAGAAAACGAAACCATTCCAGTTTCCAACTCCTTCAACAAGTCTTCCGAAAAATATACCTCATTAATACTGTAAAACAACTCTCATTATTATACGGTAATCAATTAATAAATCTAAGAAAAATAGTGCCATTAAATCTAATAAAAGTGCACCAGATAAGCAAGATAGTTCTAATAGGCTCATCCTATTGAAAGCCTGTCCTCGAGGACAAATTTAAGGGACTAAAACTGTCAGCATAGAAACTTCAAATACCAAATAGGTTCATCACAGAACATCCAAATAACGGAAATATAATGTGCAACTTCCACATTCCACATGAGAACCCCCTAATGAAGGAAAGAGCTGGCCTTCTCACCCAGCCAATTTAAAAGGCTAACTTGAAATTGAGAAGAGGTAAGAGATTGTAACTATTGAAACACTTAAACTCACTCGGTATTAGTTTCTTCGTCCAGCATATGAAACAGAGACTCTTCTATCTGTTCGTCAATGACGGACACCTGTATGCAAGATGATAGCATGTGTTTCATTCACATAACGGAAACGTTTATCACTCTCAAGCATCATGGCTGTGAGATTTCGTGAAAATTATACAAAGTATGTGATAAGAAGAATCATTCAAGCACTCACTGGATCCTTTTCAATGAGATGCCGTAGAGTCAACAGAGCAAGGTGCCTAAGGGTTGGCTGTCACAAAATAAATGTATAGATACAGGTAAAAACTGTACAGGGAAAAATGAAGAGCAAAAAACAAAGAAACAAAACAAAGAAAATAACACAAACACACACACATCCAGAAAAGCTGTGATCAAAGACAATGTACCTGTCTGGACGAAAGAGTTGGGAGGAGAGTTTGTACATGAGAATGCACTGTAACTGCTTGTGGTGCAAACAAAACAAGCTGCTGAGTAAACCGAACACTCCTAAAAAGGGTCAAGATAAAAAAGATAACAAGATTTAAGCAATGGCTCCCAGGCTTTATAAAAAGAATAACTATGTCAAGTTTGCACGTAGCACTGGCAATGTGATATATGTACAGTAGAGTCGTACTCGAGAAGTGTAGCTGTTTCTTCATGAGAGCTGATCTCCGCAATAACAGACTGCACAAAAGAATGCCATTAATGTGATCCACAGGCACACCAATACAGTCACTTTGATGAACCAAGAGTTTAAATATTACAAAAAAAGCTTCACAAAAGATTTTGAAATTGTACCATTTAAGTACTATTAGCATGCTATAGCAAACATAAACCTAATATTGAGGATCTCCCTCACACATTAACTGTGAATCTTCTTTTATTCAGGGAAACCAACCTTGCAACGTGAGAAGAATATACTCCCTGGTGAAAGTTCAGGTCCAAGAACAGCAACAATAGCATTTATGAGGCTACTGACTCCCTGTTGCAGATCAACCAATCCAGTTTCCTCTGATAATAAAATATCCAGAGCAAGGGAAAGTGTTGCCTGCAGTTAAAAGCAAAACATAAAATACTAAATCAAAGAACTTTAAAGAGTCCTCACTTCCAAGTGTAATTAGAAGCACAAGAACAATACTCCTGTAGGATATATACACTCAACACACAGAGGAAGTAAAGAGTAGATGTCACTCATAAGTCACAAAGGAATATAAAGCACATTCTCCTCCCAGAGCTATCAATGTGAACAATTAATGTCCTCCACTGAAGCTCACATGAGACTTCTCATATAGTTAAGATCCTTATAATTCTTGGAAAAATTCTATCGCTACTGCAACCAATGAACCAGTGACTCTCCAGCCAAGTGCCAAAGTAGATAGCTATACGCATTAAAGAACAAATTCCAGAGAACTTATATGCAATCATGTGCCTCTCCAGTACAGTCGTGTACGCACTTGTTAATAACTATTCTAGCCATTTCCCGGGTTCAGTATGCATATAAAAAGTCCAAATATCGATATAATGAAATAATAAAGGGCAGACAAATCCAAAAGAATCCCAAATCCGATTCATTTATTTCTTCATGATATGTATGTTGAGGTTTTAATTAATCTTAAGATTGTAGCAAACCCCTTTCTCATAAGATTCTGCAATGAGTGGTCGTAAACTTTAGCTTATCACATACATTGGAAAAACGTGACCTACGATATGAGTTAAAATTTAGGTCAAACCCCTAAGTGAAATAAGGAGTCCAAGATTCCAGCTCACAAGTACCTGTACTTGGGAGACATAGGACAAGCCAGCAGCTTCAATGGTCAAAAGAAGACCATGCAATGCCCAAATCTGCAAACTAGTCACAGTACTCTTAGCAAGAGTGGAAATGGTATTTACAGTTGCAGGAACCAAGCTTGACAAAGCCATCCCTCCGGCACTACAAATAGATTCAGGATGTGAGACCTTATTGCATTGAAGAATAGAGGTGAATGAAAGAGTGCCTGAATGAAATCTATCATCAAAAGCATGCAAAACACAGTAAAATTGACCCCAGAAGCAACCTGAAAATAAACTGCTACATGGAGATCACTGCTGACGGGAAACAAATAAAAGCACATTGATCAACTATATAAGTTAGAGACTTAATGTAGAACTTAGCACGTTATTTAGGGAGGCATATCACCTAAATGTTGCCATGGTTTCGCAATTTTCATTTAACTTTGCTACAAGTGCCAATCCACAGGCCAAACCACAAGCTTCGTCATATTAATTTCTTTCAAGCAAGAATTAGTCTACAACATTTACCTAGACCACTTCTCGCATTTTCAATCACATTTCCACAAAGGAAAAAGAAAAGAGAGAGAGGGGGGAGAGGTAACAACTGAACCACAACCTATATTCCAGCAAAACATGTTTAGTAGTGTAACCAAATTCCACAGATCCAATAAACTAAACAAAGACTTTTTCAATCTTTATCTTTGTATCCTGCATTCATGATTCTTGTTCATGACCTAACAGTACCTTTCACTCAGCTCACAGCTTTTTTACATGTGTTCTACTGGGAAGCAGTTTGCAAAGTTGCATTTAACAGAATTAAAAGAGACCCTAAGGAATTCCTAGGACAGATGGTCTGCCCTATTTGACAAGTTTGGAACAGTAAAATGCAACCCCCATCAGTGAACAAGGTGGCCGCAGTAAACTGTACATTCAAAGATAGTAGAAACAGAGGTCACAAAACCTAAAGCATATCCATGCTGCCCCCTTTGCAGTAAAAGGACTAAATGCCCAAAAACAAAATAAAATAAAACAGAACATACATGATGCATAAATAAACAAAGAATACTGAAAAATGCAAAGATATAAGAACATGCAAGATAGCATTATGTAGAGGTACCTGCGATGGATACTGCCAAGAGCAAGAGCAATAGATCCAGAATAGTGCACGTCAGTAACCCCATATACTTCGCCGAGGAGCAACTTCGTCTGTTCATCACAACCAATTATTAACAAATGGAATAAACCAAGAAAAACATGTAGGCAAAGACACATAGAACAAATGGGCTCAATTGCTATCTAAATATGTATTAAGAGGACTTAATGAAAAGCTAGCAGAGCAGAAACATTGATACTCTTATGCCAGAATTACTTGTAGTCTATTCCGGTACTGCAAACTAACCAATTATGATCCAGAATATTGAATTGCACAAATCCATCAGACTAACCAATCTTGCAGCAAATATATCGTTCCCAAGCCGAGCTAGGAGACCAAGACCTTCTGATGAAGCTCGACGTTGCGAAGCCAATATATCACCTTCAGCCAAAATGCTCTGGCAAAGTCCAAATTTAAGTCCAAGAACCAAAAGCAGTCAACCAAATATACATTAAAAATAGCTACCTGGAAGATGGATTGTGCTGCAGCCAATATGTCCAAACCTAAAGGCTCAGGTCGTAAGGCAAGAAGAGACTGCAGACAGGCGGAGATAGATCAGGCAGAGGAAACATGAAACTATTGAAACCTACAAAGCTACTTAAATGCTAAGAGCACCTTTAATCCAGAAAGTAGCCCCACACAGATATTTGTGACACTGGCCACACGCCAAGCTTGTTTTTTCCCAGATTTTAGACACTGCTCAATTATGCCAAGAAGAGATAACATCCCACTGCTATCCTGGGATAAGCCAAACCAAAAGTAGAAGAACTTTCATCCATGATCTGTGGGATAGAAACAAATGCAACACTGAAGCATCAAAAGCTACCTGGGAAGCAAACATGGTCCCAAAACAGAGGAGCATTTGATTCACCAACATCTTGCTAACTGTTTCTGGCTTCAAGATTAGTTACATGAGGTCAGAAAAGCAGTAATAAACACGGGACAGAGTCAAATCACTGCACTTTTAGGGCGGATAGCAGTCAGATCCAAATAAAAAGGGAAAAATGAAGTTGACCATAGTTAAAGCTCATGAAAGGAAGTAACTATCAGTGACTGATCTGGATTAATCTTTAAGAACCACCTCATGATATATATTAGTTGATGATAGTTGTAAAAATCAAAGACAAAACACATCATGCAAAATCACAATTATATTGCCTTCTACATTGGGAAACTTGCTCAAAAGAAAAAATTATAACGAGCTAATAATTTAAGGCCATCCTTCTCTCAAGGTTGACTGTCTCGGGCTGCTACTCTGTTAATTCATCTACCTCATGCTAGCTCTAAACTCTAGAATTTTAATGCTCTTGAGCTTCCTTTTTATACTATTTTTAGGAGACAACCACTGTCCTGTACACTACTGTAGACATACTAAGACAAAGTTCATTTCCATTGAATTTCTTTCAAAGATCCAACCATTTGCTAAATAAGCCTGTGCAAGCAAAATTCTCTCTTTCCCATGTTACAACACGGTGTTCTTCCCACCCAACAGCCTTAAATTGGCAGAAGGTTTTTTTCACTTGAGTAGATAGACCTTTACCTGTGGAAAACTCGGAGGGTCATGCTCCCAAAGACATGGCAAAACACCATCTTTTCCCCCTTGAAATGATCTGAGTTCATCCTCAAGCCAATCCCTAAGATAAATACATATTTTAAACAAGGATACAATAGATAAAAGCAACACGGAAAACCAGAAAAAAAAGGTAAACGCTGATGCCTTTCTAACACTGGACAACAAAAGTATCCATCCTCATTAGGGATAGATCAACATGTAACACAAAAACAGCAAAAAGGAACACACCAATATGCACCTAAAGATGTTATAAAATGATAAGAAAAAATTTATTCAACAAAAATGACATGTAAAGTTTTAATCGTTTTTCCATTCTAGACACCTTCCAGGAGTCCAAGGTCCAAGTGATGCATCCCTTTTGTCCAACAGCAGCCTCAAGCATGAGCTTTCCTCAAATTTGGAGGGATCCCTTTAACAGACAATAACATTTTAATTCATTTAGTCTGGATGTTCAGGAGTAAGGTCAATAACATGATAGACAGCAATAACTAAATCAGAAACAAAATTATAGATAAACCAGCAACCTGATGAATTAAGGAGCAATATTTACCTAAAAGGATTAGTGCATATCTGAATAATACGGGGATGGTCACTCTTATATGCTGAAGGGTCTGATAGTGATTGATAAGCTATTAGTGTCTTTATGATCAACACATCCATTGCAACTTTAATATTCGCCTGTTCTTTCGTAGCCAAGAGTGATATATATGACAATGCCCTAACCACAAGTACACAGGTATAGCATCATCAGCAATGGAGAATGGAAACAAAGTTAATCTAAAGCAAATAATAAAACAAGGTGAATTTACCGACTGAGGTATAATAACACTGGTTCAAGTAATATTCCCTTGTTACCACCATCAGAAGAGACAAAACACTTGATAAATGCAGTAAGGGCGTCAATTGCAGCAGACCAGACACTACAAGATACAAAAGAGAGATGAATATCAATACAATATAACAGTAAAAGCAAACACAAGTTTTGCAGCAAAGGCTCAGATTTAAAGATTACTGGAACAGCAACAGGCGATCAAAAAGTTGTCTGGTTGATAAAGCTGTTCCCAAGATGAAAAGGGAAGCATGACAACTTCACATGTTGCAAATGCAGATGAGCAGGAAAGGTAAAGCATGGATCTGCTGTTTCAGCTTCCAAATTTTCCATTCTAAATCATCAATATTCATTATGAAAACTAAAAGATTCAGAATTCATCCTATGTCACAAAAATTTGAAATGTACTTTCAAGAAAGGTGGAAGACAGTCTTAACTCTTAAAAACACCACTCACTTCTCAAGTACTAATTAACAACCACTCATGCAACAATAATTAAAATTATTTCAATGAATGAAAACCAAACGTAGTTAGTGATTCACAAGCCATATGCTCATTTCTTGTAAGTAGCATTCCATCGAATTAAAAATGCATAACTTCAGAAAACATTCAGGAATATTGTAGTGCAGAACATTTTCACTTCCGCAATTTAGTGATCGGACATAATCTTTCCTTCTTCTGGGAGCAACAGGGACAAGTCTTAGAACACATCAGCAAGTGATTGTTTCTAACAGAATCTAAAACTTAAAATCTCCCTCCTAAAAATGATCTGGGCATACAACATGTTTACAAACATACAGACAACAGCAATTCTTTATTGCCTAGCAAATTTCAGGAAGTACCTTGAGAAAACCTAACAAAGCAAAGTCTATCACATTACATTGAATCATCGCATGGCATTTAGGCAAAGAAACAATTATCAGTTTCAGATTGTCTTTTTGGGAGGATACCTAATTTAGTTCAGTGTCTTCATGGAACTATAGAAATTCTTTTACATGTAATGAGGCAAAAAATTATGCATATTGGGGAAGGACACTATAAAATAAAGTCCCATCAACGTTCCCTCACAAGGAAACTAAGCCTGGAAGCATTTTGGGGAAGGAAACTATAAAATAAATTCACCCTTAGAAAGGAGGTTGCAAAGATAAAGGTTGAGTTGACATCATAATCAATGGAATCACTAACCTTATTGAATGATTCAGATTTTCATTTGGACTAATAACATCTGGATGTCCATTGAACAAGGAGGCCCACAAAGAAAGGATGTCAAAAACCTGATCTTCAAGTTCCTGCATACAAGAGATGACAAAAAACAGCAATTAAACTTAGAAACCTAGAGCAATAAATCCAAAGACCTACTTCCTTTACCTCCTTTGGTATCGATGACAAAAGTGAGGATAGAAGCATCCACCCTGCTTCTTTTTCAACAGCAGAAGCTAAAGGATTCCGACTCGAATCTGTTAGCATTTTCTTGGAGACTTCAAGAACTGATCTTGGTAATCTACATCCAACAAAACGCTGAGCAACAATACACTAAAAACCACTTGAGATCCAAAAACAACTAACCAAACGGGATTCGTCTAACGGATGGTATTTGTCAGTAAACAAGGGTAAATATGTGCCCATTCTAAAATCAAAACATTAAATGATCGAGATGCCAACGCAGAGGAAGGGTTTGAAAAGAACCTGGATGGGTAACCAAGGGGCACTTTTGGTGAGACAGACACCAAAGCTGCCAGAACAGCAGCTTCCCCATGTAGACACTCAAGCTCAAATTGCAGATTATTTCCCTAAATCAATTAACAAAAAATCCACCAGCAATCACTACTAGCATGTATGAGGATGAGATACTTTTGTGGAACAAATGGGCAAAAAAACTTGACACAAAGCCCAAAATCCTCGATCTTCAATATAACAATAACATCAGACTTCAATGGAACATAAGAGGTACAAGATGCGGTAATTTTATCCCACATTTGGATGTAGAATGACAATTTGAAATATCTCGCAAATGTATTACTGTCAATCAACCCAACACCTCTTTTGAAAAAAGACCAGTATTTAAGAGATACCCTTTGTTTGCAAATAATGAGGTAGTCGACAGTACATGAACATGTTAGATCAACTCAATGGTTATCGTCTGATAAACTGTACCATTAATAGAACTTCGGGAACTAAGTATTATATATATATTTTATACACACGCGCGCGCACACACACACACACACACACACACACACGCACACACACACACACACACACACACACACATATATAAAGGAATGAAATCAAAGTCTATGGCACCCATTATACCAATTAGATTATATAGGATGTGAGAATCGGGTAAGTTTTGGTCTGTCAAAATGCCTTACCAAAAGCCAGGAAGGCATCTTATCAACAGCCAGTAAGGATTCTAGTGTCAAAAACAGTATCCAGCATGACCATCAAATCAGGAAAAGAAACAATGTGAGAACCATCAATCTTGCATCTCAAACATATTAGATTCAATCTACACTAAGATAGAACCTAATGACCATAGTAGTTAGTATCGCACTTTACGCATCTACCTTAATGAGTAATGACATCTTTCCAACAGCCTCTCTAACCCCAACGTGGTACAGCCAATAACAATATGGAAGCAACAAATGCAGAAGTAAATAAATGCTTAAATCAGAGCGAACACTAAGATAACTTAAACAAGCAAATGAAACATCTGATGCGAGAATTAATACATACCTTCTCAAATGCAACATTTTCTCGTGCAGCGCTAAGCATTGTCACTGCATAAGAGATTAAACCACCAATTGAGGAAGGGTCAACCTCAACGAGGGTACGTAATGTCAAAGCAGCCTCCACACGTACCTGTCACATACTATGTATTATCACCAAGAAAAGAAGGGGGAAAGGAAACTAAACAAGATAGACAACAAACGAACAAAAAAGGTACAAAACAAAGCAAAGCACCAATTCAAGAAGGAAACAAATCATTTAAGAAAACGACTGCACGAGAAACATATAAAGGAGGACCTGACATTGACCGGGTGCCTAATCATGACCAAAATATACTGTCTACTTAAGCAATATCGTAAGGAGGGCTCAAATCAATGCACATGGCAGGAAGCATGAATAACAGTACAAGGATATCAGAAATGCAATGCTTTTTAAACATAGTAACCAAGCCTCGAAAAAAGATAGCAACCGACTAAGCAGACACCCCATGAAAACCACCTTTCGAGATTCCTCAATGTACAGGAAAAAGTGAGACCAACAAGTATATTCTGATCTGACTTGCCAATAATTTAATGTGGCACACATATCAAGGCAAGGTTTTCGACAATATTACAAAATTAAAACAAGATAATGGGAATGCTCAACCAAGAGATGCATAATTGGCCTGGACAGAAAATTTCAAAGAAAAACACTCACCAGAGGAGAGTGATAGGAAAGTGCAGCAACGATAGTGTCATCAAGTAACTCTTTAAACTCTTGAGGTACCTGCATGATACAGAATTTCAGAGAGAGGAGCAAGCATAAATGTAAGATGATTGATATCTCACCAACAATGAAATGCAATAGTTAGTTCATTTGATTGCCCTTAAAAGCGTATACAAGCAAAACAACAGGAAATGCAGTAAAGCCAGTCCTGGGGGGGAAAAAATAGACACTGAATTAAGTTCCAACATAGCGATTAACGTTCACCTCTCCCAGTGTTTTCAATGTATATGAAACAGTACGCAAAGCAGCAACGCGCATGGAAGGTGTAGCAGTAGACAACTGAAGCTGCACATAAAAGTAAGACTCAATCAGTAAAACTAGCGAATCAGGTAAGATAATCTGCTCAGAAACCCAAGCTGCCGAAGGAAAAAAAATTTTAACATCTTGGCAAACCTGTTTTCCCAAGAAAACCAAGAAGCTTCTCTGAGTAGGTTCACTCATCAAATCGGTGACACCAACACGGAGAATATATAGAACACAAGCCTGCGAAAAAACCAAAAAAAAATGTTCAATGTTTTTCTTTTCCCCAAGAAATTGTGGGGATAAACCTCAGCCTGAAAGTCTCATTAAATGACCAGCAGCCCTTCAAAAACTGTACACTCTGTTTGTTAACCACAATACGAATACAAAAAGTCCATTCAAAAAACTGTACCCACACTCTGTTTGTTAACCACCATACGAACACAAAAAATGCATGCAGTTGTGACGGTGAACTGAAAGTAGAGTCGAACCACAAAAACTTACCAACTTTTCTGATCTGGCTGGAAAGATTCAAAATAGAAGATTACCCAGAAAGGCGAATTGAAAGAATAAGTTTATTTCATTACGTAGGTTAAAATGTTATCCAGATCAGTCGACATTTTGTAAGTTATTGTTCACAATAGTTTCTCCCCAACAAACAAGCACTTCAACCAAGAGTCATCTTTTAAATATATAAATTGAATATTAAACTAGAGAAATCAACTGTATTCAAGTTACCTTCTCTCAAATTGATAGACCATGTCAACAAGATTTCTTGCTAATATGAACAAGAGTACCATTACACAAAACCGACAGTGCAGATTCAGTGAAACATACCAGGGTTTGAGCATCAAAAGTGTTATCCATCTGAAGCATATCAATAGCCTGAAGGGCAAAGTTCTGAAGCTCACCGTCCGGTTGAAGATATCTCAAACGCATGGCCTGCAAGAAGCATCATATAAATCATCAAACATTTCCCTCAAATATTGGGGGAGATGATGCAATTAACCTAATTGAATATTAGTTAGTATCACATTAACAATCCAAAAACAATCTCCTAAATCTAGCTGACAAGTTCATTAAAACACAACTGGATGAGAGATTTTATATCTTTCTGAAAGAAGTAAACGTATCAACTATATAAGTACTAAAGCCAAAGAGATGTACTGAAATTTAAATCATTGCATTCTCAATGCAAAATTACAAGACCGCATCACCAAGGGCAGACATTAAGGAAATCAGTCATCATTGCCTGATTTCTGGTGTTTCTTAGTTTCCAATGCCCATATCTTTCTGATATGCAAAAAAAATGAAAGAAAACCCTAAATCTAAACGATAAATGCCAACAGAAAGCAAGGACAAAAGGTTCTTGTGCTGCATGAATTGTACTGTATTTGTTACATCCAAAAACAGCAGTGGAAGTGCAATATTTTATCTGCAATAATGCATAGGAAAATGAAGAGGTGCGCAAGTGAAATTCAACATGGTCCAGAACTTACACATGAAGATGGCTATGTAATTAGCATATCCTCCCCTCTTACGCACATAAGACAAGTTATTTCATATACCTAATCTAAAAACAAAATGCTCCCGAGTTTCACTTCTAGACAAGCAACTTGATCAATTATATGTTACAGGAGCATACAAAATCCCCCCCCCCCCAGAAAAAGGAAAAGAAATTTTGACGTGTCATATATGAAAAGAACCAGGACTTACCTGTAAGAAAGAAACCCATGATAAGGTAATGCCAACACGTAGTTCCTTAACACGTGGTCCAATAGCTGCAAACGAAATATTAGTCAGTTGTGAAGTGAATAAAAATCAAACAAAAACTAGAATAACCATTTAATATTAGAGAAGCAGTTAGTACAAACAATCCATGGACTGAGAAAATATTCCTGACTGAAATTCTGGTAAAGACACCCGTCATCACAAGATCAAATAGAGCATGCTATAATGCAAACAATTCCAGAAAATAATGATGTCCCCAAAAAATATATGAAAGCAACATAAAGAAAGAATCGTAACGCACAGAAATAGCAGAAAACTAATACCTTTCATAAATGGTAAACATAAGTGCCTCTGTAGACCGCCTTCAAATTTCTTTGGTGTAAACTGCGCCCTGCCCCTAGCTTGAATCTAAAAAGGACAACAAAGTGTGAGTTCTTCCCAATATTATAGGCAGCAATCTCCCAGCAGAAGATGAAAACCTGTGCATCGGGATTCATGCCCAGAGCAAGCAACGCTCCTAAAGCTTCAGCAAAAGAATCTCTCACAGATGATACAGGATCCTCAAGGGCCTACAGTTGAAGAATTGTAGTACCAAACAAAAATCAAAAGAAAACACAAACTAATGGGGGACTATAAAGGAGGAAGAATAGAAAACCACATAACAGAAGGCAACCTTTACACAAAAAGATGAAGAAGTCTCAAATTCTCCAATTCCTAGTCCAGGTCCTCCAATATTTGCAAATGCCTTCAAACATCTCGCAGCTGCTATTCTGACTGTATATGATTTATCTCCCACTGCAATCCTCGTTATGACTCGAAATGCTTCCACATATGCAGCAGACGCAGCATTGCCTCCAGACCCTTCCAAAGCATTTTTAAGCATGTGCAAAGCTTCTTGCCTAACAAAATCCTGGAGAAGATGGTTATTAGACATGATAACCCCTCAAAGTAACTAAAACAACCATGTTGAGTATCAGCTAAATGGTTTGAAAGAGCATAATGAAGATAGTGATCTAGATAACATGTGGAAAAAATTACACCCCGTAATCCCCTGGTGCATGCTTTTGATGATCCTACTGACGAGAAATTAACAAATTCCAGAAGGAAGCATCAGCATCAGCATCAACATCAACATATCCAGTACATTCCCAACCAAGTTGTGGTCCGGGGAGGTGGTGGGGGGTGGGGTGTGTGTAGGGTGGTTGGGGTTTCAGATGTATACAGCCTTACCCTTGTAATTATACAAAGAGGCTGTTTCCTGACGCAAGATACATTGTGTCATTTGAAGTATTGATTCCAGCAACTTCACTAATGGATGAAGCACTGGAAATTTAATAGGAACATTTTGATTTGGCCCATTATTAGCACAAAGCAAAAATTAGTAAACAGGAATCGAGAATTAGGGAAACATGCCACCAAGCTCACCACAGTTTAATCAGATAAGAAATGTACACATTCAAGAGAAAAACCAGAACACAGTGGAAAAATTTTGAACTGTCACCTCATTAAATTTCAGAAGTTTTCCCACAATAGTAGTCGTCTCCAATAAGCCAGAAGTTATTCTTCTTCCAAAATAGCGATAAAGTTCTCCTAGGCATTGCGCAGCACCTGTTATTTTTCCGATACAATTAGGAATTGCAGAGGTCAGGTCAAATTTCAGGTATCAATAGCAAGGGCATGCAGAGCACCCACCCAAAACAACAATAGTGTTGAGCACATGCAGAAAAATAAAGCCCCAACAATGATGCCCACCCATTGATTATTAAAGCACAGACTAATTTCCACAAAAGTTCACAAGCATTTGCATGATTCTCGAATTTTAGAGTCTCATTACCAAAATTTACACCAATAGGGGTTGGAAAACAGGATATCTCGGAAGAACACACTAACCAGCTACTCGATGAGGTTCACTCTTTTTCCCATCTGAAAGGAATCCCTGAAGGCTGCTCACTCTTGAATATATAGAAATGCTATCCCCCTTCATTATAATGTTAGCCATTGCCGATGATGCTAAATGGCGCACTGGCCTCCTTGCACCAAGCACTAACAAAGAATAAAGGGCATCCTCGCATTTTCTTTGCCATAGAAGTATAGAATCCTGAAATTTGATAGACATACCAAATAAGATAATGTGCCATTAATCCATATTGACCCAGATTAAACACGATGGTGGTAAAATTTGCGCGCCCAAGTGAGATAAAGCTAGAGCAGAGATTAAACAACAATAACCTTAGGTTCTTCGTCAATGGCGGAGAGGAGATCAGACAGAAGATCGAAACATAAAAGAGGGTCCGGAGGCTTATGAGAAGCGGACGCAACTATTGACTCCAGCTGAGCCACTAAAACACCGAATCTAGAAAGGGGTACGTTCTCTTTAACGTAATTCCTCGCCATCCCAGTTTAGCAGCAGCAAAGCAGATTGTGATTCTGGTAAACTTATAGTGGGAACTTTTTCCAATTACGAAAGAAACAACTTCGAGCAGCTAAGCAGATACTGAGTATCTGTAACTTATAATTGGAACACACTCCAATTACGCAGCAAACACTTCAAATCTCGATAGCCTTGAAGCTCTTTTATTAACGTAATTCTTGGGCGTCCCAGTTTTTGCATCAGCGAAGCAGGTAATGGCTCACAAATGTGTCACACTAATTCACTCCAAATCTTGGTAGGTGTTCTTTCTCCCTCAGTAGGTTCTTCGCCATCAAATTTTAGCAACCAATGAATAATTCAGCAGTAATGATCAAAATGTGTTTACTCAGATTTTCTAGGAGGATTCGAAGCATTGTGTGAAGCTAACAGGATGGTTTTCACATATCAAAATGGGTGAATCTACGGCGTTTTGATATGAACTGAGAAACTGGAAAGCCTGGAATTATGATCAATGGAGAACGGAGAAGGTGAAAATCAAGGAAGGTAAAAGAAGTAGAGGGACTGAAGAATAAAGAATAGGAAAAGGAACCGAAGAAGTCTATGCAGATCGATCGATCGCTGCCAATTGCGTTGGGCCTCTTTCGCTTGTTTTTTTGGACCTGGGCCACAATTCTCGGCGGGCTACTATGTTAACTTCAACCCTAATCCCATTATTATATTAACTTCCTCGTCGAGCTAGCAAAATCGACGAAATAGAAACTACGAAAGTCGACCGTGTAAACTATTTTGTGGGAGTTCTAAAATGATTAAGGGGAGGATATTTAAACGAAGTTCTAAAAATAAATAAATAAATCATACTACCCTTTTTTTTTCAAAGTAAGAGTTCTTTTTGTCAACTATCACAAAACAGCAAAAAAAAAATTATTATTTATACACTACATTATTAACAAATTTTGGACTTCCTAAAATAGATACCTAAAACCCTAGTTTTAATGGCTTTATGTTCGTCATGTATGAGACACGGATACTTAGGTGACAGACACTTATATCCATCTTGTTACATTCCCATGATACTGTGAATATGCTTTTTTGCAATCTCTACACCACATGTATATAATTATTCACATTGCAATTTGTGAATTTTACAATTAATGAATCAAGACGTGATTTAATCTTTTGAGACATAGGGTTACAACATGAATAGGATCATCTCCTAAACCATACACAAACACATTGATGGTGTATTACTAATCAGATCACAAAAATTATCAACAAGAATGTAATTTTTAGAAGGAAACTCAAACAAAATCAATAATATTATTAGTGGTATTAATTGCTAAGCAGTTTCACTGCAATTATTTTTTTTGAAAAAAAAAAACTCATAACCAGACATCAAAATTAGAAAAAAAAAAAAAAAGAAGATTTATAATTTCCCGTTACACTTTCGCATGGATTAATTAAACCATAGGCATTATTGCTCATTAATTTTATAAAAGAATTTTGAGGGAAATAAACAAGGATCTAAAATTAGCTTATTAAAATAGTGTTTTGTCAAATACGGATATAAACAAATAAAAAATATTACTACTACCAAAGGAAAAGCAAGAATAACTGGTTTATCTGTTTTTTTTTTTTAATTTACAATTTTGAGGGAAAAAGAAACCGTAATTAAAATTTAAAATCGAATCCAATTAAAGATTTATTATTAGAACCGAAAGAAATCAGTAAGACGGGACCCGTTTGATGAACCGACCCGCAATCACTTTAAAATCACACCAAGTAACAACAGCACACTTCCAGAAAGCCCTAATACGTAAACCCCTCACTGCTTACTGCTCATCAGTCTTCCCGCCTTCCGAACGCTCGATCTACTCCACCGAGGGCTTTCCATTGCTGAATAATACACTTCCATTGATGGTAATCTCGCTCTGATTTGACCTTATTTCGCTTATCGTCAATCCGTTAAGTTCCTTCTTACCGGTCCGATTCAAAAATGTCGCTGAGGGTTCTGAATCCGAATGCCGAAGTGCTCAATAAGTCGGCGGCTCTGCATATGAACATCAACGCCGCCAAGGGTTTGCAAGATGTGCTCAAGACCAACCTTGGCCCGAAAGGCACCATTAAGATGTACGAGTTTCATCCCTGTTTTAGTTTTTTTTTTTTTTCTTTTTGTTTTTAAATGTGTGTCGATAGGAAGTTTAGTATTCATTTGTGGTTTAACTCGATTTTGTGGCAGGCTGGTTGGCGGAGCAGGGGATATTAAGCTTACCAAGGACGGAAACACTTTACTAAAGGAGATGGTGAGTTACTAGCTAAGTAAGCTCTTTTTTTGGATTTTATTATATTTGCGATCCTGTGAAAAGTTGAGAAACGTTTGAATTTTTTTCTTGTTTTGTTGGTTTGACATCAATTGATAATTCAAGAGTTGTTAATTTTTGCTTCTGTTGCTGCAAAAGTCTCTAATGGGTTAGTTTGTTTGTTACTGATGAGATCTTATCAATGTTTGTAGCAAATCCAAAACCCTACCGCAATAATGATTGCCAGAACAGCAGTTGCTCAAGATGATATAAGCGGGGATGGTACCACTTCCACTGTACTCTTTATTGGTGAACTAATGAAGCAATCTGAGCGTTATATTGATGAAGGTATAAGATTTTTCAACTTCAATTATACATTATCTTGAATTTGGCTATTTTCTCCTTCTCTTTTGTCTTGGACTCATATGCTTTGAATTTACATTGCATTGTAGAGTCTCCATCTCCTGATGTTTATTTCTATACTGTTTATATTTAAAATATCAAGATTATTCTTGTCCGTGTTTGAGAAAAATGAACACAATGAGCATGTGACAGTTCTCTAGTTGATACTCATTGAATTGAAATCTTTTGGTTTAGCCAGAATATAGAATATATTCAATTTTATAACATGAATATTTCTAGAACCATATCATTCATTGATGCCTTTTGTAGTCTGGCATGAAGAACTGCCTTTTGTTCTCCGCATGTTTACTTGTACTTTTATTTATGTTTCGCAGGTCCTTGTTGTATTAGTAAATTCTTCCTTTTTTTTTCTTTTGCAGGGATGCATCCACGTGTTTTGGTTGATGGCTTTGAAATTGCTAAAAGGGCAACATTGCAATTTCTTGAAAAATTTAAGACTCCAGTTGTGGTTGGTGATGAGCCAGATATAGAGATGCTAAAGATGGTAGCAAGAACAACACTGAGGACAAAGGTATGCATACATATTGAAATCTGGACCATACGTCTATAATTATATTAGATTTGTTCTGACTCCAAATTTTGATCTTCAGTTATACGAGGCTCTGGCAGATCAGTTGACGGACATAGTTGTAAGATCGGTAAGTTTAGTTTCATTCCATACTCTGTTTATGCTAGGCATTGAACTGTTGATCTGCATAGATCATGTTATCATCAATTAAATCACGCTACAAACCATTTATAATTTCGACGAAGAGCTCAACCTAAAGGACATCTATGCTAGTATGAATATCCATTTATGCCTTGCTTCTTGATATTGAACTAGTTAATAGGGTTGTTTGTTTCAATTTATTTGCATTTGCATTTGCATTTGCATTGTAAAGCTTCTGATGTTTTCTGTTGCAGGTGCTCTGCATTCGCAAGCCAGAAGAATCTATTGATCTTTTCATGGTTGAAATCATGCACATGCGTCACAAATTCGACGTGGACACCCGATTGGTATGTCACATCAGCTTCTTTCGTGCAATTTTTTCCCCCTCAATTGAACTTGGTATGTGCTTGTTTGGCAAAAGTGGAGTCTGAAAATTGATTTTCTTGGTTATTTTAAGAGTTGTGCCTTCGAGGGAAATATTATGTGTGATTGCATGCACCGATATAAGTGAATGGTTTTAGGAGATGTTTGAGGATTGAAACAATTAGAAAGCTTTAGATTTTTATTTACTCTTTTTGGTGAATAATTCTAGGTTGAGGGTCTTGTCCTTGACCATGGTTCCAGACATCCAGACATGAAGAGGCGTGCAGAGAATTGTCATATCTTGACTCTCAATGTTTCCTTGGAATATGAAAAGAGGTAAGATTCATGATTCCAGAATTTGGATATTATTTTAACTTCCAGATTTGCATTAACTTTGTATTCTTGTGTCTTTTTTGGTGCTCAGTGAAATAAATGCAGGCTTTTTTTACTCAAGTGCTGAGCAGAGAGAGGCTATGGTTGCAGCAGAAAGACGATCTGTTGACGAAAGAGTTCAAAAAATAATTGATCTGAAAAATAAGGTGATGAAATCCGTGCTATTTCTGGCAGTACAATCTGATGTCTAGTTTCGTGCTAATGGTAGCTCATGGTTATTTTTTCCTGCAGGTTTGTGCAAATAATGAAGACAATTTTGTTGTCATCAACCAAAAGGGTATTGATCCCCCATCATTGGATTTATTGGCGCGTGCAGGGGTAAGCCTTTGGACCTTAATATTTCATTTGTCCTTGACCGTAGTGTGTAACTTATCTGAAACATTTTTAACCACTGGGTTTATCAATATAAATTTATTAATGATGGGAAACCTTTTTTCTATTGTTCTGAGGCTCTGCCATCTTGTGTGATCTCTTAAAACTTTTCCTCCGTAGATTATTGCTCTTCGAAGAGCAAAGAGGAGGAATATGGAACGTTTAGTTTTGGCATGCGGTGGGGAGGCTGTTAATTCTGTTGATGACTTAACTCCTGATTGCCTTGGTTGGGCCGGATTAGTATATGAGCACATCCTTGGAGAAGAGAAATATACATTTGTAGAGAATGTGAAAAATCCACATTCCTGTACCATACTTATCAAAGGTACTCTGAGCACATTCTCCCCTTCTAATGATTTGCCATTTAGGTGGCTTGCTGGCTCTTCTTGGAATTAACAAAACATCTAATCTGGCACCCGATCTCATTTTAGGCCCAAATGATCATACTATTGCTCAAATCAAGGATGCAGTTCGTGATGGATTGAGAGCAGTGAAGAACACCATTGAGGATGAAGCTGTTGTCCTTGTAAGTGCTAACTCTTGAATCCTGTGTGCTGGATTCGTATTTGCCCTGGCTTCTATTAGGGTTGCCATTTCCTTAACTTTCTTCTGCTGTATAAGAAATCAGTTTATTTGCTGCCCCTATTTTTCTCTTTCTTTGTGGCTTTAAACTACTTATTATAACAGCCACTCTTACTGATAGGAACTGCACTAATTCATTTGTAAATCAGGGAGCAGGTGCTTTTGAAGTTGCAGCCAGACAATACTTAGTGAATGAAGTCAAGAAAACGGTTCAAGGGGTATGTCCCAATCTCTACACATGATGTGGTTGTGGTATATATTATATGTTTACAATCTTAACTCCTGTCTCTACTTGCTCTCTGGTAGCGTGCACAACTTGGTGTGGAAGCTTTTGCTGATGCCCTTCTTGTGGTGCCAAAGACACTGGCTGAAAATTCTGGCCTTGACACTCAGGATGTGATCATAGCTCTTACGGTAATCTCTGCTTTTAATGGTTGAACATGTTGATTCCAAAGCTTGGGATTTGTATTCTTTGAAGAATCGCTAATATAACTGTTGTGACAGGGAGAGCATGATAGGGGAAATGTAGTGGGTCTAAACCAGCACACTGGTGAACCACTTGATCCTCAAATGGAGGGCATCTTTGATAATTACTCCGTGAAGCGGCAAATCTTAAACTCAGGGTATGTGATCTTTCCATGGGTTTATATGGATTGGATCTAATATATAGGATTATAGCCTTTAGTGGACATTTGCTCCTAAAATGCTTCTTGCAGATTTTATTCGTCTTTAGTGGATATTCCCTATTGACTTCTTCTATTTATGTCCTGCCCACACAATCAGAGGTAATTAACTCTTTTTTTTTTTTTTTTGCAGCCCTGTAATAGCATCTCAGTTACTACTTGTTGATGAGGTTATTCGTGCCGGTCGCAACATGCGGAAGCCCACTTAGTTTCTGCCCTATGATTATTGGATTTTGTGGCTAGTCTGGGCATTGTGGAGGACCATTGTAAATGGAACATTGCCTCAGATTGCTTTAGAAGGTTTTGGTCTTTATTTGTGCGGATTGTATCAAAACATGAACTGGGTTATGTCCGGTTAAGATTGTAACTTGATGATTTGCAGTGTAGTTTTAATGACCATTGTTTTGTAATCTAGGTTATTTTTGCATCTGTAGTTCACTGTTCTGGCTTAATCAAATGCTTTCTGTTTTGATACTGGCTTTGGTGACTGAAGATTCTCGCTGTTTTAAGGTTGATTTCTTACCCTCGTGGATTCTACATTTTCTTGTTTTCGGTTATGAAGATTTCAAGTGTTTTTTTTAAAAAAAAAAAAAAAAAGTGCAAAAACATAGTTAATACTTCTGTAACGCAATTCAGAGAGGCCATAAAGGTAGCTATTTATATTTAGAAAAAAAAACTGTCATATGAAAGCCTATTGCCAACAACTAGTCGTGCTACTCCTAATCTTGAAATTATAATTAAAATGTAAAATGATACATTAAAAATATAAAAACATAAAGAAAACTGAGCAAACACAAGGAACTATTGCTATAGTACCTAAAGCCATACTAAAAATTAACAGGGAAGACAGCTTGGATTAAGAATGATATGTTTTGTATCAACGTCAAAGTACAAACTCTTTCCAATGTGAATTAAAGTCCCAGAGTAAAAGACACATTATGTATTTCATCCGCACGATTCCGATTCCCCGTTCCATTGCATCCGCAGAGAGAGGAATGCAAAACATAGGAGGAGGTGGCCATCATTGCCATTCTGCCGCAGGAACTGGGGACAATAAGAGAGCACGAACTGAAGAAAGCAAACTTCAATAACTCAAAGATTCTTTCCCACTTTGTTGAAGAGCATATTCTTTCTTCATTTCTTCCAACACAGTGTCATTTGTGCTACACCAAGGTAAAACAGAGCTATCACTTCAAAAGTCATTTGCATGATATCAGGTTTATCATTCATGTGTGTATGCACATTCATTCTGCTGTCATGAGTTCTGCGGGATCTAAAATATGAAAGTTTTCCGGTAAACAGACAGGATTTCCTGAACTTGTCAAACTCAGTGACTTAAGCCCCTTTTCTCGGGTAACTATGGCATGGTCAATCTGCAGTATCACTGACCTCACTCAGCTCATACTCTTACTTGTTGTCTTTAAATGGCCTACTTATTGACATAACACATTTTAAAGGCGAAAATAACTGTGATTGCATTATTATCTCTAAGTCTCTTCATTAAAAATTTAGAGCTACATCCAGATTCTGTTGTGAACATATATGTTACCCCAACCATTGTAGAAACTACCTACCATGCACATATAAACTATCATTTCATTCACATTGAAGTAATAATTGAGCCAATTTGGTCACACTTACAACTGATGAAGGCATTCATTAAGTTCCTTAGCTTGTTTGCGACATTGCCAAACAACTGATAGCGTCCTCCCCACAGCACACTCAGCATACTTCGAAGTGTAAAGATCACATGCTTTAAGTGCTTTCTGCTTCATTTTGCTGCGCAACGCTGAAATAGTGGGCGAATAAATTGCTAAATCAAGCTGAAACACAAATGTTCGCTAACAGGACAAAATTACAGGCTATAAAAGTAAAAATTCTATTCATGAGAGTGGCAAAGTCTTACACTGGCTGCCAACCTAACGTAACCCTCCTCCTTTACACTGGCTTGGAACAGTCAATTGTAAACTCTAAAGAACTAATGAACCCGAGAGTTTACAACAGGCGGAGACGTAAAAATTCTATTATGTGGCTTAAAATAGAAATGTATAAACAAATTACAGAATGGGCCTCAATGGCTCAATCTGTATGACAAATTAAAACTTGATAAGACGACATAAATGAACAGTTGACATAGCCAGAAGCCTAGTTCACTGACCGTGATAATGGAACATCACACAATTTCATCTCATTTCACTAAAAACAAGTTAATCTTTCCGTACAGGGGACTAATTATAAACAGAAGAGTTTAGAAAATATAAGGGGACATCTAGGCACATGAAGTACCTACTTCAGAAAAAAATACCAGGGGGGATTTCCTTGAGGATGATTTCACTAGGATAAAGAAATGCGCAAGCTAATTAGATCATAACAGCATATCAATTTCAAGAGAAAATCAGCACAAAAATCTAGCTACCGAATCACATCTTATACTCATAAAATAAAATTTCAACTATTCTAAACAGAAAAAAATGAGAGGGGGGAAGAAAACACAGTTCTCAAGCATAAACCCTTCATACTTACAAGCAAGAAAACAGTGAGAACGAATATCCGAAACTGTCAAGAGTATGATTTGTTATTATGCATATAAATTAAAAAGAAAAAGAAAAAAAAAGAAACTGATGCAGAAGCATAATTAACAGTTTCATGAAATGGACAGCTGCAGACACTATATAGAACATTAGAACCCAATTAAGAGAAAGCATAAATTGAGGTTAATCAGAGTTCATTTCCATTCATTCCCGGGGCAGCTATGTTAAGAGATAAATCAGAAATTAGATTAAAAAATAACCAAACTATCTACAATACTCCGCTGGAAACAGTATTATTAATGTCTTCCAATTTTTACCTTCTTCAACCTTCTTTTTGACGTGATTCTCGCGGGCTTCCTGCACATAACCCATAGAAATGTCGTCCGAGAGTGGTACAGAGTTTACAAGACTCTTGACTTCTTCCTTTCACTCTCCCGCCGGCGATGCGATTGCAGTTGCTCGCGTGGGTAAACCGCCACTCTGAACTCTGAAACGACGAAAGTCTACGAAAAATTCGTGTTCTCCGGCGACAATATGACACGGTTTGTGTTAACAGTCTTGAATTGGGCCGGTTTGACATGGGTAATAGTATTTCCCACATCCTGAGCAAATGGTTAGAAATTGGGCCTTGAGCTTCCGGATATTGTTAGTATGGTCCATCATTAAATGGAAAAGAAAAGAGACATTCTAGAGGATTCGATAAACCATTCCACATTAACATTTTCTTTTGATTTCTTTACATAATTATTCATAGTATGATTATTACTTAGCTACTTGTTAATGTTCCGTCAAAATCAACTTAGGAGGCGTTTGTTTAGTACCTGGAAACGGATTTGAATGATGACGGATTGGGTTCAAATAATCGTAGGATTCGTGAATCTAATAGTATTTTTGGTTTAAGACAGGAATTCATTTATTTCAGTTTTTGTATTTTTTTTCCTCTTCCCCTTCGATGGTAGCTCCTCTTCCTCTTCGCTCAAACACCATCGTCTCCCCAAAGTTCTCTTCCAAAAATCACCACCAATTTCTAAACAAACAGCTCTTAGTTGATATTGTAATATTTAGTATATTTCATATAATGTTCTTGTTTAGGGTTTGTTATTATCTATATATAGTCTGTATATTGTACATAACATCATCATGAATCCAATACAATTTCCCTATTCTAAGTTGGTATCAGAGCTAGGTTTAACAAAACCTTCTTTTTTTTTTCTCATCTCTCTTTTCTCTCCCCCGCCGCTGACTCCTTCTTCTTTGGCCGTGCGAACTCCATCCCCCGTAGTCGGCCTCTTTCTTCTGTTCTTAGCCGCCACATACAGGCTCTTCGCCGGCATGCGCTTTCGTTGTCTTCCTGAGCTGCCGGTGTTTCCGTGCGTTGTCGTTGTCGTTCGTCGGAGTTTCTGCTCGCTGCCGCCGGCTCTTCTTCGCTGCCGGCCCGTTGTTCCTGGGCTCCCGCCTGTCTTCGCTGCTGCGGCGGGTGTCGCCGCTTCCTTGCCGCCGCCGGCCGGCGGCTCGTTCTCTCGCCGCCGCCGGTGTTGCTCCCCGCCGCTTGTTGTTGCTTCTTGATTTTCCTGCGTTCCTTTGGTTCCTTTTTTTTTCTAAGTTGCTGCTGCTTTGTGTAAACAAAACAAAACCGGGAAACCAAAAAAAAAAAAAATCACTTGGGCTTTATTACGTCTTGCTTGCTTACCTTCAACGATGACTATCACCGACCTTTCATCCACCGACCAGGATACCCATCTTCGGCCGACGGCACCTTCTTCACAGCCACCAGTATCATTTCTTCAACCTAGTCTGCAATCTCTCAATCGTTCTTTTACTGTGAAGCTGCAATCTCGAGACAACTATTCGTCTTGGCGTCTTCAGTTTACTCCTTTATTGACTATGTTTCGTGTTACCGGTATTGTCGACGGCACCGACCCTGCACCGCCACGTTTTCTTCCTTCCATCAGTGGTGCCGCGCCCCAACTCAATCTTGAGTTTGATATCTGGCAGCAAAAGAATCAGCTGGTCCTCTCTTAGATTCTTTCTTCCGTTGCTGAAGACATTTTTCCCGTTCTCCGTGGTCGCACAACGTCGGCGGTTGTATGGATGACTCTTCACAGGTTTCAAGACTCTTTCTTATGTTCAACAGACCCAGCTTGTTATGGAGCTCCACAGCTTGCAAAAAGGTGACTTGTCGGTCACGGCTCTCCTCTCCAAAGCGAAGGGCATCGTAGATACACTGCAGCTTGTCGGCCATCACATATCTCCTGCGGAGTTCAATGCCATAATCTTCCGCAAGCTTGGTGTCGAATTCAATGGTATCATCGGAGCTCTACAGCAGCAATCCGAACCCCCCTCCTATCAAGATCTCTTTGGACAGTTAGTTTCGTATGAGGTGCTTCTTCATGCCCAACAGACGGTCCTTCAGCCCACGGCCATGCTTGTGCGGCCGCCACCTTCTCTTACGCCGCCTCAATCCTCTCGTGCCGATCGCCGCAACGCGGCCGCCGCGCAATCGTGTTCGGCCGTGGTGGTGGCGGCGCGGTACACCCTCCTCCTCGGGTGAGACGTGTCGCCTTTGCGGCATCTTGAATCACACGGCCGCCACTTGTCGACGCCGTTTTGATGCTAATTTTGTTCCTCGAACCCCGCCGTTCGGTCGGCCGCTTATGCAGTGCAGTTTCTCCCGCACCGCTTTCGGTGGTTTGTTGCCTCTTCCGTTTTACCCGAGTCGACTATGTCTCCTCAAGCCCATATGGGCAAGATGCCCTTCCGTCCCTCCCCGGCATCCGACACCGGTGCTACCGATCATGTCACGCCGCATTTGTCCTCTCTAAGTATCTCCAATGATTATACTGTACGGATCATATTTTAGTTGGTAATGGAGATGCTTCACCTATTCAAGATGTTGGTCAACTGCTTTGCCATCGTTTTCTCGTCCTCTTTATTTAAATTGTGTCTTGCATGCTCCTTCTCTTACTAAGCCTCTGTTATCTGTTCAAAAGTTTACCCGTGATAATCACTGTTTCTTTGAATTTTATTCTGACTCTTATTGTGTTAAGGATCTTTCAACCAAGGAACTCCTCCTCCGCGGTCAGGCTGATAATGGTCTCTATCGTTTAGATCTTCCTGCTCGTGGTTCCTTGTCTCCAGCAGCTTATCTTGTCTCTTTAGGTCAATGGCATGCTCGTTTAGGGCACCCTAATAATGTCACTCTTTGTACTTTGGTTAGGCAGTTTCAACTCCCTCATTCCTTTGTATCCACGTCCACTGATAAATATGAGGCGTGTTGTTTAGGGAGGTTGCATAGGGTTAGTTTACCTTCTACTTTTCATCGTAGCTCTAAACCTCTTGATTTAATTCACACTGATGTTTGGGGCCCTACTCATATTTTGTCATTCAATGGTTATCGCTACTTTGTGCTTTTTATTGATGACTTCTCTTTATTCACATGGATTTATCCCATTAAGTATAAAAGTGATGTTGTCCATGTTTTCAAGCAATTCAAAGCTCTCGTAGAAAAACAATTTGGCACTACCATTAAAAGTGTTAACTCTGATTGGGGTGGTGAATTTCGTTCTCTCAATTCTTTCTTTAAGGATGTTGGTATTGTTCATCGTTTAGCGTGCCCACACACTCATGAGCAGAATGGCACTGCTGAACGCAAAATTCGTCACATTGTCGACATTGGACTTGTTCTCCTTGGCCATTCCAGTACCCCTTTTCAGTTTTGGGATTTTGCTTTTGAAACTGCTGTGTTTTTGAAATTCCAGTACCCCTTTTCAATACTCCTACATCCTTCACCCAAGCCAAATCCTTTCCTCAGTGGCAGAATGCCATGAAGGATGAAATTTCCGCCCTCCTCAAAAATAACACATGGACTTTAGTTCCTCCTCCTTCCTCTGGCAATGTTGTCGGTAATCGATGGCTCTATAAGATTAAGACCCATGTTGATTGCTCCATTGAGCGGTATAAGACTCGGTTGGTGGCTCGAGGTTTTACTCAGTCTTTTGGGTTGATTACACTGACACATTTAGTCCGGTTGTTAAGCCGGTCACCATTCGCTCGGTTTTTACTGTTGCCCTGGCTCGTGGATGGTCGATTTCTCAGCTTGATGTCAGTAATGCCTTTCTTAATGGTGTTCTGAGTGAGACCCTGTATATGGTTCAGCCACAGGGGTTTGTTGATCCGGTGCGCCCTCATTATGTGTGTAAACTGCATAAGTCCTTATATGGTCTTAAGCAAGCTCCTCGGGTCTGGTATTCTCGGCTGGCAGCATTTCTGCTTACCTTGGGTTTTGTAGAGTCTCGTTGTGATCCTTCCCTCTTTGTCTATCGCCGTGGGTCTCAGTTGTGTTTTTTGCTGGTCTGTGTGGATGACATTATTCTTACAGGCAGCACTTCTGGTTTGGTCTAGCATTTTATCTCTTGTCTTGCTAAGGAGTTTTCTCTTCGGGATTTAGGTCCATTGAGTTACTTTCTTGGGGTCGAGGTTCGTCGTACTTCCAAGGGTTTGCTTCTCTCTCAGCGCAAGTATGTCACTGATTTACTACGACTTGCGAATATGCATACTTGCAAACCTATTTCCACTCATTTGCAGGCTAATGTTGTGTTGTCCCGTTTGGATGGCACTCTGTTGTCTCCTGATGATGCGACTACTTATCGCTGGCTGTGTGGCAGTCTGCAGTATATCACTCTTACTCGTCCAGATATCTCCTTTTTGCGGTTAATAAGCTTTGTCAGTTCATGCATCAGCCTCGCACTTCTCACTTTCAGGCTCTCAAACGGGTTCTTCGCTATCTTCGTGGTACCGTTGATTTCTGTTTAGTTCTGCATCCTACAGATTTGGGCGCTCTTACTGCCTTTAGTGATGCTGACTGGGCTGGTTGTCCGGATGATCGTCGTTCTACTACTGGTTTTCTCATTTATTTGGGACCTAATCTTATTGCATGGGCATCTCGGAAGCAGCCCACTGTGGCTCGATCGTCTACTGAAACTGAGTTTTGTGCGGTTGCTAATGTCTGTGTTGAACTGCATTGGGTGTGTCATCTGTTGTCCGAGTTGGGCGTTTCTTTATATCGCCCTCCCTCTATTTGGTGTGACAACAGTAGTGCAGTTTTCCTTGCTATCAATCCTGTGTTCCATGCTCGTACCAGACATGTTGAGGTTGATTTTCACTTTGTTCGAGATCATGTTCGGCGAAAGTTTGTTTCGGTCAAGTCTATCTCTGTTACTGATCAGCTTGCTGATATTCTGACAAAACCCTTGTCTAAAGAATTATTCTTTCGATTCCGGGACAAACTTCGGCTTCTCTCTTCTCCGCCATAAGTTTGCAGGGACGTATTATAATATTTAGTATATTTCCTATAATGTCCTTGTTTAGGGTTGGTTATTGTCTATATATAGTCTGTATATTGTACATAACATCATCATGAATCCAATACAATTTCCCTGTTCTAAGTGTTGATAATCAAGCCTCATAATTCGAGGTCTGTATCTACTATTGACTTGATATCTGTTTTTAACTTTTTATATTGGTAAAAAGTTTTAATCACAACAAAATGCTAGTACTGCAAAGTTCCCCACTTTTGGTTAGTACTACCATTTAGAAAAAAAAATTGTTAAAAAAGATTAAAAGAATTATGGCCAATTATATGGATCAAAGTGGGAGCTTTTATGCTTTGCGGAATCAGATCCCATAATCTTTTTCTTTACTAAATAAATCTTCTCCAACAAAAATTAAACCCAACACCACATTTGAGCAAATTCCCACACCGTAAATTGTAAAATGTAAAACAATGAGATACAGTAAATAAAAAGGACATTAGTCCACCTGCATTCGTGGTTTTTTCACTTCAGAGTTCGCCAAACTGACAGACACTTAATAGCAACAAGCTCGATTTATGGCCGCCTCCGATACCGCCGTTGTGTCATGGTTTTCTCTCCTCAACCTCCTTGTTGTCACTGCCAAATGTTTTATTTTGCACTTGTAGATTCTAGAATAAAGCTCATGTTCAGTATTTGACAACAAACATACTTTTCCTTCAGGGGTTCAGGGGAAGATGGGCAACTAGGACTTGGTGATAATGAAGAGAAAGAATGGGTTTGCGTTGTGAAAGCTCTCGAGCCCTACACTGTTCGCTCCGTCGTTGCTGGCAGTCGGAATTCCCTCGCTATCTGTGATGACGGAAAGGTAAAACCCCCGAGTTTTACCCTGCAAAATCATTTGGCATTGTAATAAAAAGTTCTTATTTGGGTTCTTGAGTATTCGTTTTGTATGGCTATATGTTTAAATGTTTTATTGGTTTTTCCGGAATTAGTTGTTTACCTGGGGCTGGAATCAAAGAGGGACTCTGGGACATCCACCCGAGACTAAAACTGAGAGTGTTCCCAGTCTAGTGAAAGCTCTCGCTGATGTTAAGATTGTGCAGGTGAATTTTTTTTTTTATAATAATCTAATTTGCTTGTTTTGTTCTTCAATATAATCCAAAGGTGGGATGTTGTCTAAGAAAGATTTTTTTTTTTTTTTGGTGTAATTTTTTTGCTTTCTTTCAGGCAGCTATTGGTGGGTGGCATTGCTTGGCTGTTGATGATCAAGGCCGAGCTTATGCTTGGGGTATATATACTTGTGTTTTCACTTGATTTATTTCTCGGTGGAAAAGTAGAATATTCGACAAGTTTCTATTAACTTACCACAATTTTTAACTTTGGATTTGTTGTGCAGGTGGGAATGAGTATGGACAGTGTGGAGAAGAACCTGAGCGGAGAGCTGACACCGGCAAGCCTGTAAGGAGAGACATCGTGATTCCTAAGAGATGTGTGCCTAAGCTTACGGTTCGGCAGGTCATAAATTTAAGACACTGATTTATGGCTGAACTTTTAGTGTTTGGTTGCCTTTCTTGGTCTCAGTTTGCTCCACTTGTTTAATAGGCTTGTAATATGGCATCACGTCCTCTGGGAAACACAAGCTTGTTCTTCCTTCTTTCTTTTCTCTTGAGTCTTAAGCCTTGTTTCTAAAGGAGGACGTAGCAGGGTCTGAAATGATGGAAGATAGATACATTCATCTGTGATTACTGTTGTAAAGGATGATTTCAAGTATGAAAGCTTTTTTTGTATAATTGTTGCGAATGTGAGTTAGGATTAACCCTGAAGCTCTTAAAGTAGTTCACGCTCACTGGAAAGAAGCATGTTAAATGTGGATTTCTGACCTGGAATATAAAATATTCCCTTTATTTGGAAGGTATTGTTCATCTTTGTCGAAACTTCAGGGTCCTTTTTTTTTTTTTTTTGTTAAAAACAGGTAGCTGCTGGTGGCACACATTCAGTTGTTCTAACAAGGGAAGGACATGTGTGGACATGGGGTCAACCATGGCCTCCTGGGGACATGTATGGTAGTTTTGGTTGATTTTGGTTGAGTTTCCTTATCTTCAATTGTAAAGCTCCCAGGATTGATTTTTGAATCTTCTGTCTTTTTTTGCCAAAACTTGAACAGAAAGCAAATTTCCACACCTGTTCGAGTTCAAGGTCTTGAAAGCGTGAGATTGATTGCAGTCGGAGCTTTTCACAACTTGGCTCTTCTTGAAGATGGAACACTTATGGCTTGGGGTAATAATGAGTATGGACAGCTTGGAACTGGCGATACTCAGCCAAGATCACAACCTATTCCTGTCCAAGGGTTATCTGGCCTTACTTTGGTCTGTACATTTATCTCGAGAACATCTTCAAAATTGTCATTTCCTTATATTGATCTTAGTTCACTGAATTTCTCCTCATGGATATTCATTATTGATTTCATAATCTTGTGTCTTCATATGACAACTCATTGCAGTTTTATTTATTGGTGTCACCCCTTGGAATATTTCGTGGAACTTACTGCATTTATGTGTCAGGTTGACATTGCAGCTGGAGGTTGGCATTCTACTGCATTGACAGAAGAAGGCGAGGTATTTTCACTTTACATATTTTATTGGTGCTTGCATTTGTGCTTTTCTCTGCAGCAAAATGCCATTGTTTTGTGACTGTCATTCATGTATTGAATGCATTTGAAGTATCAGATTACCAAGATCTTTACAGTAATTTGCATTGGTAGCTAATCTGCAACACTGCAGCTGCATATTCTATATGCTGAGTTTTGTTCATTTGTGTCGCAGGTATATGGTTGGGGCAGAGGAGAACATGGTAGGCTTGGTTTTGGTGATGATAAAAGCAGTAAAATGGTGCCCCAGAAAGTTCAACTTCTAGTTGGAGAGGACATTGTACAGGTTTGGACCTCAACACTGTATAATGTTAATGATCTAAACTATTGCTACGTTTTACCTTTACCTTATGATGGTTTCTTTTGGTAACTTCATTTGGATGGAGAATTAATTAGTGGAAAGTTGGATCTTTCTTTGTTATTAGTATACTTGTATTCTGGCAAACTTGTGAATCCATTTTATTTTACTTCCTGTATGCATTTACTTGAAGTTTTGATCTTCCCTAGTTTAGAAGTGTTTTTGTGGAGCATTCTTCTACTTGAGTTCCTAAGAACTTTAGGATGCTTCTGATTACATGATCGTCAGAAAATGTTGTCTTACCCGTAGCTCAATTTGAACCTTTAAAAGATCATGTGATTCTGAGCTTGCACAAATCATCGTCAAGGCAATTGTCTTAACTGATAAGTGATAACGTTCTTGATGTTGTTGTGTTAGAACCTTATTGCGTTCATCTGGTTCTGAGCACACATAGGTTAATTAACTGCTAGTAAAGAATGAACTTTTATGGCTTATTATGTGACAACTGCCAATCTTTTTGCAATTTTTGTTGATCAAATAGGTACCCTTGGAGGTTGGCAAATAGAATGAAGCATTTATAAGAGAACAGTAGCACTTTTGTTGACATTTGTTTTTCCAAATTTAGATCTCCACTGTATGTATGAAGTTATGAATGTGATTCTTATCTGCTGCAGGTTTCTTGTGGAGGAACCCACTCGGTTGCTTTAACGCGTGATGGCCGGATGTTTAGTGTGAGTACTTGGACACTCTGACCCTAAGTGATCTCTCTTTTCTTACATAGATAAGTTGGCAACTTGGGGGGTAATTTATCAGCTTACATAATTGACAGAGTTTGTGACAATCAATTTAGCTTTTGAACCTGAATGTATTGCTTCAAGTCAAGATCATTGTTGTGGCACAAAAGAATTATTCACCATTTCATTCATTTGAGGGTCATGTTTTTAATCAGATGACAATGAAATGCTGACTAGTTTTGAGATTGGCAGTTTGGTAGAGGAGATCATGGACGCCTTGGCTATGGGAGAAAGGTGACAACTGGCCATCCTTCGGAAGTACCTTTAAACAACATCCCTCATGGAGATCTCGGCGGAAATGAAGCTGAAGGCAGTTGGTTTGCTAAGTATGTAGCCTGTGGTGGCCGCCACACTCTGGCAATAGTAGAGCGGAGGTCTACTCCTTTAACCGAGTAACTTGATCTCAGAATTTTGGGTTTTGTTCTACTGAAATTACTACATGTTTGTAGCACCACTGGTTTAACTCAAAAAAACAAAAATGACTCACCGAACAATGCATGGAACTGCCGTTTTCACTGTCCAATCTTAGCTTATGCATTGTACCAATATTCAACATTATATCCCTCTATACAACGACCCAAATCAGGGGGTGAAAAAAAAGTGTAAATCACAAAAAGAATTTATACAATAAAAGTATCTCCGGGAAGAATTCATAATCAACATTTACCTCATATTTAAGATTGTAAATAGTAAACCTCTATGCATATGTACATTCAAGCTGAAAAAACCTCTAGTGGTCTGTTTGTCCGAAATACAACAACACCTGCAACATAAGCAACCAGTATCATCACATCAGAAAAAGTCCTGTAAAATTAAACAAATAAAATGATGTAAACTTATCTTAAACTGGTCCAAAAAGTTAGCTACTTACCAAGGGTTGGCATCAAAATGGAGAGCACTAGAGTACCAGCAATTTTCAGTGGCACTCCAGTTTTGATCATGTCCTTAATCTCGATATGGCCCGTTGAGAAGCCCACGATGTTGGAAGGGGTTCCCGTTGGAAGCAAAAAGGCGAATTGTGCTCCGACAGAACCTGGAATCACAAGCAGCAATGGATGGACGTGCATTGTCTTTGCAATCTGGATTAACAATGGGATAACCAGAGTTGTGGTGGCATTATTAGAGGTGAATTCAGTAATTGTTCCGCTAATCAGGCAAACAATTGGGGCAATGGCCCAATAAGGAGCCTCCTCCAAGAAGTCCAATGCCTCGGATAACGTATCTGCAAGCCCACTTGTTCTCACTCCGTCTGCTATTGCGAAACCAGCACCTAAGAGCAACACAATGTTCCATGGCAACTTCTTGCACTTGTTCCAATCCATTAGCTTCTCCCCACTCTGCTTCTTGTTTGGAATTATGAATAGCAATGTTGCCATCATCACCTGCACCATCATTTCTCTCGAATCAAAAGACATTGAATTTGGCTAATTTCGCTCATTAATTCAAACTTCAAAGTGGTGCGACGTTATTAAAGTGGTGAAATGATTTAATAACTGATGACGTATACAGAATGAGTTATCACTTACACTAACAGTTCCATCACCGGCACGCCCATTAAATAGGGCACCCCACCCGGGAATATCATCTGTTATACTCCTCGTCATCCACAAAAGTATTAATATCTGCAACAAAGAAAAGAGTACAACCTCAAAAAAAAATGAAAAACCAAAAAGGAAATCCTTACATTTTCTTGACTTCAAATAGAAGTAACAATAATATAGGACTTACCGAAAACACTGCCAATATCACCTTTTCAGCAAAAGCCATTGGACCTTCAAAAGAGAAAATCGGAGAAAAAAAAATGAGCTAGCATCAAAAGATAAATTATAAGCTGGATAAAAACGAAAGGCCTAAAGAGAATTAGTTTTGGGCTTATTACCAAGCAACTCAAGCTCCCTCTTCAAGTGGGACTTGTCCATATAAGCAGAGAGGGCTTTTCCAGAGCCTCTATTGCAGTACAATAAGCAAAGCACGGCCCAGAGAGCAACAAAAATCAAAAGAGCGAGAGGGAAACCGAAGAAGAACCAGGTGCTAAAGCTGATGGGGTCCGCCTCCGGGAAATAGCTCTTCCACATCCCAACCAATATGAGGTTGACACCTGTGCCGGTGAGTGTGCTCATTCCTCCGATGGCCGCAGAATATATCACCCCGAGGACCACCGCCTTGGAGAAGTTGGTGACGTGGATGGATTGAGTGGGCCCGTTCCTCAGCCGTTGTAGGATTCCAGTAGCTACGGGCATCATCATCATGGCAGCTGCCACGTTGTGCATCCACATGCTCACAAACGCCGTCGTCCCGCATATTCCCAGTAGAAGCAGTGGCGGATTCACCGGATCGCCACAGAACACAAGCGTTATCTGCAAATTGTAATCGAATAATTGGTTTGATGATGACGGAGGCAGAATTAAAGGGGGGTCCCAAAATTTGGAAATAGACAAGAGACAACGAAAACGTTGTACTGGATTATCACTGTACTGAGATTGTCTTGCTATGGACACGAAAGCAGAGATTACATGTGGTCTTAAATCCGCGGTGCCCTCCTAATATGATATTTTCATGGTGGACAAATTGATTTTTTAGACGAAACATGAGATGCCAACCTCCCAGTTGCATACCGAAATTAATAATGACTTGCTTTGTTTTTGTTTTCTAATTAAAATAAAAATAAAAATGCAAACCGATTAAATTTGTTGGCAAATCATTTGACCATATCCCCAGTCACAGTTATAATTTACGACACGTACGAACCTTCCACCATATCCTTAACACAAATAAACAAGGAACAACAATTGGAAGTTTTCAGAAAGATTAATAAGTACGATTATGAAGTTGTAAATTTTATGTTGGGGTGCATACTTTTATGTTTAGTGGTGTATATTGTCCTGAGCCATTTTGTATTAACATAATGACATCGAAACCTTATTGCACTATGAGTTGGCGATGAAGAAAATTAAGACTAATGACTGTTAGTGTAACATGTTACATGTCCGAACAGCCCCCGCGTGTCATCATGTCATCTTCCAAAAGTTCCCAATTAAATCCTACTTTAATCAATATTAATTGGCTGATTGCTACAGTAAACTAATCATGATTACGACAATTCATCTCATATTGCTCAATCAGTTCAAATTAATTGCCGGGATTGCCGGATTAGGACACTAAATTAAGCGCCAATCATGACGCAAATGAATTGATGACGGGATTATGGTTAAAACAACTTACATTCAATGCCAATCTCCGGTGAATGTTGTAATGCTCGACGGCCAGAGCAAGAATGAAGCTTCCAAGCACCAGAGCAATGACGTCGTCCATGTACGAACTCGCCACGTCATCCGCCGACGAAATCCCGAACAGCGGGAACAGAAACAGCGGCGCCATGGATGTTATGGGCATCGGCACCGCCTCCGTCAACCACCAGGCAAATATCCACGCCAGAACCGCCAACATGTTCCGGCCGGCGGTATTGCCGCCTTCCAGCTTCACCGTCAGGCATATGATCGTACACAGCAAAGGTCCCGACAAAATGAACAGGTTGTTGAGAGTGAAGATTGATCCGTAACACGACTTTAAGTTCAAGCAATTCGACGATGATGATTTGTGCTCGTGAATTGAATCCGAGACCGGAAGCAGGGGAGCCCTTGGGTCATTAGAATCGACGATATTGGTTATGCTTTCAGAACGAGTAATTTCGTTATGATCCATTTCTCGTTTGGTTTGATATGTTGAAGTTTTGAATGATGGAGAGAATGGTAGGAAGCAATCAATTTTATAGTGAATGGAGCTCAGACTCAGAAGAACAAAACTAAGGAGGGAAAATAGGATACCATCAAGTACCCAAAAATGACAAGAGAATATTTAGTTCATCTGTTGTATCATTTACTCTCATTGATTACGTTTTGTCCTTTATATTTCCATGCAATTCTTCTACTTCATTCGGAAATTCATTAGCCCAAAATTACAGAGATTCTCTATTATGCGTTAACATTATGTTGTTAAAAAACAAAAATACTAGAAGAAACGAACTAGTTCAATGACGTATTGTAATGCACAGGCTTCGAGTTTTATCTAGGGTAGGCTTTTTGCTAAATTTGCATCAAATCATACTAAAGATTTTAGTCTGTTTGTTTGAATTAGGCGGATTAAGTAACAGCGTTATTGATACGAGTTGGTCAAAAATTGTGCCATTATTGTGTTTATTATTAATTATACACTGGTATACCAAATTACCAATCATAGGGGAAAATCCCATGGAATTAACCAACCTGATAGACTCGAGCTAGTGCCATGCTGATTATGTATGTTTTTCGAGAGATTTTCCTTCACGTAAGTAAGACCGCGGATTAAGAGTACAAGTCAGAGTTATACATATCCGGAGGTTGTTGATTATTGATTAGTATCTCCACGTATGATATCCATACAATTGTATATACAGCAAACCTTTGTTTATGTGTAAAAAATGTCGATCGAATGTGTGTTTAATTAATTATTATTGTTTAGTCACACTTAATTATTGTCCACAAATAATAATCAAACCAATGAATGACAAGTGACCAAATGAAATCGGACTTGTGACTTGTGACGGCAAGTGTGACATGCGTCATTATGTGGACTGTGTCTTGCTAAGTTTAACAGTGAAACTGATTTAAAGTTAGCTTAAATCGAAATTACTGGATGAATTAACGATGAAAACACGTCTTTTGAAAGTGATGATGTGAAGTTAAAAGTATATTCCAGTTTTGATTAAGGCGTATTACTTTGGAGTTTTCTTGGTGCGGTTCAATTATCCCATCAAAGACTGAGAAAAAAAAAAAAGGAACAAACAGTCAAACACATCATGTGGAATGAGACACACCAAAAATGTAAGAATGTGGCCATGGAAAATGATGGAATTGGGTAGCAACAAAGCCTACGTGGCCACTTGTTACGATTTATTACGAGCAAGAAAATAATAGACAAATGTCGCATCGATTCGTCCAATCATTCAGATTTGTAAGTTGAGGCTTGAATTAGGCAAGGGCCTGCATACAGTTTTCAGGCTGACTCGGAATCATTTTAATACTCTACAATATATATCTCCGATTCAGAAATGTTCCATCTCCAGCATTTGATGTGGTTAGTTTCACTGCTGATTTCTTTAGCGTTTCTTGCTTCGAGAGGTCAAATAGGTTTGCAGAGACTCCAATAGCCACCCCGAGGACTAGCATCTTGTTATGACTCGACGTTGTTAGGATGGGATTTTTGCGTAATTATTTTTTCAATAATTTATTAAAGGCGATTGTGAACTTCAATTTATTCTGGCACCCTCTGGGTAGTTTCTTTCAACCTTAAAAGAATTATAGAAATCCGATACTTAGAATTCTCAAAGTACAAAGGTGTTTAACACTAAAAGTATCGCTCTCCTCTTGCGTCAATTTGGAGTGAGTATGACGGTCAAGCATTTTCTTGATAATGTCTAACTTTAATAATGCATCCTGAAACTTTGGAGAAAAGTTGGATTTAGCATATACTAGTATTTTATAAATCCGAGATGCTATGTAAATGTACCACAATTTTAACACATTTTGTTTTCTTCTAGTGAGGTGAACTGAATAGCAGCATCTCATCTTCGTCCTATGTTTTTTATTTCGATTCTTTTTTTTTTCTTTTTACAAAAAAAAAGAGACAATTTGTGTGAGTGACTAAATGACGAGGGTAAATCCCGGAGACGGAGAGTCGACGGTCCGACCTAGACGGGAACCTACAAAACGAAGATTAGCACTCCGAATGTCAAGTAAATTCTAGGGAGAGAAGTAAATAATTATCACACTTAGAGAGAGAAACGGGAGTGTGGAATTGAATCTGCAATAAATGAACCGAGGAGTATTTATAGGTCTCCAATGGGACAATACCTGTGAGTCCTATGTCGAGAGAGACAAAAGCATAAATAGATGTGTCAATTCTTTGTGAACCGGTTGGGCCCAAAAGAATCAAATAAATAGACGACTTTGGCCCAAGTTGAAGGGCAAGTTGGGCCGGCCCAGATGGGTTAGGATTGACCTCCAACACTAAATTATTACATCAGGGTGGTAACCACACCATGAATTAATCATGGGTTTAGAACCATCGGTGGATCATCTAACCATAACAAACCACCCGAATTAGACACTGCTAAGGTAGCTAATGAGTCCGCTCATCTATGTCCTATGTTTTTCATTTCGATTCTGAGAGTTGACTTTGATCAAACAAAGTTTGCATTCGTTTTGCGCTTTTTTGGGCACTACAAGCGAAATAACAGAACTGATAACAAGGTCAATGTACCTAATGCACACACTGTATTGGAACATGCGAATACTAAAATTCATTTATTTTGAAAACTCGCAACTGACTATGAGCAAAGAGCAAGCGCAACTCAGTAGTGAAGGACTTTGATGATCTGGTTAATCAAAAGTTTTCCCAGAGCCTTCGCAGAATCCACCTTCAGTTTTGACCGCAACTCAAAGTTCTACAATACACATTTCGAATACTTATTGAGAGATTTTTACCACGAAATCTACATGGCTCAAATGTGAAGTAGCCGTGATAGTGGTTTCGAATTTCGACACCAAGCTTAAAATGAGAGGAAATGGTCGATGGACCGAGGAGGAATCACATAGCACTTTGAAGAAACCAACTTACTAAATACTACTTCCTACCCCAAAAAAAAATAATTCACATTTAGTTTTCAAATTTATACTACAAACAGTATGAAACTCATGTGGACTATTTTTTGTGGGACTAAATGACTGGAGTTGGGCAAAATAATGTGTATATCAAACCTTCTCCTTCTCTGGATGGCCAAAAAAATCTGTTTATTCAACAAACCAAAACAGCTGAAGTTGGGTTTGCTTAACGTCAATCAACGACCCGTCCGATGCCTTCCCCAAAGCATCCCAAGATGCAAAAGCACCAAGTATATCAATTGGCTCAGCAATGAGATTGCCACAAACGCTTCCAATGTTTGCTGCAAAATTTGATACTTTCAGTCAGAAAATTACCAAAATATCAGAAGATCAATAGTACTAACAAACAGAGGTGTGAATTTACCAATCTCTTCCCTCTGTGCCCTCCCAATGTGATCTGCTTGCATACAAAACTACACAATACAGAGTTTTATTATTATAGGGGAATTCTTATAGCAAAATGGTAAAATTCAGAAAAGGGTAATTAATATTTGGATACCCGAAGGCAAGAGCTGTAATAGCCCAAGCTATGATTGCAGAAGATGATGCACTGGCCAGACTATCATTCTGCCAAGCTCGAAGATGAATTAGGCCAGATAGTAACGAACATGCTCCTATTGCACCGCCCATCAAGGAAAACACCATAACAAAACCCGTTGATGTATTCCCACCCAAATCTGCGCAAAAGAGTCAATTATGAATGCAGAGTTACTGTATTCTTAAAGTCATCAAATATTCGTACTAAAAGAATTAGATAGTTGTGTGACAGAGGAGGAACAGAGAGAATGAGTAGATGAACTAACGAGGGTGATCTTGTTCGCCATCAATGAATTTGTCCACCGACCAACCCGCCAGCCCCAGTACTATTAAATACACAACGAAGTTGACCATTAGGATTGGCCCCATTAAGGTTTTCCCAGCTCTTCCAACCGCCATTATCAAACTGATGATTCAGAACCTTCTCAATTTGCCGTTTCTGATTCTTGTTTAATCTTTCTGATTCATAAGCTTTTTTTTTTTCCTTTTTTTTTTTTAAGGTGGTTGTGATTTTTGTCAATGAGGGGAATGATGCATACGTGTTTGCTTTTGGGGAGCTTGGCCATTACAGGTGTTGGTTATTGGGAAAGCCTTTCGACGTGGAAAATGTATTCTAATGGCAGCAAAATTTGCAGCTTTAAATTTGGACTGCCGAGCTCATTTATTTGCTAAATTTGGGATAAACCATCTAATTTTTCTGATCACGGATTTGCTCATACATAACAGAGATTCTTGTCCATAATACTACCATTATGATTGCAAAAGGCCAAAGGACGAATATACAGTTATTGGAAACTTTTTCCCATTACTTTATTGAACCCAAAATAAAAAACAAAAAAAAAAGAACACCACCATTGTTGTATATTTACATGGTTTCCTAAACAGCTTTAAACACATCATTTGTAGGTGTATGTATATCCAGGAAAAAAAAAAAAAAAAAAAAAAGAGCTAAAGAGGTGGCTCAACTGCAAAGAGTAAGGAGCACCATAGCAGAAGGAAGAAGCAGAAGTATCCAACTGATTTACAGGAATCAGCATATCTGGTAACCAGTCTGATTCCATCATCTTGACCATTTTTCGAAGGTTTGTCATCCAGCTGAATCATGGGGCACGTGAAATACCCAAATGCTAAGCCAGTGAATGCAGCAGCTAAATGTGTCCTGCAACCAAAAAAATATCAACCAGACATCATTCTTCAAAACTGGACCGTGCTAAAATATTAATGTTGCGGTGAAGTATATCAGTCAACATTAAATTTTTTTTTTGTTTTGGAAGAAAGTCAACATTAAATGTTGTTTTAACTTTAAACTGATTTGACAAGCTTGTCAAAAAAAAATCTCTAAATTCAGGGTGTCATGGAATACTAACCAGTCATCAACTGGACCAAAATTGTTAAGGGTACAACTTAGACAAGTGGCTATAATTGCCTTCTGTAGCATCTTTTCTGATTCATTATCTCCGAATGAACCTCTGTTCTGGATTTGGTAGGCGAACAATGCCCCCATTATTGCAAAAACAGGTCCCTATTAGAAAAAAAATCAGCAATTTGTTATAAAAATCCCTCAATTTTCATTAATGCTTCTAGGCTTTTATGAATAATAAAGGGGTACTAATTGCTGAAAATCGCCTCCACTGAATGAATTAAACTTGAAGGAAGGCAACTGAATTGTGCTTGAATTTGATTCTGCTTACCGTTCCACATACAGTTGGATCAGATGTATGAAGAAAGCTGATCAGGTTCCCTGAAAGTCCTCCCAGTAAATATATCAGAAAGAAGGCAAATCCGCCATAAACACGACAAGCTCGAGGCCCAAAGGTGACAAGCATCCAACAACTAAGGCCAATGTGAAACACTCCAGCGTGCTGCGAAATGGAACCAGAAAAAAAAAAAAAACCAATGTCCTTTTATGGTCCCCTGATTTAAAAGATTGAGGAGCAGATAATTAAAACAGCAAGGGAACACGAACCGAATTTTTTCAATCTTGTACCAGAAACATAGGAGTTAGTAGACGCCACCATTCTCCAACTAGAATTAACTGATTAATCTTTGCTCCGTACAGCGTTGGAATTGAGAAGAGCTGTAACTCAGAGTTCCTGACGGGACTCGCAATTTCAAACAGGAAAACCGCAATGTTTATGGCAGCAAGTATACCTCTGCAACAAACGGGATAATAACATGTTAAAATTCCAGAAACACAATGCACAGACATGAAAATGGTTGGAATCAATGAAGATTTAAATTTCTCTTTACATTAGGTATAAGTTGGAGGTTTCATCTTCTGAAATCCTGCTCTCAGCAACCCGGCTATTTCTGTCTTTCAACTGCATGCGGGCATGTGGTTCCTTCAGTTCCGGGATATTGTAGCCCTTGCTGAGATAAGGGCTTGGAGCTACTACATAACTTTCATCATCAGGAGAATATGACATGTCAATATCCGTGTTTCCATCTGAATGAGAAAAGGAAACTGTAAATCTGATTTCCAGGAAGGAGACAAGGTGTAATGAACTTGTTAGCTACTTAAGGCCGATGGGAATTCATCAGCAATGGAAATTCATTTTATTTGTCAGCTACTTGGCATTTCATATCATAATCAGGAGTAAAAGCCCAAAAATTATTAGCTAACTGAGATAAATATTTCAAAAATATCTTCTTGAATGCTGTACCTGATATTTACTTGCATTAAAGCTCAAATGTAAATGTTTATCTAATGATTAAATCATTAAATTTACCTTCGTTGAGCTTTCCAAAATAATTGTCTAGATAAGTCAATCCCTTCTTTGCTGTAAACTGATCAATTTCGTCCAGTATCATCAACTCTGTCCTCCTGCTTGACTTACTCAAAGAAGGGCGCCGACCGCCATTCTGAAGTTTCCGGAAATAAGAATCTAATGACCTCAATTGCTTCTCGCAAGAATTTAATGATTTATTTTCGCCGTTTTGTTTCCCACTCTGTGAAAAAATGCAGAAACTGGCACCAAACTGCCCTGCTTTCTTGTTCTGCACAAGTAAAACATTTCGGAAGGTGTTCTGGTTTCCTTCGAAAAAGGCTCTTCCTTCCATTTTTGCTGTGAACCCAATACAGAGCAGACAATCATTTACGACCTACAGCCATTATGTCCTAAAATCAATCAGTCATTATGTCCTAAAATGTGATTGAATACAAAAATTCATACAAATGCCGGAATTCATTAATCAATATGAGTTGTACCAATTCGACCCACAAATTTACAAAAACATGAATAAGTTATATATATACCTGTTGAACTCTGGGCAGAGAAATAACAGAGCATCATGCATTGGAAAAGGTCAAGATTGTACTTCCATTAATGCAGATTGTACTTTGTAGTAGTTTGCACTTTGCAGTATCTATCGGCTCACGTGTTGCTGTTCCAAGATATATATATCCATACGTCTACTGTTTTCCTTTCGAAAAATTACAGGAAAAATGAGGGAAATCAAATGGGAAGGGAAGAGGCAGCCTTATCTTTGTTGTCCCACTAAACAACTGCCACGTAGATGGCTGTAATCTTTACCCACCGTAGAATTAGATTGCGAGTTTGACTTAATAACGACGTAATTACGGCACCAATTGGGTTAGATTGTGTTCGGACCTCTTTTTGTGGTTGTGGCTTATGGTGTTTGATGCTTTTCCCGTTTGAATGTTTTTCCAACCACATTTGCGGTTGGAGATAGTATCTTCTTAGGATCCTTGTTTTTTTTCCCCTCATTGGAGGAAACTATTGCTGCAATTGTTATACTCATCCCTTATTTTATTGTTATATTTTTTCGTAAAATTTATAATACGTATAATTTTTTTTTTCCTTCAATTGTTGTGTTTGATGACACAATGTTATACACCCGTAGAAATGATCGTTCTGAGTTTCAGGAAACGATATAATGTTGTTTCCATCATAATTGTCAAATCGAGATACGAAATTATGAAATATAATATTATTTCCACTTTCCATAGCTCATGCTAAATTGTTTCCGAATTCTTATTGACTAACTTAAATTTGTGGAGGCATAGTTGGTGAAGCCGTGAAGCTGCGAGGACTGGCAAGACCAATCATCAATGTGGAATTAAGCTAATTAGCAGGATATCATTTTTATTGTATTGTTGAAAACATTGTGTTAATGTGATGATCCTTAAAGGTCGACCAAAACAAAATGAAAACAAATATTTTCTCCGGTGCTAATTGTAAGGTATAAGATCACATGTATCTTATAATTAGGACGATAATGATTATTTCATAGTCGCTTTCACGCTGAATAACACATGGTATTATATTACATATAAACAATTGTCAAAAACTCGAAGAAACTATAGTATTTTATGTAAAAACGATTCATTTTATAGGTGATGTATGTTACTGTGTTCAGTTATTAAAAAAATCCATTAATCTTTTAGATAAAGTGACATTATTAAATAGTAATATTCCGTACAACTATATCTATAGTCCAATTATGGATTTTTTATTACATTATTTAGTCGCACGTAATATACAATTGTAAATGTAAATAAATTAAATACGTAGAGATAGTCTAATGCTCTGCTATAGGAAGCAGACTAGAGTCAAGTCGATCACTAATCACTGTATAATGAACAAAAAATAACTATTCAATAAAAGGGTGCTTAGTAAACAAAATAAACCATTTATATCTGATTATCCAAATCTAACAAGTAACTCGGTAAAACAATTTATCTTTTAGGAGGGAAAAAAAAAACATAGTTATGGATGGGAATGAGATACCTTCAAAAATTTTATTCTCTAGTATGTGGCTCTGTGCAACTACCTCGGTCAGTGATTTGGATGTTTGTGCATTGATCACTGGTGATATATCAATCTTATATGTCGATTGATATCGTTGATTCGAATGATCCTTTTAATTATTTCTTTTATAAGGCGATAGCAAGTCCAACTAGGACAAATAATTCAGTTTTTTTTTTTTTTTCTTTTTCATTCTCTAAGATGATAGCAGACCAACAAAAGGGGGAAAAAGAAGATTCAAAAAATTTATGTAAAGGGATTGATTTGAAATCAATCATGTTTATTTACTGGTAAGCCTAAAATACTCCCTCTGGTCATTATTATAAGACATTTTATTTTGTCCAAAATTTTACCTAATATGTTTCTACCTTCCACAATGCTACAGGTTTCTTAAGTTATCGTTTATTTTAAGAACATTGGGAAAGTAGTTACTTTATCAATTGTAACCTAATTTAATTTATAGTGATCGGAGATAATGCTTCTTATTTCAACATAATTACTTTAAAAATCATATGAATAAGGGCAAGAAAATATTAAACGGAATTTGAAAATTCAACTCTTCATATTGGCCTCCGACCAAGTTCATCAGTGCTGAAAACAATGACCATTTTTTTACCACATGGTTAGGCACTATGAATTTTTTGTTTCATTTTCCTTTTTTTTTTATGGGGTACAGTAGATCCGGTTTTGGTAGCTAACAACGGTTTATAATCTATTACAATTTGTTGTTATTAGTTTATTTAATTATTTTATTTTTTATCTTAATGGAAAAAAAAAATAAACTACATAAACAACAACCAATCAAACGTTAATTTGGATTTGTTCCAATGTTTCTTTGCCCACGTAGCATGTCACGTCGCCAATTTTTATTGGCTAAATTTTAAACTCGATTGCTCACTTGGCTCTAGAATTTCCGTTATAAATCTGTGATGTGTATATATATCGAAAACACCGGTGTAGTTTGTATTATACGTGACTCTTATGTCTATTATATTACACTGAATCACAAGCAATATTATGCATCTCTTCTATTTCAGTAATTAATACTTTTTAAAAATTATAACTTACAAATTACTTAGTTACGTTAACAATATTAAGGATAATCTCCCGAGCTTCTTACGGAAATCCACATTAAAGGTTGATGTAAGAAGTTCGCAAATAGTGGATTTTATCATTTTCATTTCCGAGTTGAATTGTTTATTGTATTGTGTAGAATCAAGTTTGAGTTTCAACTTACAATGGCGACAATACCATAAAAGATGTTGATTTCATGTGATAATTACTTCATTTGAAGAGATAAATTTCCATGACCTGGCTGCAATATTATTTTCCAGGTTGTATGAACCATCAATCACTATCATTGTAGGGTAAGAACTGAGTTGGTTTGCAGGGGACATGAGCTTAAAAGTGGAGGTTTTGAGTTCTTCGTGAACCGACGCTGCAGTATTGTGGGAAGCATACTACTTCTGGTGCAGTGATGACGGTCGATGATCAGTTGCTATGCTCTTTCCAATTCTTAAAACCCAAAAGAGGCGAAAGGGAAGAAAAAAAAGATAAAAAAGAATGAATCTAAGCAACTTTGCGAGAGAACTCATGAACAACAAGGACTTAACAAGTGGTTGCCTGACCTTAAGCATGATGAGATTGACTTTTGCAGGACATGTCTTGAAAAAGAGGAGTGTCATAGGAATTTCGTAGCTGATAATGTATTTTGAGGTGGAAAGAGAAGAATGCCACTTCTCCTATTCTTTGACATCGTTGCATTTTCCTTGTGATGCGGTGATTTTTATCATAAGATTTTCCTTAATTTGGATTTTACTTAATCTTTGAAGTGTGTTTCCAAAATGAATAAATTTCATGTAAAAAAAAAAAAAGAGAAAAGAAGCGCGAATGCTAAACCTCGCATCTATTTTAGTTGTTATTCTATCTTGGATTCCTAAAAATTTCTTTTGGAGAATTATAAATACAGAATTGTAGAAAAATTATTGATATAATACGTTACAATCTTGTTGATAATGCAAATTTCAAAACCCGACGTTAGTTATTTTTGTTATGACAAAAAAATAATTAGATATGGGATTATCATGTGTATTTAGTGTGTTTTTTTTTGGATGAATTTATTGATAATAGTGATTTCGGTTATTTATTTCAAGTCGAGACTGTGGATTCTTTCAAATAAATCTGTATCATGTGAAATGAGACAGTGGATGTTCATACATTGTGTGAAAGACGACTGCGTGAACACCGTGAAGTTAACTAATAGTTAAAACACGTCATTGTCACATTTTCAAATAAATCTGTATCACGTGAAATGAGACAGTGGATGTTCATACATTGCGTGAAAGACGACTGCGTGAACACCGTGAGTTAACTAATAGTTAAAACACGTCATTGTCACGTTTTCAAATAAATCTGTATCACGTGAAATGAGACAGTGGATGTTCATACATTGCGTGAAGATGACTGCGTGAACGCCGTGAAGTTAATTAATAGTTAAAACACGTCATTGTCACGTTATATCTTTTTTAATTATATTTAAAATTTATTTCCTTTATTGTATCAAGATACTTTATCTCTAATCTAACGGTTGTTATTAATTCTATTCATCTTACGATTATTAGAATTTACTGAACCGTTTAATCGAGTTTCTCACTGTTATTAGGGTTTGAATAAAGTTCAGTCGAGAGAACTGCAGCCGCTCTCGCTCTCAATATAAAAAGCTTTATCGGAAATTTACCGGAGAGCGAAAACACAAAACGAGGAAAATCAAAACCCTAAATTGCCCTCCACTCGAGTTTTGGGCCTTTTGGCCAGTGAATTGTGATATTTCCTTCACTGCAAATCTGCAATTGCCCCCAAATTTAGCGCAACACCCAAATAGCCAAAAAATTCAAATTATCGCGCTCAATCTTCAGCCCTAAAAATTTCAATGGCGCCATTAGTAAATTTTCCCAACTAAATTCGCATTTACACACATAAAAGTGGGCCGAAGGTCGATTGAACTGATTTTCTTTTCCCTCTCCCGCCCATTCCTGCTCCGCTGCCCCATCAATGGTGGCGACTCCCAGATCTTCAGCCAAACTCAGTCCATCTATGTCCGCAAAGAAGGAGAAAATAAAGAGCCCTGCCCGCGTCAAGGAGGTGGAAAACTCAGCCCAGGTAGAAAATCCTGAAAACGGTATAGCGTCGCAGGCGAAGCGCAATAATAACCCCGGGATTCGTATGATTCATGGACGCATTTATGATTCCGAAAATGGCAAGACCTGTCACCAGGTAACTGTGAAATCACACCCCCTTCAAAACCCATTTTATAAGTTTAAGGAAATGTTTGTGGAACAATGACTATCCTGGAAATGGGGTTTCTTTGCTGATGTCTCCTGTATTTAAGTAGTATTCGAGAAAACGTGAAACAATATGGTTGCTTGCTTTTGTCGCCCGAGAACTTAACTTGTTTGGATTGTGTTAAGGGCTTTGGATTGGGATCTTGATAGTTATGCTTAATTATGTTTTATAGACTGTAGAGATCTTATTTGCATTAGTTTTGGATTTTAGTGATTAAGTTTCTCCCCATATGTTTCCTTACTTCAAATCTTCAATTTTGAAGTGCCGGCAAAAAACCAGGGACTTCACTGCGGCATGCAAAAATCTGAAAAATAACAAGCCATGTACCATCAACTTCTGTCACAAGTGCCTCTTGAACAGGTTAAACCCTAAAATAATTTTTTATGAAGACCAAGATGACCTGTTTTCAGTAGGTTTTGAAGCTATGCAATTTTTATTGGTTTCCTGTATCTCAGGTATGGTGAGAAGGCTGAAGAAGTTGGAGCTTTGCAGGATTGGGTTTGTCCCAAGTGCAGAGGAATTTGCAATTGTAGTGTTTGCATGTAATTTCTCCTACATTTCTTTTGCCACTCAATTCAACAATTAGTTACAATTGAGCACATAGTCTTTGCATGAAATTCAATTGGAGTTAACGATACGAAGGAATGTATGGTTTTTGCTCTGTTCTTTATCAATAACTGTGTAGCAATTAAGTAAGAATACAAACAAGAGAATTAGGGTAACAGAAAAGTAAATGATGAATTCAGTGAAAAGATGGTTAATGTAGTTCCAATAGTTGTGAAATTGATAGAAAACCACAAGGTGATTTTGCTAATAAAAGTAATAGCTCAAAATAAAGTGTTTTTCTAATAGTTATGTTTTTTCAGATGCCCTAGCATGGCATATAATGTAAGTAATAGCTCAAAATAAAGTGGAAAGACCATATACTTCAACTTGAACTATAAGAACGCATGATAAATCTAAACCTAAGGAGAATATGCATTTGATGGCATATGCGCGTTATACAGCTGATCCTAATCCTGTACATGTACAGTGGGATAAGGCTTCATATTTTTGTTGTATGTCATTTGCTAGTTGTTGCTTTTAACTGTGATTATATGTATTTAGGAAGAAGCGAGGTCATCAGCCCACTGGTATACTTATACGTGCAGCCAAAACAAATGGATTTTCGTCTGTTTCAGAAATGCTGCAAAAAGTTGGCCCTGATAACTGTCAAGCAGAGAAAGCAAAAAAGAGAGCTGCTCCTGAGGTTCATACTTTAACATTTTATCAAAATGAAAAATTAACTTAATTTCTGTTGGTATTCGTATTGAATCTTTTGTCAATTGTTTTTCTGTCATTCTGTCAGGCGCCTGTTTCACCTCGGAAGAGGGGCAAGGAAAATAATTTTGATGGAAAAATCAACTATAACTTGAGTGATGTGCCCTTACCTTCTAACGTGGTCAAAGACAACCAAAAGAAAGTTGAGGTGGAAGGATCCATTAAGTTGAAGAATATAAGTGCAACTGTACCTGTAAATGGGAATGTTTTGCCAAGGAAGTCAACAAAATTGCAGGGAAGCAGAAAAGCGAATGGTTCAATGAAGCACCCTACAACTGCTACTGATGACAAGTTAAAAATGCTACAACAGGAGAAGCTGAATGAAGTGGCTGATGTTGACAAGAATAGATTTACTTTTGCAAGAAGGACCAGTCCTAGAAAGCATCATATTTCGAATGAAACTGTAAATAATGATCCTGAATCCAAGGACAAGGTCCAGCAGGAAGTACAAGATGGTGACAAGAATAAAAATATGTCTGTTCAGAGGACTAGTCCCAGAAAGCTTCAAATCTCAACTGGAACTAACAAAGGCAATGGAAAATCTAATTTAGACATTGATCAACACAAAAGAAAACTACAAAAGTCAAAGGTGCATGAGGGAGGTCTAACAGAAACCTATGAGGACAAGGAAAAGCAGGAAGCAGATACTAAACATGTAAAATCTGCAGAATCTGATTGCAGAGAAATAAACTTTGAAAGTGGAACTCTATCCAGCATGCATTCTGATGATAATAATAAGCTTGAATGGGTGTGTCAGTATGATTTTAATCCTGAAATCCAATTGCCTGAGGGTTTTGAGTTGACTAGTGTACATGACATTGAAATACCACCAGAAGATGTTGGTAAAGCCTTCCAATTCTTAGAATTTTGTGCTGCATTTGGACAGGTAAATGATTAGGTTTGAAAAGTTTGTTATCAAGAATTTTTATGCAGTTGCTTCATCTATAGGATTACTGGTGTAATAATCTTCTATGGTTCTTTCCAATTTTTTTTCAATTATATCTGTCTGGGTGGGGTTGTGCAATTTTAAGATGATCTGTGTGTGTATTTAGTCTTCATTTCTTGGCTAGCTATAACTTTTGCATGTGCTCTTCTTTGGAAACTTATCCTTGTAACAATTGGAATTTGATGTTGCATGCATGGATTTAATGCTCGCTTATGATTTCTATATGTTGTGATGTAAGTTGGATCATCTACAACTTTCTGAGAACTTTAGAAAAGATTGCACATTTGAATTTCGTGGCTTAAGACTGACAAGATATGGTTCTCGAAAAAGGACCAACATAATGGATCAAATCCTTAGTTTTTGTTACAGAATAGAACGTAGCATGGGTTTGGCAGCTGCTGCTTGTCTTTTGTTGCTCGTGCTTTCTTAATATCATGATGTACCTGCTTAAATCTTCTATTTTCTAACCTTCCTTCTTATTTTCAACAGATTCTTGGGGTGAGGAAGGGACAGCCAGAAATGGTGCTTAGAGATTTGATACACGGGCGAAGTAGTCGTCGAGGAAAGCATTCTGTCGTGATTCAGTTTCTTATCCAACTGCTATCTGTTATTCGGGAGGAGCGAGGACAAGGGTATGGATTGTTGCCAAGATAATTTACTTTGCCAATCAATTTAACTTTCACAGATAGTAGAAAGCAATAATTTTGTTTGGTTATTTTCTCAGATCTTCAGCACTGAGTCAAAATGGAAATTACAATTCGTGGATGAACGCATTAAGAGAATGCATTTCCAAGTCTGGGAGTGTGTCAAAACTTCTGGACCTGGGGAGTGTCGATGGATTTGAGTACTTGGACTCCTCCAAAAAGCTGATGATCATAAACTTTTTGTGTGATGAAATTCTCGGAACTAAGTAAGGCTTCAATGTTTTTCCATTAACACCTTTTTATTTTTCCATTCAATATACGTAGACATTTCATACTTTAATATGGTACAGAAAATTTCGCAACTGGATTGACGAGAAGACAAAGGAAAATAAAGAAAAATTTACTGCTGCAAAGGATAAGGTGAAGTATAGAGTTCCCATAATTTAAAAGAAAAATTCCTCTATGAACCCTATTAATCCAAATAGTCCATTTTTTGATGCAGGAGAAGACTTTGAAACAGCAAATGCAAGATGAGGTTGCGAAAGCAATTGTACAAAAGAATGGTGCTGCTCTTTCAATTTCAGAGCATGATGCTATTGTCTCTAAAATAAAACTTGAAGCCGCCGCTGCTCATGCTAATCTGGAGTTAAATGAATCTATATTGAAAAAGAGTAGGCTCTGAAGTCCTATTAAAATTTTCTGGATTAGAATTGTTCAAACTGAATTCATTAAATTAAACTGGTTATTATGTGCATACATTGTTGTGGCTCTGCATGTTTTTTTGAGTAGTGCAAGATCAGATAATGGCTCAGTTGAACTGTTACCTTATAAATATATATCTTCAATGTATCTTCTTTTCCAGCTAATTAAGGGTTGCTTGTGGCTTTAGTGTGTAAGCTGTAATAATGTACTCTTCTCTTTAATTGCAGAGAACCAATCCTCAGTTGTCAGGACACAACCAATATATTTAGGAGGAGATGGTCGTGCATATTGGAGGTTAAACTGCTCGTCTCCCAAGTCTGCCAAGGAAATATTTCTTCAAGGTACTATACCTTAGTTTTTTTTATCTCATAAATTCCTGTTTACTTCTGGCCATTGAATGCCTTCTTCTTCCTTTCATTGCACAGATGTAGGAACTGGGGATACGTCTGGTTTAAATGAAAGATGGTTTGCCTTTGAAGATGAACAAAGAGAAGAGATTGAGAAGCACATCAATTCTTTAAGGTGAAATTTCTCCATTTTAACATCCTAGATTTTTGCTTGGTGAAGCTCTCAGGCTTTCTGTAAATTTATTTACTTTGATGTATCTATGAGTGAATATGGTTAGGAAAGATCATCTGTTCATCTTAACATGTTTAAGATTTTCTCCCGCTCTCCCAGTTGTCTGAAGAAGTCAAGTTGGCTACAACAGAAACTTTAGATTTCTTGATCGGATCAATCTGATATGCTGTATTTCGACTCTCTTGTTTGCTAGGGGCAAAAGGGTAAGGGCTCAAAGGATAGCAGTGCAACGACCAACCCCAAATTAATGCTTTTTAAAAAGCACATTTGCATTTTGCCTAGTCAAAACTCTAGACCAGGACCATGATTTGAGTTGGCATAATCAGCAGTCAATTTTTTTTCGTTCAATTCCTGTTCCGGTCTCCAAGCAGGAGTCTTGTCTGGATTCTTCCGTACATGATCAATCAAACGTCGACTTGAGCTGTGGGATCTGCGGAAAGTTACCTTGGAGCGGGTATTGTTATTTGTTGTAACTCATCTTTGATTCCCTAGTGGTCTGTGCATTTAAGTTAAGGTTGTGTTTATTGTAACTTGTAACTCATTTATGGTAATTGTAATGTGCCAATATATTGGTTCTTTTGGGCAGATGAACCTTTGTTTGTACCAAATATTTCAATGGAAAACAAGAGGCATTTGATGGCCTGTATTGATTCTTTAGGGTTTAGTGACATTTGCTGATGGTATGAGATTTTATAGATACCTCACTAATGAATCTAACGTGTTTAACAATAGTACACTTCTGCTGTTTCAGCAACATTATAGGTTTGAAAAAAATGAGCAATAATCTTGGAATCAGAAATGAGAAAAGATAAGTTCAGAAAAACATAAAAGCGGAAGAATGCGCTTTTGTATTGCATTCGGATCTTACATGGGAAGCATTAAATATACATATATACGTCTACTTCTCTAAGCAGATGATCTAACAAATTATCTGTATGCCAAATTATAAGCCAGAAGCCAGTTCGAGCAGTAAATAAGGGTCCACAGGTCTATGGAGTGCCTGTAAAGCCTCTGTCTACAGTATAGTGTTTGAAATAAGTCGAACCTCGTACAAGTCCTTTTCTTCTCCCTTCACTGCAGAAAAAGAAGAAAAAAAGTGAACGCCACAACTCACAATGAATTATCTCAATGCAAACCAGGCCTCCGTCTACAGTATATTGACAAATTATAAGAACTTACCAACTTCTGCAGTGATACCAGGTCCGAAAAATGATGCAAATTTTGCCTACAGTTACAAGGGTGATGTAGAATTAGAAAGCTTGGACTTTGACACCCGCCCATGATATTAATAAAGAGGTAAGAAGAAATGGGAGTGAATCTTATCTGATGGTGAACCACATTATAATTCATCAACAACAGAAAAAAGAAGATTCCACTCTGGAAACTAAAAAAAGAATCAGCACTCACCTGTCTCTGTTCAAAATCAGATAATTGCAGTGCTTTAGCTTCAAATATCAATACCAAACAGTATTTACCATCATCAGTAACCTGAAACATTCAAAGGAAGGAATTTAACATTACGTATTTCCAAGCAATTCGATCAGTGATAATGTAGTTTAACATATTACTTCTCCATTTGCAAATAGTTTAAAGAACCCAAATAAAACAGTTCAAACCATATTGATCAACTTATTTAGGAACTGTGCGAGCCTCGGTAGGCGTGCAAGTGTGCAACTGGTAAAAGAACTGCATTCAGCAAGATAAGCATTGGGCAACTAGCAATCGAATATATCTTTGTTGTTGATTGCAATAAGTATTTATGAACCAGTGCTTGTTAGATCAGAAACTACTGTAGCTCAAAGGAACATACTTCTTCACGGATCTTTTGTAGAACTGGAGCACTCCTCCTTGGAATTCCTCCTCCCTAGAAAAAAAGGTAGAAAAGTTACATCACTTGAAGTGGAGGGATAAATGGAGAATTAAATGCTCAATAAAACATCCAATACAGAGATTACCTGGCCGTATTGAAAAATCCTTTTCAATGCCTCATCTAAATGTTGTTCATCTCCATATCGGTATCGGATGACATCATTCCTAACCTGATGGACAAGACATTTCATTTACAAAGTTCATCAAGCAACCACGAACCAGGTGCGTCAAACGCAGCAGCTGGTACATTACAAAGAAAGTTCTTTAAACCAAACACCCCTTAGCTAGCACACAATATTCCATGAAGGCAGGAAACACACAAACTGGTTTTGCTCATACAAGGAGCATCTGCCACGGGATGTAGTCAATTCTTGCTCTTTTTGCAGTTAAATACGCTGTTAATATAAGTCCTCAAAAAGTAGATAGTAACCTACAAGAGCAACATGCCTCACAGGGACACAACTAAAGGAAACAACAGCCACTTGGAAACTTCACCTGCTTAAGGATGGGAGTGGCACATTTCTCCCTCAGCTGTTGAGCATCTGTATAGGTCAAGCAGGGGACAGGTTTGAGCTCTGCATACTGGAACGAAAGAAAAGAGAGGATCTTAAATCATGGATAAATTGCAATCACTTTAAGTCATTTACCCAGAGAGGCCTTTTGCTTCTTTTGTCAACGATAAGATAATTAAATGTTACTTAGAAGATCCAGAGGATGGCAACTTTGATCAATTTGGCAAATTTATTTTATTTTTGGAAAATGGCAATGTTATATGACCAAAGGTCACATAATCCATTTAAGCCAGGCAAATCAAACATAAGTTTACCTTGAGGGCCATTCCAATGATAGCAAGTGGAAACCCATAGGTGAGCATTATTGCGGACCATTCAGATCCCGGAAGGATGTTGAAGTATGCGCCAAAACCATACCTGTATGTAGTGGCAACCAATTATATTAAAGAAACTAAAATTTTGTTGAAGCTACACACTAATCTCTGAGTCCAGGAGCAAGGTTCCAGATTCCTCGAGCTGAATAATACTTTACAATAGAAGTCACTGTAAGTGTTAGGTTATCCACACCCCTTATAGAGTGAAAGCTTCCAGGAAAACTTGCACTGCTGATTATTATGCGTCATAACAAAAAAAAAGATCAAAATCATTCAACTTGGCCCAATGCACTTACGAGAGGAGTGAAACCCCAACACCAAGCCCAATGACACCAAAGGATACCTGCAGGTGGTAATTATGTCTGGTTAAAATCCATACCGATACAAGCAATTATGTCTGGTTAAAATCTAGTCTGTATAAGATAAACCACAGGAGCATTAGGATACTGAAGCAAAATTTCAAGCTGTTCCAACCTGGTTTCTATTTTTCGTATCAACCGAGATGTGCAACTTAGCTAAAAACAATGCTAATGATAAAAGTATGCCTTAAAAATAAGCAAAGCCAAAGAAAGAAAGACCCAATGCTACATAGAAAACGAATTATATAACTCAATATACGTGCATTTCCACAATTCAAATTTTGGGGGTAAGAAATCTTATTCTATACATTTTTCTTGGTCATCTAGACTCCGATTACATTCAAGGGAAGATGTTACACCAAATTTCCCACTAGAGTTATAACTACCAGCATCTTCACTGACAAATCCAAACGTCTTTGTCACCACACCATCTTCACCATGATCAATCTCATTTTCAGAAAGCTCCTCATCAGTGTAACCGCTGGAAAATCCAGAGAGTTCATCAGAATATGCCATGTGATGGCCCATGGGCTCAGGTGGTTCTATTGACATGCTCCGGGTGCATGCCTCCTCTTCCAGTACCTCAGAGTTCCTTGGCCCATCCGCCTTTGCTTGATTATCAATAATTGAGTTTGGATTCCGATTGCTTGGATCACCGTACAAAGCAACATGTCTGTTATACAATTCAAGTTCTTTTTCAGCAATGGCAATGAAGTGTCTCACAGACTCTAGTGATTGTTCATACTTGGATTTCTCCCAAGCCCTCTTCTTGGATAGAGTATCAATTGGCGACATAACTTCTGGCTGCACATAGTTCTTTCCTCTGTAGAAAACTACTGTATCGTCGCCGATAGTTTGAATTGGAATTCCACCACTGAGCCTGGCAATTTCATTTGCGTACTCATTTATTTGACCAGGTTTGCAAGGTTTGCAAATGACCTTGACAGTTTCATGTTTCTTCCAGTGCAAATGCATATTAAGAATCACACCACCAAATACTCCTCTTCTGCCAATGGGAGCATAATTCGACCTTTTCTGGGCCATCTTCTTCAGGTAAAACCGTTCTTCCCCCGTCAGCTCATGTGGCTTAACAACTGGACCCTGAACCTGGGGAACCTCATAGCGTTTAAGTCTTTCAACTAACAAGGATTCTTTCACTTTAGCTCTTTCAAGTTTGTACTTAATTCTTTCCTCCGCATTAGCAAACTTTTGGTTCTTCTTACCTTTAGGACCAAGTCTTCTGGGATCTCTTTTGTTTGCATATTTTCTCTTTTGCTTCTCTTTTTTCCTTTGGAGCTTCAATCTCTTCTTAGTCAACCACTTCTCCTTCCTGGGAGGATCCATCTCACGAGTTTCAAATCTCGGCTTCCCCTCTGGAGATATCACTAAATTCACAGCTCCATGGCTAAAATGCCTCAAATCCCACCATGGATTTCTCAATTCTATCGAGGATCTTAATGGAACATATAGGATTTCTGGACAACGAATAACTGGTCTATACGCAACCCTAGGAGAGGAAAACTTGAGAAGTGAAACGACGGAAAGTCTACAAAGTCCCCACAGAAAAGCCCTACCCATTCTTTCCAGAATACTACACTATTTATAGACCCAAGCTCTGAAGCACGATATATTGCCGTTTGCTGGAATTCACTAATTTTTTTTTCTTACGGAATATGAGGTGCTATATTATTACTACCCGAAAAAGAACAATCTTTCAATCATCGTCCCAGGATACTCTTTGAATTACTAACGAACTACGAACTATGAACTATGCACCGATTTGAATTAACAGAAAATGCGAAATGGGGTGAATTACCTTGGCAAGAGAAAACTCATCATCGGAGACGATAGACTTGTCGGAAATGGTGGACTGAGTAGGAGTATCCGCTGCTTTGCAAATAGGCCTGAGTCTGAGTCGGCTTTTATCTTCAAGGGGACTGAACAAGGTTGAAGTGTTAATAATAAGGGGTTTAGTAGAGGTAGTAGTGATGGGTGGACTCAAGGGGAAATTCGACAAATGGGTGCAATTAGAACAGTAAACCAATTGATGAGTCCATCTTCCTCCTCCGACTGCGGCGGCGGATGATGATGTCAGTGCCATTTCAGACTAAATTTTATTGCGGTAACGTTAATCTTCTTCTTCTTCATCATCATCAATCTTAACACTTTACTGGAGGGAAAGAGGAACACTCTCAACCGCCAATTCTCACCCTTGATGATGTGGCTCTATTTTATCTTCTTATTATTATTTTTTTTTTGTTTTTATTATATTCTCCAATTATTATTAATCTCTTATACCAGTTGTTTGGTTTATTCATTTATTTTTTTCATTTTTAAATACTCCTTCCGTCCCAAAATTATTGTCCAGTTTGAGATTTCACTTCAAGTAAAATTTAAACTAGAAATGAAAACTCAAATTGAACAATAATTGTGGGACGGAGGGAGTATTTGCAATTCCTTATTAGTTTCTTACCAACACCTGTTTGGTGCAAATAGTCTGGTGAAAAGAACAATATAAAAAAGTGAGATTTTTTTTTTTTTTTTTTGAAGTAAATAAAGTTGAGATCTCAATTAGAGCGGACTTCCAATTCTGGTGAATAAATTTCTATTTGGATGAAGATTAGGATCTAATAAATTTAAAATATTGACTGAAGTATCTAGTCGACAAGCCTATCACAATTTCCGGGATGTCATATCAAAATAAAAAGCTGATGAAAGTATGTAATGGTGCTCAATAATATAGAAACTAGGACAAAGATGTAACTATGTTAGATGGAGGAGAAAGTGGCTACTGGCAAGTCTCAAACACCAAAGCTGGCAACCAAGAATCTGTATTCCTGGAGAATCATTTTTACTGATTTCTGTTCCCATTTTAAGGAAAGGACTACTTAGAGTTATAAATTTGTCATGCATCGGATTTTCTGTCTTACTTTTATCTTTGTAGCTAGTAACAATAACATCTGCATATATCAAATTTGACGACTGTTATAAGTGTGATTAAGATGACATGATTTTGTGATACAGACACATGAAAAGTCCTTCAGATAGAAATGAGACTTCACAACTTTGGGCAGGGGGGAAAATTAGACAGAAACAAAGGATCAAGATTCAAGAATGACTCAATTTAAAAGAAGGGTTAAAGGAAGCCAAATAATAAACCGTATTATGCTAAACTCCTGAGCCTTCATTCATCCACACTGTCCTGAGCTATGTCATTTCCTTTGAAATAACAACATATATGAGTCATTCAGATATTATAAACTTATTCACCTCCATGGATACATCATTCATGAGGGTCAGGACATAAGATTCTCTTTCACTTATGGCCTTTCCAATGTCATTGGGATCATGTGATTCAACAGAGGGTGTGAATGATTTTTTCAAAAAAAAAGAATTCAGAAGCTCTTTCTATATCTGGGATACAACTTCTGTTCTTTTTTGACACCCACTAATGTAGTAAACAAGCACATTCTTCTTCGTCTTATCAGTTGCTTTGTTTTTATCTCGTTGCCTTCTTCTAGTCCATAAATTCCATGACAAGCAACCTCCTTTCCTAAAGCTGCATATCTGCTTTACTTTCCTTCCCTCTACCTCATTTCTGTTGGATTCTTCTTCTTCTTCTTCTTCTTCTTCTTCTTCTTTCTCTGCCTCTACTGTTTCCTCCACTTCATCCTGTACAGAGGAGTAGTCCATGAACCTCAGTTAAAATGGAGCTAAAATCTACAGCATTGTAACTTCAATCAGAAAAACAAGAACAAAAAGAAACCCTTTTTAAGATCATAATCACTTCAGGTTCTTACAATTTAAGAAGGAAATTAAAAACTATAACCCGGGCTGCACTGTAACCATATTTTTCATACGGGATGAAGATAGTGAACTTGAACTTTATCACCATGAAGGACTGACTTCATATTCATCATCCCTTAATTATACATACAGAAGTTAATATGAAATGCTGGTGATCGTTGGTTTACAATAAATGGCAGGAACTTACCACAACAGGTTTAGATTTTTCACTAGAAAACGGAGAGTCTTCGCTGCGCTTTATTGGCCTCTCTTCGATTGAGGGAGTGGCAGCAGGGCTAGGACTGCTTGATGAGCTGAAAATAGGAGGTGTGCTTTGTGTTCCAATGTCTCTAGTACTCATACTTCGAAGATTCTTCTTATCTGCAACAAGATCAATACAGTAAGGAAAGAAGTAACAAGAATAAGGAAAATTTGAGTACATTTAATCAAAAGTATGATGGATTGATCACCTTGGAGATTAAATTGATCTTCATCTTCATGAATAGTGATGGTTGGCTTTGTTTGAAGTTGTCTCGAGTAATTATTGGATGGATAAATAAGAGGTGCAGACATTGTGATTCTGCTGGTTAAGCTCCGAAATGACCTTGCGCTAAGTGTCTTTGCTGATAAACACTCCAATGGAACTTCACCTGAATATGGATTGCATATGTATTTCTCTGCATCATTCCACTTGGAATTTAGAGCTAGTCCGTCCGGCGACATGTATTCCCAACTGTACACTGTTTTTGCCTGTATTGCTGCATAAAACAAGCAAACATTAGACTAGAAAAAAGGCAGAATGTCGGTTTGCATTGTTTGAAGCAACTTTGAAAATCTTACCCTTTAGTGCGGTTGTAAATGAGTATGTTGAAGGGTCGATTTCCTCTGCACCAGGAAGAAAACAAAAAAAAAAGATGCCGTGAGCTTAACTCGACAACAAGAATACATTCAATCAAGTCTTTTCATGGATGGTTTTGTTAGTAGGTACTCTTTATGTTACCTTTCAGAGTGTATCCAGGAGATGAAGCAGTGCTAGAAATGGTGATGTTTGATCTAAAAGACCTTGCATCTTCTCTGAAACTCCTAATATTCGAGGCCGAAAACCTTCTTGAACCTGTGTTTTCCCTGCTGATTCTTGCCTTCAAAGCCCATTCTTTAAGGTTGAACTCAGGATCATCTCTTCTTCTTGAACCCAAATGATGATTAGGAGATGGTTCTAAAGTAGTTGTAGACATATGTGAACTACAGCTATATCAAACTTCACAACATATAATGTTTAAGTACAACCTTTGTTGTATCAAAGTTGCTACTGCATGCTTTATAAGTAACAGGAGGACTTTGAATTTGAAATGACTGTCAAAATATGCCCAATGGCCCAGAGATGCCTTCGGACAGGATCCAATTCAAAACCTTCCAAATCCTGCCAAAAAGAGATTCAAATTTAAACTTAGCTTTTATTAATTTCTGCTTTATTGCTTCATAATGAGCCAAAATATTCTGATTTGTGGCACACGCGGGGTGATGATGATGGCGCTAATATCAGTTTTTCCACAGCCTCACAGCCCACATTTGTGGACAACAAAAAAACTTGGAACGTACATACGATACAACTCGAAAGTTATGTCTTATCTAATGTTTGCAGAATACGGCAAAAACACCAATTGTTGTAATCCCCTAAGATAAGGGTCTAAGTTTGGCCTTTATTTGTTCCATGCAAAATTTGAATAGTTAAATTTGAAAACAGAGGGAAGATTTGTGCATTAATGATAGAAAACAACAAAATAAGACATCAATGTTATCCACATTGGTAGTTTGGCACTCCCTCCGTCTCGTAAAAAAGAGTACAAGACTTTTATTTTGGGACGTAAGGATTTAGACTTCATTTTGCAGGGTTCTAATAACTTACTCAATTAGCAAATTAGCAGAGAAAAGAACCCTTTTTTGATTAGGCCAAATAAAAGGGACAAAGAAGGGGAAAGAAAACCTCTAGTCTGCAGCATATATGGGGTCACAGTCATTCATTGTATTGTTTTTTCATCAACATAACTGAAAGCCTGAAATAGACCATCTGGGCAGCTACGTACTGAAAGGCTGAAACTCTGGTACAATTAATATTTTAGTAAAAGCGTGGAAATTGATGTTGATGCATCCACACCTAAAAGACTAAAGTTAAATGATTAAATCTGCAGCTTAAGTTGCTGTCATATACAGCAGATAAGTTTTTTTGGACATTGATTTTACAGTTCTTTTAACGAAAAATGTTCATCACTACAATTAGTTTTTAATCAGTTTGTTATCAACAAGATAGCATTGCCTGGACCAAGATTTCAATTTTTTTTTTTTGTCATTCTTGACGTTTTTTTCTGGGATATCAGCCAAAAGGAACAGACATTCTTTTCCTCATTGATCCAGCCCATTACTTCTCAGCTCCGACCTCACCAAACCAGTTAGTGGCCATTCAACTTGAACCCCGCACTTTACATCCTTACAGCAGTAATTGAAATCACAACAGTAATAAAGTATGTGTTTCGGTAGTTTGGCGATGTTAGTTCAGTCCCAAAATTATTATCCTGTTTAGATTTAAAAATAAAAATCCAAACTGGACAATAATTTCAGGACGGAGGCTCTGTATATAAATCTTTCAAGTAATGGTCCAATTGAACTTGTCATGTACGATGCTTCAGCGTGGTAAATTCAGTTGAACGACATCATACGCTTATTTTATGATGACAACCAGAATCACATGACCGAGATAAAGTAGGAATAACTCATCAGCAGAGTACCAGACCACAAGGGAAAATGCAAGGGTCATATTTAATCAGTTGATACAGATTGCAGGCGATTTGGCTAGAAGTGGTATAATTTCAATGTTGTTTGTAGAGCACAAATTGCCCCGAAAATAAAAAAGAATTGATCATCCATCAAATAAATGCAACTACATCATGCCTTTTCAGTTACTGGGGGTACAACAAACATTATGATACTGTATGAAATAACAAGTTAAACTTAAATGTGGGTTTTTAAGTTGTGGAGCAAAATTGTGGGAACCAGTGTGAAGTAACTATCGAAGTGGGCTTGGGGATTTGGACATAAATTGCGGGGAATGAGGAATGAGGATGATGGGTTTGGGGGGTTGCATGTGCATGGCAATGTGGCTTGGGGAGAGTTGTCATCATCATCATCATGGTGAAATATAAAATCAACACAGTAGTTGGGTCCGCCATGGAGGCCCTGAACTTGATGAGTTATATTATGATAACTCATCGTCTCCGTCAGTTTTGTCTCATGTTTATCGCTAAGTATGTTTGTTGCTGCGTCGGATAAGGTCACTTGTTCCTTGTCTTCTCATTCCTAAATTTCATCACATTTTTCCGTATCAAGTTACAGGAAAATAGCGAAACCAGAAACCAATACAGAAACTTAGATGTTTCATGGTAACTTAAATAATTGACACACGTATACAAAGTAAGTCGGTTCCAAAAATATGTCTTCTTTGTTGCGTTACTAAAGAGTTCAACAACCAAACAAAACTCTTATTTTGGAATTAGAAGGGATCGGAAAACTTGATCAAATTAAACCAATCCTTTGAGCATTCAAAAAGTTTTAGTGATATGTGAATTCACTGGCAACCACCTTCAAGAATCTAAACCTGTGATAACAAAAACCCATCCACACTGGCTCGGTTTGCTGGATGATCTTTTCAGCAGGACCACCGGGTCCGGGAAGGAGGCAAGGGCCAACATACATTTCTGGTCCTTTTGATTCCATATTCATCTATTTACCATTACGACGTTATAAGTTTTGGTATTCATTTTTGAGCTCCTTTCATGGTGGGCCAGTTATTAGATTTCAGAGCATCTTTCTATATGCTGCAAGAGATCTTCTCTCTGGGCGTTAATTGACTGATAATAGTACACAAAAAACACTGATATACAACCTGTACATTTTGGCAGGCCAAAGGTGGATGCAAGTGGGTTAGAGAATTTTGGTGAATTAGCATGCCTTGAAAGAGAAGACGACATGGTTTCACCATGGAGAGTGGATACCATTTCAGTTTTAGTCCCACATGAGTCGGTAGAAAATTCTGATACTCTGAAAAAATTGCATCTTCATCACAGTATTGTTGTTGGCAAATAACTCTCAAAACGAAACCATTAAGTCAAACTGATAAAAAAAAAAAAAAATTCAAAGTAAATGAAGTATCTGGTGAAAGGTGTATATCCTAACATACATGGTTCAACCCAGATTAAATTTTCAGAGAAATCTTTGTTTCTTCATTCGTGTGCAATTGATAACAGCCTATCGTCAAGAAATGAAACTTCAACATTAATCAACATCGAGTCCAGTTCTTTTGTTACCCTTACTTTCATATCTTGTATGTCCTTGAAAGCCATCAGAACAAGAGGTAAGGGGAAGGGTTCGTTCATCTTCATTCCTCTTTATTACCCCCTTCAACTCCAATCAAAACATTGAAATGCTAAAATTGCAGCAGCGCAACCAAAGCCCATGGGTTTCAGTTAATGTCAAAAAAGATGCAAGGCTTTGGAACTTCTCAACATTCAGAACTCCGCCTACAGGCAACCATGTCGATCCTACCAACAGATGAGATTATAAAATGAACAACAACAATGTGACACACCAAATTAAATGAAGCCTACCTTTAATGTCACTGGCCTAAACTAAAGCATCAGCAACAAAAAGAAAAAAAATTAAATTTCAACATCTCAATATACAAGACAACTGAGTGTTATTAGAATTTCAAGTAAACTAAATATACTTGCAGCTTGAAGATCTTTATCAGATGCTATGTAAAACTGAGACGTGACATCAAACAAAGACAAAAGGTCATCTTGAAACAATTTCATGCTAATAGTGTCCAGGAAAAGTGATGAAAGGCTATAGAATATAATCTGGAAAATCCAAAAGCAACACTTTCAAAACGATTATTTCTATTTAAAGTTCACATTTCAGTTATACAACCAAATATACAAAAACTTCAAGCCCAGCAAAGTTTACATCATTCCGGTAATCCAAAAATTGATTGAAGGTACAATCATACTTACTCAAGCTTGATATCCAGGTTGTCATATTCCTGTTAGTCGAAGGATAACAGCAACTCAAGACCACAAGACACAACCGCAAACAAGCTCCTGTAAACCAAAGGAATTACATTCATACAAGTAACATTTGAACAGAAATGAATCTGTAGAGCAATAGAAACTAACTCTTCCAAGATGAACTTTATCCAAGAAACTCCACTGGCACAATATATAATCATCATAATTTCAAGCACGAATGGCCTGCAATTAAACTAGAAAGTCAAGCATACCATACGCCACAATTGAACAAGCAAGTCGGAGCAATGAGAACAGTACTCACTAGAATAAGAAACCACTGGGTAGATTATGAGGTTGCATATGCAAACATGCTTCCTGCATAGGTGAATATATTGTTATTGGAAGAAAAGGAAAGCAATTGGCCACTTAAGTAACTCAAAAGAAAACATATTCCACAGCAGACAAAGTTTTTTCTATGGAAAGTTCTTTAGCCTGTTGGTTACACATGAAAACCAGAAAATTTCAGTATTAGCTAGGAACCTATGTAAAGAGAAAGGCTTTGATGATGCCCATGTTAATGTAGCATCCAGTTTTGAGAGCTTCAATAAATATAAAAATTTAATACTAATAATAATAATATTAAAAAAAAAGTAGAACTCCAAACTTCTACTTCAGAACATGACATGGAACCTGAATTTTTAGCATACCTTGCCCAAGAATCAAAATTGCATCAATAGCTACAAGCACAACATCTTGGATCTTTTCACTGGTAAAAATTGCTCGCTTAACTGGTCAAAAGAACATCACAATTGTAAAGGTTGGTACAGCGAGAAACAGAATGGAAATACAAGTTCAAAAGGGGATTGATTACAAATAAGTGGAGATAAACATGAGCAACATTCAAGATCAATGTAAGGCACAATCTTTCCAAGAAAAGTTAAAACTTAAACTTTATGGCAGAAAAGATAATTTGCTTTCCTATTAGAAGGTTCCATCAAGCTGTGACACGTTCATTGAGAAAAAAAAAAAACCATTTGGACACGTGTTGCAATGCCTTGTAAGCGAAGACAGAGAGTAATAAGAACCAGTGACAAATAAGCCTCCCATTCCCCGTCCCACCATTCCTTAATTAAGGGGAAGGCGAATATGCTCCAAAGGATCGAATATAGGTTAAACCCGAAATATTCATACTCGAACAAAAAGTCCTATACTTTACAACTCTTCTTTATATAGTAATTGACAAGAAAAGCCGACCCGTTTCTTTAGGCAATCATTAATACGTGAACTTGTTCTAAATCATAATAAGAACCACGTGTAACATTTAAGACACATCCGACAAATCAACAAAAGAAGTCTTGGACAATGCCAGGCAACATTGAAATCCGTGAGAACATAACACCATACAAAGGAATGAAAACAAAATAGCTTTCGTCTTATAAAACTTGCACAAGGCAAACAAATAAGTCAAAGTTCAAAAGCAATGATTGCAATGACGATAAATCCTACCCTCCTCTTTCCCGTCAGTTTCACTGTTGGAAGTCTCTTCGTCTGGCAACACAATTTCATGTACTGTATACTGGCCATCAGATATCCAAACTGCCTGAGCTCCTACAAAATGGGTTATTTTATAGTCCAAAACAAAAGAAATATCCATCAATAGCCATGCTTTAGATGGCCTATGAAGAGCAAATTCGCTGTTTCCTCACCCAGTAGTCAAAGCTACACCACTCTGGCGTTTTCACAAAAAAAAAAAAAAAAACACCTCTGGCTATTCTGAACTTCAGAAGTTTTGTGATTGAACAGAAAAGGCGAGATTTTCAACATACCCGGGAGAACCGAAAATTTGCAAACTTTCATCTTCTGAGTCAATTGTTTCATCTGATAAGGAGATTCTGATCCACGAGCAGAACTGGGGAAAGATAAAAGGTGCAAAACTCCAGTTGAGTCCAAGACCAAGAACTTGCTTGGCGATAGCGCCTGGATTGAGATTGCCTTTGGTGGCTTCTCCAGCTTCTTGGAAGGTTCCAAATTTTTAGCTTCCTCAATATTAAATGCTAGAAAACATTCACCGCACTCTTTCGAGCCTAGTCTAAATTTCATGGTCCTCAACTTCACTGCAAGTACAACGCACAATCAGCAGCTGTAACAAAAGAAAAATGAGGCCTTTCAGAAAACTTACAAATAAAGGCTTCTAAGTGAACAAAAGAAAATCATGTCCACATAAAAGGCAAGGAACTTAATAGCATGCTGGTATAGTCATAATAATCCAACTAATGAGAATGTGCATGAACACAACGAACAAACTCACAGATTAGTAAGTCTCAAAGGACAAGGACCTACGCATAATCCAGTTGAAAAATTCCAAAATATAGATATAAATAACATGAGAAAGAGTAACTGCAATAAAAGATTTTGAAATAAAGACCCAACTGAACATATTAAAGTCACTTTAAATGACCCTGAAGCTCAGGAACTTACCCGACTCCGTATGCTTTCCTGTCTTTCCTTCCACTCCATCATATAATTCATCAGTTAACGATCCTTCTGCAGCTTCCACATTGTGCACACGATGCCTATTGGGATAAACTACGAGCTCAGTTCCATTGGGTCCTTGGATCAACCCGTTGTGCAACTTACTACCACTTTTCTCCACCCCTACATTCACATTCCTCCGACTGTTCACTCTCCCGTCTTTCTTAGTCTTCCCTTTCACAAGAGACCGCAGCGGTAAAACCCGAACCCCATTCTCTTCCCCCAAAATCAAATGGCCAAATTTTATGCTGATAGAAAACACTGGGAATACACAATCAATCACAGCACATTTCATCAATTTCACCTCCTCAAACTCTGTCACCAACTTTACAGCAAAAACCCATATCTTGGAATTCGAAACCGAGTACAGTGCAAACACATTGCTCCCGCCTTCCAATTTCAACGAGACCCCGTGAGAAACGGCAAAGACAACCCCGAACCTCTTGTCATCAACCTTTAAATCCCTGTGAGTGGATCGAACTCTCAGCTTCGAACAGACCTTCCTGGTTGGATTGAACATAAAAAAACGGAGCAGGACGGAAGTGCCACCGTGAAAAGGCGACGTAGTTAGGAAAACCGAAAAGGGATTAGGGCTAGAGGGGTGGTGGAGGTGGAGGAAAGCGGCGGAGGAAGTGGGAGCTGGGATGAGCGACGAAGGGGGCGGGAAAGAGGAAAGAGAAAGAGGAGAAAAGGAAGGGTAAAGAGAGAGAGAGGTGTCGGAATGGTGAAGGGCGAGAGAAAGGGAGTTGGGATCGAAGAGGAAGGAAGTGATGTGGGGAGGTGGAAAGGGATAGGAAAGAGAAGGGTTTGGAAGGGCGAGCTGACAAGCTTCAACGATTACCATAACGGAATCTCCGGGCGGGGGGTTGAATTGAGAGATTCTGCGAATCAAATTACGGTTACGCCGGTGAGATTTTCCGGGGAGAAGACAGGCTGCATCTCAGCTCTCTCTCACAGTGTGCGTATGTTTTCTTGTTGACGGTTGACTTATTTATTTTTATACTTTTGCGGTTTTACCGTCCGCGAAACATAGTGAAAGGTAAACTGCCGCTCGCCTCGCGGTGAAAGCTATACTTTACTGTGTGTCTGATGGGAGTAAAAAAATGTAAGTATAATCCTTAAAAAATATTTATAACATATATTACTCCCTTTGATCCTTCTTACTATAAAGTATTTTAATTTCTTCTAAGTTTCATTTATCATGTTTTTCAATTATGAATCAAATTTTAAAAATGTTATATAATAATAATTGAAAAAACACAATAAATGTGAAAATACGGTATACTTTTAAGGTTTTGTTTTCAATTGTAAAAACACAATAAATGAAATTTATGAGAAATCAAAATATCTTATATAATAAGAACCACATGGAATATAAAATGTAATTTCCTAAGATAACTAGCTTTGGCCAAAAACAATAAAATTAATTTTTTGAAAAAAAAAATACTTTCTCTGGTCCTTAATATAAGGCATTTTGATTTGTCAAAGGTTTTACCTAATATATGTTTTTAATTAATAAAAAAAATTAAAATATTTATAATAATTAAGAGAATATAACGAATGTAAAAATATATTTTTAATATTTTTTTCAATAAAAAATACGTATTATGTAAAACTTAAGACAAATCAAAGTAACTTATACTAAGTACCAGAACGAGTAGATAAGAAGAAGAAAGAAATCACAAAGTTAACTTGGTGGAACACAAGACAAGATGAATGAATGTACACCAGTGAGTTATTAATAGAGTTTTACTCTATAGAAAAGTTAGTAACATAGTCTATTTATTCAAATTAGTCCATTTTCAATAAAACTCTACTTTATAATCTATCTATCTATATCTATATACTATACTAAGGCAAAAACCAGAGAGAGAAATCTAAAGTTAAGGAGCACATGCCATATTGGATTTTATCCTATGTGGCATTTTCTTAATTTTTTAGATATAAAAATGCACAAAACAAAACAATAAAAACCAAAAAAAAAAACGCAACTGAAAAAATCCAAATCCTATATTGATTCGACCAAATCCCTGCAAATCCAATGGACGGATCTCTTCCTCCTAAAAAAAAAACGCAACTGAAAAAGAATTTTATATTAATAATTTATTAAAGTGATTAAAAAAGTTAGGCCAACCCGAAACTTCTATAATTTAGCTTCAAATATGGAATTGAGTTAAAATACTATGGTGATAGGTTGATGTAGCGGGACTAAGAATGGCTCCGGCAAAGAATAAAAATATTAAAAGGCTTTAATTATGGCTATTCTTTCTTCTTCTTTTTTAACGTTTTGAAATCCAAATTTTTAGTTTATCTTTCTTGAACCTAAATGGAAAAATGTACATACATTAGAAATAAATATACTAATTTATACATGAATCAACTACTACTCGCTAAGTAAGGAGGTCTCAACACAAAAATGGTCTAAATATGGATAGAAAGCAAAATAGCTGAGAAACTGTTTGTTTTATCATGCAGAAACGGAATCAGGAAATGGCTTTGAATACTGACAAAATGGTTCTTCTTGGATGCTGATGAAATCATGATTCTAACGGTGCTATTTGTTTTGAAATCTAGAATAGTTTGATTATTACCTCTGTTTAGCTAATCTTGGTAATGAATTTCAAGTTCAGGTTGTGCTCATCATTCCATCGAAAATTTGCATAGATTTCTGATGCACACTACATTCCAACAATAGTACAATGACTGTTGAATTGGTTATCTACTTAATTTCAAAATTTCAGTTTATGTTTCCTAAAAAAATATTTGTGCTTTTTAATAAGATAAATTTATTTGTCTAATCGTCTGTGACTGCTAAATGTTTCGTGTTTTAAACAAATATTAAGGGGTCTATGCGGCTAAATATTGGGCTCTTAATTTTTTGTTCCTTTTTTTTTTCCTGAAAAGAAGACTATATATATATATATATATATATATATATATTATAGTAAAGCAAACTACAGAGAGAAAATCTAAGGTATCGTATCATGCCACATATGACTAAATCTTATGTGGCAAATTTATGATATTGAACCAAATTTTATAATTGTTTTCTTAAAAAGTCTAACTTTAATTCGAAAAAAAATGAGTAGAATGAATTTGACATTTGCAAAAGTGTTTAGAAAGATATTAATGAAGAAAAAAATAGGTAAATGATATTCTTTAAGTGTAAAAAAATAGTCTCACCCTCACATTTTAAATAAAATATTTCTAACAACGAGTAAGTTAATTAAAGATAAATTATTAGATAGGTAATGAGAAATAACTAAATCAAACGAACAAATGAGGCTAAAAAATAAAAAATGAAGGAAAGTGAGAATGCATCATATTTAAAAAAGAAAATAATAAAATAAAAACACTAAAATCAAAAGTCACTCCGAACTAAGAAATAAAGGTCCTGATATCCAATTTTTTTTATTTTTCTTATTAAAAAATTAGATTGCCTCTACAACAAGTTAGTGTTGTTGTTTCTGTAGTAACCATTCCTTATCATAAACCTTTTCAAAAAAATAAAAAATAAAAATTCCTTATCATAATTTCTTAACCACCCTAGGCGACCTTTCCACCCCAGACTACCAATGTAGTCTACCAAGAAATATTGCAAGATATATAATTATTTAATTCAAAGTTCATTTTTAAAAAAAATTTCTTAACAATCTTTTTTGCGTTAAATAAATTACCAGTGTATTCGTTTGGTAAAGTGTTGTCGATGTTTGTGTTTTATATTTTTTAATGAATTCATTATATATTTTTATAAAAATATAAAAATCTATACAAATATTAACATTTTTTTGATTTGTTTGTGTAGTAATGTCTATGTTTATGTGCTCCCCGTCCATCGGACGGGTCTAACACCTAGTAAGATTAATCATCGATTATTATTTTATTCAAGTCATTCTTTCTCTAAGGGGTTGAAAACAATAGGAAAATGATATATCTAATAGAAAAAAATAATGAAAAAAGATAGTGAGTGATGTGGTTTATTCTTACCAATTTTCCGTTAAAATTTTATTTTTTCCTAAAAAATTATACTTTTACCCTTCATTAATAAATACACATATTTAGTGAGAATGATGTATTTGTTTTTTCATTAGTCATTATACTTGTTCACTGTAATTAGTCAATATCTCTATCATTGCTCAAAACAATAAGGCAAATATAATGATAAATTTGCTTTTTTGAAATTGTCTTAGTTTCTTAATTGCAAACAGCCATAACAAGTGCAAATGAAAGGCACGCACACAAACAATTTTCCAATTCCCAAAAGGCACAAAACAAAGAAGTTGATAATAGTAAAAATAAACTCGAAATATCCATAAATAAACCAGGAGTAGTGATTGTTGAGAATACTACAATTATTGTCACCCCCCACTAGTACACTCTCCTAGTAGTGCCACTGCCACTGACTATCCAAAAAAAAATTTGCCCAAATTGAAAAACGTGACACTATCTTTTTTCTTTCCTTTTTTTTTTCCCCCTTCCCTCTCCAGCACCATCACCATTATTCATTACAAGTTGGAAAAGTCGCATAATCATCTCTCTACGACTAAAAAGGGAAAAAAAAACTCAAAAGCTTTTCCCACCAACCACACAAAAAAAACAGCAAAAATATTGTTAAGGAATTATTTTAATTAGTGAAGTTGGAGACGGTGGCTCCGGGCTCACAAGCCTTGGCAGCAGCCGAGGGTTCCACGGCGGGTGACGGAGGAACTGGCGGAGCCGTCAACTCGCTGGGAAGATCCGGGATGCCCTTCAAGTAAAAAGTGTAGAACAGCTTGAAGGGGAAAATGAGTTGCTGGAGTTTGACTTGACCGTACACCCCTTCAAAGATCCCAGATCCGCCAGTCACCGCAAGGTACGTGTCCTCGTAGGTCAAATACGGCCCCTGCACCGCTATGTGACCGTAATCCCCGAAGTAAAAGCTGTAAATTGCCTCAAACCGATCACCTTTCTTCTCCGGCTCGTTCTTGATCAAAATGCATATCCCCGCCGTTATTCCCAGCCTTTTCTGCAAACATCCGCTGTAAACCTGCAACACAGAGCAAACCCAATTGAGTCAATTGTCAAGCTCATTGATTGAAGAAATAAATTTCAAAATAAGACCAACTTTTTTATTAGAGAATTGATCCTTACTTTGTTGCTGAAAGGGACAAGATCGCCTAAGGAGTTGACTGGTTTTTGGCTCAATTTAAGAACGGCCGGGCTTCCACGATCGCGTTCGTTGATCTCATACACCTTCAGCTCTTGAACTTTAGCTGAAACATATAACAATTTTAACCAGCACAAAATTAATTCGACATCATTATGAGGAATTGATAGACCCATGATTGATTTGAGCCTGAGGAGCACTAATACTTACTGGGTCTGGAATCAGATGGTGTGGCCTGGCTCTTGCAGGTGAAAGATCTCGCGGCGGCACCGTTAGTTAAACTGAGGTTCTTCTTCTGGGAGATGAAGGGATTTGGGAGGTTGAAGCAGAGTGATTTCTGGGATGGTGAGGTTGTTGGCAGCTTCACCTTCATGGAGGAAGCTGAGGCAGCGCCCCTGATTGCAGCATAGGTTGATGAAGCAGCAGCCATCGATTAGAGATTTTGCAAGGATCGGATCTCAATTAACTGAGTAGAAGAAGTAGAATAGAGTAGTTTGGGAAAAAGAAATGTCAATGGTTGTGGACCGATGATGAAAGCTGGAAGGTGTCTACTGGGCTATATATAATAATCGTAAAATACGTAAGAATGGGAATTGATTATGGTTGAATATTGGGAATTGTTGTTATGGGCAGCGGATATTTTTGTTTTGGTTTTGGGCTAAGATCAAGAATGGTTATGGACGGCACAAACGTGTGACGGTGTGAGTTTATGAGAACTGAGAGAACAGAGTACAAATGTATAATTAATGTGGGATGAAAGCCAAAAAGATGTAGAAGGACGAGGATTGGTCAAAGAGAAGCAGTCTTTGACTAATATTTTGAGTGGTATCTGTGTTTATTTTTTCACCAACGTGAAAAATGTTTGTTTTAAAATGGTTCATCAACAGTCATGCACGTTGGACGGTGATGGTGTCGGAAGTGGGAAGTGGGAAGTCGGAACAGATATCTTTTCGTTGCATCTGTTGAACATCATTTTATCTTGGAAAATACTAATTAAATTGCCTGGTATGGTTGAAAACATTTTCAAATGCATATTTATTTTAGTTTTAAAAAAAAATGAAGATATAAGAAACTGAATTAAAAAATCCTATTGATCCATAAGTTTAAACAACCGAGCTAAAAAAAGTTACTCCCTCCATCACAAAAAAAATAATTCACATTGAGTTTCTGAGATTTGTATTACATAAGGCAGACGGTCCCAAAATTTAATATTGGCTATTTATTTGGAAAAAAATAGTAATAAAAGTTTCATTTTCATAAGGAAAATAATTAATAAAAAATTCTCTAAAGAGAATTAATTTGGAATTGTACTCCAAGGTAAAATAATGAAGTAATTTCATAGGTTATTGATGACTTCTTTTTTTTTTTGGATAAAGTACTAATGACTATGTACATGTTACTCTCTCCATTTTTTATTATATGTCGTTTTAGGGTTTAGTGCATTTTTTTAAATATATGTCGTTTTCACACATTGAGGCACATTTGACCATCTTTTTTCAACATTGCTCATGCATTGGAAATGAAACAATAATGATAATAAATTTTTATTGATTTGTGATGAATTGTTGATGGGATGTCAAGCCAACAAACAATTTAACCTACTTTCAAACTAGTAGCATAGGAAAGCAAGGTCGTCTCCTCATGGAATGGTGGATTCGTTTCTTTCAAATAAGTAACCGAAAGGAAGGTTTTGAGTTTTTAAAACTAAAATGTAGTTAAAATAAAATTCAAATGATAGTAAAAAAAATAAAAGCAAATTATGAGAAAGTTTATAGTCAAAAGATTTTATATCCACCTTGGTCTAGACAATTGATCATAGATGCAATGATATGCTCAATCACTTATAGGCAAATTAGTTTTCGTTGTTGGAATCTCCTAACAACTCAATTTTGAATTAAGTTTAGTGATTAAGAAAACCTTCATTAAACACACTAGTCGAAATTCAATCCTGGAACCTCCTGAGATTAAGAAAATGACTGCATTAAGTACAAAGACCCAATTCTGATTCCTATGAAACAAACCTTGTTTAATAAAAAACCAGATTACTTGTTCTTATAACATAACAAAATCACTTACCAAGTAATTTAATTATATCAGTCCCTTCTAAAACAACAAACCTTGCTGCCTTATTGATTGTTATTTATCATGAAATAATGAATGCTACCAGATATTCATGAATCCAAAATCTTTATATCAATCATTCATAAGAACAAGCAAATACTTACAAAGAATTGAGAAATGAAAAACATTTAGATCTCACAACTATTAAGAACCAAGGTTTCAATATCTTTCAACTAGAAAAGTAATTTAGTTACACATAATAAAGCCTTACTGAAATAAAATTATGGGGAAGAATAACGCCCAAAAGGGTTAGATTGGCGGCTTAGGACCACTCCAGCCTCCTATTCTTCTTCTCAGGTTCATCCCCCCTCCAAAAGAAAAAGAATAAAATCAATTTATACGGTAACAAGTAGGTCAGCCACAGCAGCCCTTCAGAAATCCGCAACAGCAAATTAACTTTTCCGAGATTTGCAAATTAGTCCCTCAAGTTTGGTAAAATTATATTTTGACCCAAAACTTTTTTAATTTTTCACTTTAGTCCCTATTTCGGTTTGGCCAAACGGGAATGCAGCGTCAATGTTGGAATTTCTTCTCTAAAGCTCAATTTTAGACTGAGATTCGTGTGCCCACACGAGAATGTGATGTCATTGCTTACTTTTTGTGCTTCCTTGTCAAAATGCTCAAAAAATGTGTGTTTATGAAACATTTTTCTCCATCACTCCTAAGAACCAAAAACATCAAAATACACAACATCAGTGCACAATCTAATCTAAAATACTATACAAATACTCGTAAATAACATGAAACTTCAAGACTTATCAGTTGTATAAAACTATAAATCATAAATAAGAGTATCTTTGTATTTTAATTATATTAATTAATGTTTTTTTTTATTTTGATGAATTTTTTAGAAAGACATATGATAAAAAATAGAGGCAGTAACGTACAATCCTCTCGCAAGTCCCTCCTTAAAGATACAGTAATTGTCCGGTTTAGACAGGTGATTACTTATTTTGATCAATGATTATTTAGGGGGACTATTACTAGGCTTCCTTACTGGACACTGGCACCATTTTCTGCAAGTTTGTTTTTGGGCCAATGAAATGTGTCACTTAGTAGAGGACAGTTTCCATTTGAAACCTCTATAGTCTGTATCCTGTTAAGTAATAATGGAGAGATCCCTGAGCCCATTTGAATTTTTGGATTCACTTTTCTCTTAGAGGGGTTCCTCATCGATATCTGAAGAAATTAATGGATCAGTGAGACGCTTCAATGGACCTTTAGCAGAAGCTCTCCCATTTTCTTCTATGTTTTTTTTTTTTTTTTCCTGCTATGTTGTGCCAAAAGAAATCGGAAACAAATGTGGTGGTGGTGTTTTTTTAAAAAAATAAAAAACAAAAAATTTACTCGTCTCAAAAAAAAAAAAGAAGGTTAAAATGGATTTTGTGATTTGTATAAATTTAAAAACTCATGTAGAATTATTTTTTTAAGACAAATAGTGTGGCATTAATTCAGAGTCGGGAGTCCATTATGCAAACTAAAGGCAATACAACTGTACGCTTTATCTGCATGGCTGCATCACATGATGAAGGTTTAGTATGTAAAATGGCTGTGGAAGGTCTCAATTTATGGCTTGCGACTGTTACTGCATATACCATTGTAGTGCTTTAGAAGTGTAATGAGTGTTTATTTGGACGTCATCTTACATTTCATTTTGCCACTTAAAAGTGGAAAGTGTTTCAAGTTGAAAACTAAATGAAAAATGAAAATGTTGTTTGAATGGTATTTTAAGCAAAAAGTTATTTGGATCTTAGTTTTTTAAAAAATATTTTGAACTACATTTTGAAATATCAAGTACGAATCATCACTAAACAATTAAATACTGTCAATTATAGTCACTTTAAAAAAGAACTTTTCAAAAAACAATTACTAAACAATGGAAACCTAGCAAATTTGTCACTCTAAGATTTTCCTTTGTTAGATTTCGTCACTGAACTATTTTTTTTTAAAAAAATAGTCATTAAACTAACAAAAGGGGTTTCAAGTTGGAATTTAAAATGTAAATCAGAAAGTTGTTTGAATGATGTTTTTTTTTTCCATTGGGTTTTATGTGTAAGAGGTAAAATGAGTTGTCATTTTCTGTTGAACCAGGTCTTAATCTAAGAAATCCATATTAAAAAATGAGTTGTCATCCAGTAAAAGTTATTATTATTATTATTTCTTTTTTTAAAAGAAAAAATCCGGATAGCTAGTGCTTGTTTGGACATTAACTTATATTTCATTTTACCACTTAAAAGTGGAAAGTGTTTCAAATTGAAAATTAAATGGGAAAAAAAATGTTGTTTGGATGTTGGTTTTGAAAAAAGGTATTTTGAACTACATTTTGAAATATCAAGTACAAGTCATCACTAAACAATTAAATATTGTCAATTATAGTCACTGCAAAAAAGAATTTTTCCAAAAACAATCACTGAACAACGGAATCCTTCAAAATTTGTCACTGAACTATTTGTAGTTCTAAAATGGTCATTACACTAACAAAAAGTGTTTCAAGTTGGAATGTAAAATGCAAAACATAAAATTGTTTAGATGATATTTTCTTTTCAATTAGATTTTGTGTTTAAGAGGTAAAATGAGTGAAAATATAAAACGAGTTGATGTCCAAACAAGGGCTTCGGGTAGCTGGGGCTTTGTATCTTTTTGGATTATGTTTATATCATTTTTTTTGGGAGCGTGTTATATACATACCTTTTAACCTTCACTAGTTTGTAGCAGCTAGCTTGAAGTAGCATCTAGCGTCAACCAGAGAGAGGCACGGTTACAAATGCCAACCAGAATGAAAGCTTTACTAGAATGTGATTTCTTGAAATAAGTGTATCTCTCTCTAATCTACACACCAATCCTTAGGCCACCAAGGAACTGCTACGTTATTATTATTAACTTGTTTTTTAGTTATACCATTCTAATTCCCTACTCTCTCTAGTCTCTACCGGTGAGAATCGACCCAAGACCTAAATCAATTGGATTACATTCGACTATCATTATATTATAATATTAAAGAGAAGATAGAAAATAAGCATAATACTGTACACTTAAAGAATTAAACTAATTGGACTCTATTTAATTCTCACTACATTATTATAGAAAAGGAAAAAAATAAACATATGATATTTAAAATAAAAATAAATAAATAATTAATTAATTACTATAAGGTAGGGGGTAGGGAGTAGGGGGGCCAAAATATATAGAGGCCTAGGAGCTAGTGTGGAAATCCCACCCACTCCCAGAGGAAAAAGACAAACGACTTGGGAGGTTCCTCTTTACAACAGATCCGAGAAATGCGTTGATAAGTCCCTCCCCCTTCCACCCCATTGGGATTTTTGGGATTCCCCTGCTATTCCCTCTTTCCACCTCCCTTTGTCATCTTCTGTGTTCCACGCGCTCAACTCAACTAGAGAGTCCCTTAATTTATAGGCATTCGTATGTTTCTGTCCCTTAATCTATAGTCTTTGGGTTCGAAATTTGGTCAAAATAAATATGGAAATTGAAGTGTATCAAACGGTGGACTCAAAAGAGAATAATGTCACACATTTGGGGTCAAAAAGATATTAATAAACATAGAGGGCACACATCTATCTATTACTATAATAAAAGTGAAAGGCCATGATGGAACAGTGAATTTCGTAGTTGGAACACCTTGATTAGTGTCACGGGCATTTTTGTACTTTCATAAAAAAGTCTCAATTGCAAAGATTTTTTGATCACGTGGTGCACCTATTTTCAACATATGTCAGCAATCTAAGGAACTAATAAGTGTCACCAAATCTAATATATATAATTTCAATTTTACCAGAACATTCTACTTTTACCTCTGTAAATTTTGGTTTAACGTGGCATATTACAGTACCTAAATGCTACAATTGAGGTCCATTTCGTATGGTATATACTGTATGGCTTTCCCATTGATGAGGTTTGTTTCCTTTTATCTAAATCTGGCTCTAAACTCCGTTTTCTCTTTTTTACTGATAATAATAAAAAAACATGTCTTTATCTATGCGTTAAAAAAAAGACTGGAAGTCCATTTGTTTATCCAAGCAACATTGCAACTTCCAGGGGTATTTCTGTAAATTTATTTTTAAAAAATAATACCGATTATTAAATCAAGTGGACAAGATAGTTAAAGCTCATTAGGCCTCGACAATTCCAATCTTTTTACACTGCGTGCTAATTACATTTTGGCAGCAAGATCATTTGAGTTGATGGCCTATTTCATTTCATTTTAATTTTTTTCCCCCTATGGTTTTCTTACTGGTTTGCCACAACCTCCAAAGTTTCATAGGTTTTTTATTTTAGAAAAAGAAAAATTATTATGCCTCAAAATTTTCACTAAGATAATGATTTTTTATTTTTTTTTTGTAGTTGTTTAATTCTATTGGCATTTGTGCAAAATAAAAGGTATCAAAGTCCATTAGATCTTACAATCCTATACAATTTTCATTTTCCCGTTGAGTTTTTACTTCATTATTGGTATTAGGTCATATTTATCATAGTTAATTCTTAACTATGATAATTGCTGGTGACAAATTAGATATGAATATTTTTGGAGAGATCTGTAAAGTCAGGCTTAATTTTCAAATGGATCGAAACCATTTATAGTGATATTAGTGTTATTTAATTATAGTAAAGGGGATCGTTTTTTCATTTGTTTCATCCTGACAATCCAACAAAATTCACAAGTTAAAAGGCTTTTGTGGACGAGAGTACCATTTTGTGGGTTATCTCCATGATGAAGAAGCAAGAGGTTGGACAATAATAAACCACAGTATGAGTGTTTGCACATTCTAGTACAATGGCAACAAATTTTGAATGAAAAGAGTGAGGTTTGCTCCCCAAAACAAAAACAAATTATTTACAGAAATCTTCTTCCGCCATTGACGCTAACATTAAATGGAGCAAACATGTCACGCACAGGATTACAAAATTCACTAGAAGACAGTTGCGTTATATAGTAGTGTATATATAGGGAATTCACTGTCATGATCAACTGTTTAAAATGGCAACAATTCATTAACATATTGCCAAAACCTCAATAAATTTGATTCACATGTTTCATCTCTATGATTAACTATTCTGACCTCACCTATATACATGTAGTAGTAGTAACTGTGCCTGTCTAAATGAATTATCAAATCCAACAAAATTACAGCCTGAAAATGAATGATCAAATCAAAGGGAAAAAAAAAGGAGGAAAAAAACACCATTATCAACAATATCACGTTATTAGGAATCAAACCCTAATGATTTTATTTATTTATATTTTTTCCTTCTCGTCTTTCTTTCTAAATTTTCAGAGGAAAAAAAAGGTAAAAATAGAGATCATAAAGAAGTTAGGGGAAAAGCATGGCTATACATGATAAAGGAGGGAGAGGGGGGAGGAGCCTGATTAAGACAGTTCAGAGCAGGGATGGGGTCAGCACCACCAAAGGGAAGGGGAAAAATATGTATCATTGTCCTTTTTGGGGAGGAAGGAGATTTAACCATATTTGTTTCATTAATAATAATTGGAGCGTGGATACCAAACGCTTCATTTACAAAGCTCTTCCGTTTTGGCTCAACTGGATGGGGGAAGGAAGAAGAACTAGTACTAAATAAGTGAGGTGTAAAACAGCTCATAGTTTCACAATGGCATCTTTATTTGCTTTGTTTGTGGATTGAGGAGCTAAAGCATTAAGCTAATAGTAGTTAGAAAGAGAGAGTCGATCCTTTTTTAGCAGTGGGGGGGTGCAGTGAGGCAGAAAGAAAGGGGAAAAATTTACAAAGGGAGGAGAAGAGCTGGAGGGGAGGCGTCCCTCAGTCACTGTCTTGTCTTGTCTTACCACAAAATTCTGACTCAATCTGGACCCCTTTCTCTCCCCTCCCAACTTTTTCCCCTTCTTCTGCACATATATTTGTCTGACCCACTGCCAAAACCCCCCCAGCCTCCACCACCACCTTCCCCCCAAATTTTCACCCCCCTCCCACCTCTGTTTTTTATCCCAAGTTCTCCCTTCTTTTATTTTAGTCATTTTGCTTTACGCGCACATGAATACTCTTAGTAACTCAATATATGTAACAGCTACCGCACCTAATTAACCCATTCACTGATGTAGAGTGGATTTACCAAAAATGTAATTAAGGGCTGATGATAATCAGGCTTCTAAATTCTAACACTGTTACCGATCATGCTATTGGAGGTGAATATTAAGAATTTACACTGACTTTTATATCCTTTCTTACTAAAATCTTTCATCAGGGCACGATCAAATTGTACCGCAAGAGCAACTCACAATTAGATAGAGCGATTACTGAAAATGTATATAAGGGATTATAATTTTTATTTGATTTACAACAAAGTGTCAAGATTAATATAAAAAAAAATATTAGTTGATCAAATTATATGTTTTTTGGGAGAGCTTTCAGTCATCAACTTGTAGTGATCTCCGAACCATTGATAATTTGTTGAACTTTTGATCAATTTGCGTTATACTCATAAGTTTTCAAACTTCAATTCACAATATATTGTAATAATTTCTCAAAAATTTTGGGAGAGATCTTACGGAATGACACAAATAATTCAAAACCCCATGCAAATGCGAATGCAGATAAGACAATAATTTATATATATGGCGCGTAGAAAAGAGGTCAACATCATGTCGCGCGTCGTCTTCAATTGATCCCTAAACAAACTACACCAGAATGCAATTCCCCCTGCTTCTTTTTCCCCTTCGGTCTCCAGCATAATATGCAGTCCCCTCTTCCTTATTATACCCCCTCTCCCTTCCCACTACTACTATTTAACCCCACTTCTTCCCTGATTTATCAATTTGTTTTGACATCTCATCCTTTCAATTCAAGCTCCCCCACATCAAGAAGAAAACATTAAACACTCCCTCCTCTTCCTTTCTTTCTTTCACCCAACAACAACAACAAAATCTCTCTTTTTCCATCAATCAGATCACCCACCTATACAATAACACAAACACTGTATTGTAATTATTGTGATAATACAAGCCAGAGGAGAAAAGAAAAAACGGGCAACATGCATACAATTATTAAAGGGTGACCAATTTTGTGAGGGTCCTCTTTGCGGGTTGTCGCAGAAAAATGGTTATGGTAATTAGGAGATGAAGGAGAGGCAAAGGTGGCAACCAGAAGAAGACGCACTCCTCCGTGCCTACGTTAAGCAATATGGAGCCAAAGAATGGAATCTCATCTCTCAGCGCATGGGTAAAACCCTTGACAGGGACCCTAAATCCTGCCTCGAACGCTGGAAAAACTACCTTAAACCCGGCATCAAAAAGGGCTCTCTGACTCCGGAGGAGCAATCCCTCGTCATCTCTCTTCAATCCAAGTACGGCAACAAGTGGAAGAAGATTGCCGCCGAGGTCCCCGGCCGGACTGCCAAGCGGCTGGGCAAGTGGTGGGAGGTTTTCAAAGAGAAACAGCTCAAACAGTTGCAGAAGTCGCAGGGCCGCCAGGATTACGCCGACCCGGCCGCCGTCTCCGCCGTGTCCTGCAGCGGGTCTCCGGAGAAAGCCGTACAGGGGAAATACGACCACATTCTGGAGACTTTTGCCGAGAAGTACGTCCAGCCTAAGTTATTCGCCTTTCAATCCCTTCCTTTGCCACAGACCATTATGCCTAATCTTACCCTGCCCGTGCCTGAACCTCCTCCAGTACTTTCTCTCGGTTCGGTTGCAATTACCGACCCGATCAATGTTTCGACGACGATTCCGGCTTCCACGCTTCCGCCGTGGATGAGCATGACGCCCACCGCCACATCATCTCTGTCCTCATCGTCTTCCACTCCATCTCCATCGGTAAGTCTCACTCTTTCCCCTTCAGAACCGCCGGCGGTTCTCGACCCGGTACAACCCGAAATCGGGCTGCCCACCCGGTTCTTCCCAGTTCATCAAATGGGTACCCTGGTTCAGTATTCAAAGGAGCTGGAAGAAGGCAGGCAAAACTGGGTTCAGCATAAGAAGGAAGCGACATGGAGGCTGAACAGGTTGGAGCAGCAATTGGAGTCCGAGAAGGCCCGGAAGAGGAGAGAAAAGATGGAGGAAATCGATGCCAAGATAAGGTGTTTGAGAGAGGAAGAGATGGCATATCTTGGAAGGATCGAAAGCGAGTACAGAGATCAGCTGACTGCATTACAGAGAGATGCTGAGGCTAAAGAAGCAAAGTTAATGGAAGCATGGTGCAGTAAACATGTGAAGTTGGCCAAGCTTGTTGAACAAATCGGGGTCCACACTAGTCATGGATTCACAACTTTGCCTTGTAAAGACTTGCGTTAATTTTTTTCCCACTCAGTACTACTTTTACTACTACAGCTATAGACAGTACTTCCCAGGCCAGTACCAAAAAAAAACCTCACTGCTACTCTACTACTCGATGAAAATGAAATGTGGACGAATTTTTTCATGTCATCAAAGTTCTCTCTCAACCGTTTCTGCATGCATTTCATCATCATTTTTGGATTTTTTTTTTAAGTTTCACATGAAGTAAGATAATAAGTTGTCGAATTACATTCCGTTACTATCAGAAAAATATGATCTTGGAACTATGATGCCAATATTGCAATGGTGTGATATACTTTTACTGTACACAAACGTGTTGTGGAAAGATGCTGGTGGGAAATGCACTAAACTTAAAACTGTTGTTTGTGTAGGACTGCTACTAGGTAGGTAGATAGATAGTGGAAAAAAGTGTAGACTATATTTCACAAAAGATAATGAAAGCTGGGAAAGGGAAGCAATAGCAGTGCAACCATAGCATTGTGATGTCTAATCGGTTTCGACGTTTTTGTTAGCAAAAGAAAGGCAAAGAAAAGAAAAAAAAAAAAAAGAGAAGAAGAGGAGAGGGCTTTTACTTTTAGGGCATTTTAGCCTCAGCTTTTTTAGGCTTTGTCACAATTTGGGTGAAGTCCACGGGTAGGATTTTTGCATTGATTCCATTTTAGTCACAGTAAATAAAATGAAAGGTAAATAGGTCTGGACATATATATACGTACAGACTACAGAGCTAGCGTAGGCCGAAATGTTTCTGGTGCTACACCTTATGTATGTCGTCTGTTGTCTCCTCAAGTATCAGCAATTTACCTGAATTTGAAAGCCAACCTAACAATATAAATCCCCAGTCACCTTGATGGTAGAAAATGGCTTTGAAAGTACGTACGGCCTAAGGGTAATGAAATTGAACAATGGGTAAAAGCAACTTAGGCAGTGACATTCAACTGGGGAAATTGATAACAAATTATCAATGCAAAATGTACTACGTCGCTACTCTTTATTGAAGTAAAATGCGCACTAAGCAGGCAGGAAATTCAGAAGTATGGTGTTCAATCGGTTTTATTGCTTTATCGTGGCACTGGCTCCGTCTTTTTGTCAAAGTCGGAGAGTTTTTGTGTGCCTTTTCTGAGCCTAGGTAGCTCGTTGAAATTGTCGGAAACGCGAACGTTGACTTTCGCAAACCATGATTTCATTAGATTAGGTACTTGGTTGGTCACGCAGTTATAGATTCGGAAACTCCTGATTCGAGCTACACATCTGGGTCATGTACTGTTGAAGTATTTATCCCACATGGTGTCTGAGACACTTTCAGACGCATATAAGATCACGCTACTCTCCTCATCGCCAATTGGTTTGAGGTGAACCCACGCTTCTATAAGCGATCGATACGCTACACTACGCGATTTAAGCCCATGATGTTATTTCGTGGTCCAATTTAAGTCCGCGACGTTATTCCGCGACCCGTGATGTTATTCCACGGTTTATTGCGGCCCGTGATGTTATTCCACGGTTTATTTCCTGATCCTGGTGATTTAGTCCAAACCCGTTGGGCTTAAGGGGGAGTGTTGAAGTATTTATCCCACATTGGTGTCTGAAGACACTTTGTATTAGTATATAAGCATCATGGGCTACTCTCCTCATTGCCAATTGGTTTTGAGGTGGAACCCCATGGGCTTCTATATGTAATATATCTCCAGAATTTTGTTATTATCGTTATGAAGTACTCCACATATGAACGTGTCCAGGTCTTTTTTCAACGTTGTGAGCTACACATCTTGGTCATGTACTATATTTGGTAGAGTCACGGTTCCAACAACCAGTCGTTGTAGTATAGTGGTAAGTATTTCCGCCTGTCACGCGGACGACCCGGGTTCGATCCCCGGCAACGGCGAAATTTTATATTTTTAATTGTTGTGTCCGATGGCTTTTTATGATATGTAAATTATTAATCTTTGTGATTAACAAGCTGTCGTTGTAGTATAGTGGTAAGTATTTCCGCCTGTCACGCGGACGACCCGGGTTCGATCCCCGGCAACGGCGTAATTTTTTGACGTTGTTTTCTTGATGATACTGGGCCTTTTTTTATTAGTTTATGCATTCTGTCCAGTCCGAGACATGCCTTTTTCTGGGCTAGGCCGATAAGAAGCCCAGCTCGTACCCTCATCATTAATTCACACTTTGCTTAAAAATTTAATTCCTCTTGTTAGGATGTGGTGAGTAACCAAGAAGGTTATCATCCTCAATCAGTTTCGGAATGATTGATGTGTTGCCTGCAAAATCTCCCGGAGCCCTGTCATGCATGATTTGTTCTTGCCTTTTATTCCCCAAGCTAAGGTGCCCTAGTGCACATCCTGTCACTGATACTGAAGTAAATGCAAATAGTATGTACCAAGCCTACTAATTTATGATAGTTATCTGAGGGAACGAAAACGGCTTTAAAAGGTTGCAGTTAAAAAGAGCAAGTCTCACTTCCTGTCTGGATCTTCGGGTGCGAAATCAGGGGTTTATGAATTTTTTGTCCGTGTGAAGTTCAGTTGCTTCAATGGCGATCCTTAATCTGTTGAAACGTCACTTTAAGTTCTCACTTTAAAATGCTATATACTGGCATTTCTTGTTTTTTTTTTTTAATTTTATTTATTTATTTTTATTTTTATCTTTGGTTCTGTAATATTGCGACCAAGATTGTAGTCGAGAAGTTCAGATGGATTAGGTCATCCAAGTTCTGAGCATTTCATGCGTTATTCTCAGTGAAAAGGAAACATAATATCGACATTTAGCTTTGGTTAATGCCAATAACTAAAGAAAAGTGTTTTAACTCCTAATAAAAGAACAAAAGTTATATATATAGCGTTTACAACATTAGTTCTTTTACTGTTTTTGTTTTTTTGTCTCAATATAATCCCGACTTGAAGTAATTATGGCCATTAATCTACTCCATTAAGCGCTATTTGGAGCTCACGTTGCAACAAGATATCTCTTACCTCCAAAGATGCCCAAGAACACCCTCCAGAGATTGAATCTTGACCTTCAGGTTCTCAACTGTTTCTGAACTTTCCATCAGGAGTAGATAAAGTATTGCTTCCAACTGTGTTACTTTCTGTTTTTTTTTTTTTTAATGGTGGAGTTGGTGCTTTTGCTTTTCATAATCCATGGGAATTCAGCATGACTTGGGCTAATACGAAATATCCAGAGTTGAGAAGAACTTGGGGTCTCATTCTTCTTTGTTCAATCCTCTGAATTTTCCAGTGCCCAAGTCAAGTGACTGTGTTAAACATATCATTTCTTGTCGTGTTTCACGAGTATGGTGAGTATAACTTCAAAACCGATGCTTCTTTGATTTTGTTGTTCTTCTGAAGGCCCATACGACCTGTACATTTACACATTTAGACAGCTTTAACTTGTGTAAGTTTAAGGAGTTAAGCAAGTTGAGACAGACAGCATCAAAAGAACAAATCAATCGCTTTTTCGCTTAGGATACTTAACTTCAAATCAGATTCAGTCAGGTTTGGCTTTTGTTTCTCTTGCCAAGTCTTTGCCTTCAACTGGTTCATGTCAATGACCAGTGGAATGTAAAGGAATGGGGGATTAATTAAGTAGAATATCCCTTTCTAATACTAAAACAGATGATCGATCCAACCTCCCTTGAAAATCTGGACCTGCTAGTTGACTTTAAAACCGTCTTGTCCTCATCAGAGATAAAATTCACTTTGCATTGTTATCTGATGTTGGTTTCAGTGGTTCATTGCATCAAAATATTTGAGAACGTTTTCGCTACAAGTCAGTGATTTTGGACTATCTTCTATTTTCTGGCTGGAGATGCTGCCCTGCTTCTCATCTTAATTGGGAATTACCTATAACAAACAGGACCAAAAGAATGGAACTAGCGACGTTTAATAAAGAAAAAACTACCAGTAGACAAGTAAAAGTCAGTAGACAACATATCCTTCCGAAGACTTCAACCCAAAAACAAAAAAATAAAAATAAAAATACGATTCACCTAAAAGGAGGTATTTAAAAATGAGAAAACAGTCAGTTTCTCTGCACTAGCAAGTCACCTAAAATATAACCCACGATTCAGGCTGGCGTGCTTATCTTATCGATACAAATTAACCCGATATAACAATTAATCAATTATGCTCTCTAGTCATTTTATGCTCGTCTCTGTACATCTTTTATTCATAAATTCCAAGTGTTCGTAATCACATTCACGGGAAGCAGATCATATACAGAACTGAGAATCCCTCAGGCGAAAGTTTCAACAGATCATGCTAAAATGGATCAGGACAGAAGAAAAAACCCAAAAACAAATTTAAAGCAAATCACTAAGAATACTTTGTTAACAATGAATGCCTCGTGAATTACGCTCAACTGTTAATACTTGTTAATGCCATTTTATCCGAGGACAGGAAAACTATAAACAAAGTTTAGGGTGTTGTTTATTAGAGTCAGGACAATGAACCGAAAGTTAAACGAGGCACGTTATTGTTTATTTAATTATATTCCACGATGGTGAGACCTTTGGCATCTGGCTCAACTTGCAACCTCCTCCTTTCTCTGAGGATACCCTCTCATACTCTTCCATTATTTTTTCATATACAAACCATTATGCATTCAGAATTTTTTTAAAAGGGTCTTCAAGAGAGAATCTGTGGACAAATGTAAGAAACTCCACCCTGTATGTGTTTGCTGTCACTTATTTCAAGACCAGAAATACAGGTTTTAACAAATTACACATCGATTTTTCGGAAGAAACTCGTAAAATGCCATCGTCATGTTTTTAAAACGTCGGCAACATGGCTTGCATAAAATAATATTGACTCGTCTGTGGCTCATCAGAAGTCATAACCTTCTAAGTTCTAACCTTATGTTGCATTTCAGAGGCTGTGATTGTTTTGGTCAACCTACTGCTTCAAGGACCAAAGAAGGAAATACCCTATTAAGAATCTGAAACTCAATGCAGCAGCCTTGAATCCATTTAGAATCGTATTGAACATAGATTATAATGATACAACTGGTATAATCAGAGTTCAGGCAAATATCTTACAATTGATTAATTATCCCTGTAAGCTATATAGTTTGCTAAAGCAATCAATGGAGCAGCCTTGTCAGGATTAAAATCAGCAAGCTGATCTTGTGCTTCTCTGTTCAACTTCTCAGCAAACTCCCTTGATTTTTCAAGACCAATTAACTTAGGATAGGTCACCTTGTCCGCCACCAAGTCCTTCCCAGCAGTTTTCCCCAATTCTTGAGAAGATTTAGTAACATCAAGAATGTCATCCACAACCTGAAACAATAAACCAATACACCTAGCAAACTTCCTCAATTTAGCAACTTGTTCATTGTTTGCACCGCCCAGAATTGCTCCCATCACCACAGAGCCCTCCAACAAAGCTGCCGTCTTGTGAACATGAATGAACTCCAAATGATCCAAACCCACATCTGATATTCCCTCAGAGCATATATCAACAACCTGGCCAGCAACAAGGCCTTCAGAACCGATACACTTGGCCAATTCACCAATCACTCTCACAATCCTTTCAGAAGAAACCCCTTTTGTGGCAGTGGCAATATGCTCAAAGGCAAATGCTAGAAGTGCATCCCCAGCCAAAACAGCCACATCCTCACCATAAACCTTATGGTTTGTGGGCTTCCCACGCCTCAAATCATCATTATCCATACAGGGGAGATCATCATGCATCAGGGACATTGTGTGAATCATCTCAACAGCAAGAGCAGAAGGCATGGCAAGGGATTCTGAGCCACCAAAGAGCTCACAAGCAGCAATACAGAGCATGGGGCGAACCCTTTTGCCACCAGCAAGAAGCGAGTACCTCATGGACTCATGAATCTTCAAAGGCTCCTGGAGCACAACCGCTTCTTCCAAGGCCTTATTCACAGAATTAGCTTTTCCAAGCATATAGCCCTTGAAATCAAATGAGGGTAAAGCTGTAAAGACACTATCTTTATCAATTGTTCTCTCTTCCTGAGGTCTATTGGTTTGTTCTTTGGTAATAATAGCTGAAATGGAAATGGCGTTATAAGGAATAGTGGGTTTTGTGATTGAATTAGGGACAAGGAAAGAAATGGGAAGTTTGTTCTTAAGAGGGTGACAAAGGTAAGATTGGATACAACCGGATCTACCACTTGTCAAATCGTGAATCCCATGGGTTTGTTGAATCCAGGTGGTGCCGGAATTCATAATGCTCATTTCTCTTGTCTTCCCTGAAACCGGCAGCAGAATCAGACCCTGAATTACTGTTTTTTTGGTTGAAGGCTAAAATAAGAGAGTGAGATTAGTACTCTCACTGTATAAATTGCTTTAGGTGGTGCAGTAGAAAAGCAACAAATCCACAAAGTATATATTGCGTTGGATGGGGGAAATAAATGAGTGAAGCTTTGATTGCCACAACAAAAAGTGTGGGCAATTTTTTAGGCAATAACTTTAATGAAGTGGGAGAGATTGATTTTTAAAGGTGGAAGGGGGCGTGTAGGATGGTGCTAGTTTTTAATTGGTAGGGAAGAGTTTTTGCTCAAATAAGGACAACTCCTTTATGCGTTTCCTTTGGATTTTGGAAGGAGTCGAAGGTCGACAGCTGCATATTTATGCCTATTTGGGGAGTTCTGAATTGTAAATTACAAGTAATTAATGTGGGTGATGGGATCTAATCATATAATGAGTCTTTTTCCCATCAATTTAATCACATCTTTAAATGAAACTATCAATTGAGAAGTGAAGATGCAGTGAAATTTTATTCACTCTATATTCTGAGGACTTGTGTGTCATAAATTAATTAGGTTACCAAACTAGTGATTCAGGAAAGCATGGATGGAATGAATTTTTCAAAGGGTAAAACCATCTCAACCTCACTGATAAATTACTTAAAAGTTGCCGTTCATCTGCATCCTTCCATGTGATTTTTTTTTTTTTGGGGGTTAAAATAAGTAATAAATATTCTCTTCATTCTAAAATTATTGTACAACTGGGAATTGAACTAGAAATGAAAATCCAGACTGAATAATAATTTTGAGTTGAATGGAGTAAGATTATTATTTTAATATAAATGAATATAATACGAATGAATGGAACAAAAATATGTTACACTTGTCGCTTTAGAAAACTGGTCTATTTTGATTTGCATTAACGTGTAACTTGAGCTGCATCTTGAATGAGCATGACATCTTACCCCGGTTGAGCAAGTTGTGTGCTGTGTGCACCAGTTTCTGAAGTTATTGGAACTTCTTCTTCCGTTTCTTCAATTTGTTCAAAATTTTTCCTTTTCTAGCTCAGTAGAATAGGGTATTGTCTAAATTCTCTAAACTAAGATATTTAGAGGATGCGATATCACATTTAATACAAAAAAGATCCCACTATATTCCAACATTAATTCCCGTCCCATAATTATTGTCCATTTTGAGTTTTTATTTTTAGTTCAAATTATACTAAAAGTGAAATTTCAAACTAGACAATAATTTTGAGACAGAGTGAGTATGTCAGAGATGGTGAAGAAATTAAATAATCAGTCTCAAAATTTATCTTTCCAAATATATACTTTGCCATTACCGCCCAATAACATTTATGAATTTCAAGATTTCGTCAAAACAAGAGGTCATCCATACAATAGACGGAATCGGTTTTTTTATTTTTATTTTTTTTATTTCACAACTTGAATTTGCTTGTATCTAATGTTAAACAACACGATAAATTGAATTGTGTGAACTCAATAATTCGTAACATTATTGTTGTTATTAGTGATGATCGCACAAATGGTTCCCATATTTTTCAAAATACCTATTAATACTATTATAGTGTCGGCTTAGGCGCCAACGTTGGTGTCCTTTTGAAAACCACATGAGGTCGTGTGTATTAAGCTGACCATGATATGATAATTAATTATTAATAAGTTCATTAAATCAAGAACAAGCTATAGGAAGAAGATTATATAATTGCAAATTGAATTATTACTACTACTATCAGGTAAAACTGAAAATTCAATTGTAACCAAATTGACCATTACTTTTTTTTTTAAAATTGAAATTGACCATTACTTGATTGAACCTTTGTAGTTCAAAAAAAAAAAAAAAAGTACGACCGGTGCAACAAATTTGCCCAAAATTAACTTTTCAAAGTCTCCAGAAGATTGCCGTCGAATTTTCCTTGTGCCTTTGTACATACGACGTTCATCCCAGGATCCTGATGCCGTAGTTCTAAAACAGTTGAAAACGAATTATACAGAAGCACATAATCTCCATCTCAAAATCAATAATTTGACTCCGATAATAACAAAAAATGTTACTATTGGATACTCCAATATCAAAATGGTGGTAAAGTGTGGTTCGAAATTTTTTAGTTTCTGCATTTTTGGGTTTGATGAGTATCCCAGATAGAAACTTTTTAGAAACAAACGAACTCGTGTTCCATGCTTAGATAATTCAATTGCAACTGTCTTGTCTGAGATGAGTTTGGACAATAATTTCCCAACAAACAACTTTTTGTCTTGTTTTGCGATGTGTAACCAAGCGACTATGCACCACATCCAACCCAAATTAGTCACCCAATTTTCTCGGGCTAGGACACCCCCCTTTCAAGAATTTCTTAAATAATGATGAGTTGGCCGCAAAATACTGTTATTACAGTAAACAAGAATGCTATCACATAGTATTTCGTTTCGGTCTTGATACCTCAACAGCTCAACTGAACACGTTAATCAAGATTTTTATGCACATTTTACACCCCAACCGTGAACATTGTACTGTGCTAAGTGCATAAATGGAACACAACAAACGAATCGGCCGAGTAGGGTAATGGGTCCTGGGTATTTATTTTGGTAATCATATTATTGTTCCTCAACTGCCAAATTTTATACCTAAATAAATGACCCCCGTGTTCCATGCCAGGTGATGTATGCCTACATTAATAATACACCCCTGCAAGGGTCAATTTTGCATTTGTCGAGTTCCTGAAGAACTCACTCTGATTTGTTTCCATGAGATTATCATGATGAAGTGAAAGAATCTGCAAATGCAAAATTGACAACCTCATCATGCGATTTAATGAAATACTGTTAGATTAAGATGTATTTCATTTATCCTTAATCCATGTACCAATCACAACTCAACAGCAACCTGCAATATTTGATCATGACATAATCCAGTGCTCCACTAATAGTTTCGTAATCTAAGATAGAATGCAAGTGGAGACCGACAATTACCTAGCCGCCGTACATGATTTAACTAGCAACTAACAAGAGTTAGGCATTCCCATTAACTGGATAAGTGACTTAAACTGTTTCAATGCAATTAGTACATTCAAGTAAACTTCAGATTCCTCTAATTCCACCCAACATAAGGGCCAAAAAAGGTAAAGGTCGTAATCTATTCCCCATCCTAAAAAAGTTGGTTCGCCTCGACTATTTTACTTGTTGTAGAGGTATGCAATACTGAAGATAAAGAAGCCAAGCATCTGCAATGAACGAACAAGGTCTCCAATTAACACAGAAAGAAATCAACCAAAAAAAAAGGCCTCTGTGTGAGTGTGTGCGCGCGCGCGTGTGTGTATGAGAGAGAGAGAGAGAGAGAGAGAGAGTACCGCGGAAAATGATGCTCCATAGTAGGGAAATGCAGTTGTTATGAATCTTTCATATTCATTGTGTTTAAATGGTCGTACAGGGATCTGCAAAGTTCAAGAATCTCATATATCAACAGGAAAATTTACGTATCCATTGCAGTCAACAAGAAGATAGCTTACTGTAATCAATCTAGTAATTGGTTCATTCTTTAGAACACAGACAGCTTAGTTAAGCACAAGAACATGGTTGATCACACAGTACCTGTTTGGAAAGTGATAAGGTAGTATATCCAAGCCTCTGATACTCAACCTTGAACTGAAAAACTCCATAGACATCAGGCACTTTAAATGATGTATGATATAGCCCCTGTATAATCAGTTGAAAAGGTGTTAATGCAACGAGACAGCAACATCCAGATACATGAAGTTTTTAGGTCTCGGAATGATACCTTCTCATTGTTTGACAAGGTTTTCAAAACATAGGGGCTCATCATGTAGAATTGGACCTGAACATCATTTGCAACATATGGCTCCCAACTCGTTCCAGACCACTCATAGATTTCAACAGAAAACTCCTGCAAAATATGGCTTCCATGAGAAATTGGAAATTGACTACTTCTCACTTGTTACAAGTGAGACAGCGATAAACAAAAGGCTCTTACAAAGGGGATTACCAAGTCATCATTTATCCGATACATAGCAGGCTCACTTGATTCACCAGCTTTATGGTGTGTAAGATTGACAGCCTGGGGCAGTTGGAATCAGGATGCAATCAGGTGGTAAAAAGTGCCCGAGCAAAATTAAAAAATGGACATCAAGAAGGATACCAATAAATCGACATTGAGATTAGATATGAAAAGTTAGTTCGGAACTCACCTTGAGATGACCCCTTTCATGGAAAACCCATTTGCCAAGTTCAATCACAAACTGCTCGTTACCAGATTTCTCATATCTATTCGCAGAAGAACAATTTCTTTGGTAAGTAGAGGCAGATGACAATCATTTTGAAAAGAAATAATACAAACAACCTACAAAGCTAATTCAACTACTAATTAAAGAAGAGAATAAAGGGGTCCACTGACTTTGTGAAATCTCCAGCTTTCTGCACACCAGCTCTTAACAATCTGAAAAATAAGAGCTTTCAAGGAATTAACACATTTCCAATAAAAATGCATGAGAAGCAAACAAGTATTAACACATACCTGTTACTGAACAATTCCAAAGAGCCAGAAATCAAAACTCGTGCATTATTTCTGGCCTGAGTTTCAAAACAAAGGAAAAAAAGTTGACATGAGGTTGAAAACAAAATGAAACACATAAAGCTGATCAAAACAAGAAAAACCAGATAATCCAAAAGATTATGAGATCTATCTTTAAAAATAGTAGACACCACTTTTAACATGATATATTGCTTGAGTTTCATCTCATCTACATAGACTGCGCTGGTTGTAGAACAATCCTCCAGCATTAACAGAGCATAAAGAAACTAGCAGATCAAAAAACACTAGAGATCTAGACTTCAAATGCAAGAAACAGGGGGTCTCATGTATCCACAGGAAAGTTACCATACCAATATTTATTAACTTCAACTCTCCAAAATTAGAGTAGCACAACAACTTCTTTAAATAAAGTAACTAGCAAGTGACGGCAAACCGCAACTTTACACTTTGTATTGCAGCATCATAGTCAGACAATGAAAAATTTCATGTCAAACGAAAACCAATATCAGAGAACAGAGAAAGGCACAAACCTGCAAAATTGAAACTAACGAAATTGCAGATCCAGTAAGCGAGGGAGGGCTGGACAACTTGTCATTAGGATTAGCAGAATATGCTGAAGCAGAAGCTGAAAGAACCTTCAGAACCTGCAATAAGAAGTATACATAAGATGCCTTAGCCTAGCCACAGGTTCATCTTTCAGAGTAAAGCAAGAGACAGTCACAATTCCAAAGTTACCAAATTATTCTCTGGATTCAAAGAATGAGCAATCCCTTTAAAAAGCACGGGTGCCTGTCACACAACAAGGAAAACGTAATCAATAACCTTTGAAAGGAGGGGGGTGAGGTGCTAAACAAAAACTGATATGATTAAAACTCTACAGCATATCAGCGCCCAAAGCATTGCATTGGAGGAAATACCAGTGTGAATATCTAGGACAAGCTGATGATCTCTTAAATGTATAAAATCTAAATGTAATTAAACTAACCACAATCTTTTCTTTTCCCAACAGAACCTCAGACTTGATAAGGTTATCAGCAGCAATCAATGTATGATCTCCGTCAGTTCCAGAAACAGCATAGCTGGTATGATCCACAACCATGGCAGAAGGATCCTACACAATAGCAAAATGGCTTCATATTCAGTACCTATAACATTTTTAGGATAAACAAGCTTCGCAAAAAAAAAAAAAAAAAAGAGCAATGCTGCGATTGCAGAAGGCAAATTTTAACACAATTCACAAAAGTTTACTCCAAATTTACCAAGTTTAAGTTCAGGGTTTTATGAACGATACTGTAACAGTTGTTGAATTAAACCACTATTCTCTTCCTTTGGGTATTGCAAGACCAAAACTCGATAAACTTAAAGGTACCAAAATGAAGAAAATCTACCTCATCAAAATCGGCACCGCACTCAGCGGCAATGCTGCGGATCAAATCAGACGCATTGGCATCAGCGGCCACAATCACGTCATGACCGGAGTCAACGAAGTTCAAAACAGCTGCTAAATCCAACGACCCTCCAAATCCTAATTCAACAGAAAAGAAAAGGCAACAATTTTCAATCACTATTTCAAAGAATTAAATCATCATAATTAGAGATGAAGCGCACATGTTATAACTCTAATTGATTTATGTTTACAATTAACTTACGCTCAGCTGTTGGGGCGAAGATAATCAATCCATCGTACAAATACTGGCCATAACGCTGAAGTGCCAACTTGGGGTCATCGGCGAGCTTGAAATCGAGGTCAAAACCTCGGCTCTGAAGAGCATTGAAGAAAATAGAGTGAGATGATTTCAGTGACACATCATCGAGCAAGACCAAAATGCGCCGATCGGTGGGGTTTTCCGGTGAGAATGAGAGCGTTGACCACGGCAACAGAGCCACGAAAGAGATACAACCGATCAAATTCAAAAGAACAAGATTCCTCATGGTGATGGTTCTAGGGTTTTAGGGATCCACCACTGTGGTTGCAGAATGCAGAGACTTTCGCAGCTCCAGAGTCAATGTAGGAAACTGAATTTGTTCTGCAAGGGACGGTAAATCTGTGTGAGGTAAAAACTTTTTCACTTTTACATAGTCACGTTTTTTTTTTTTTTTTTTTCACTTGAGCCTAGGAAGAAAAATAAAAAGAAAAGAAATACTCCCTCCGTCCCATAATTATTGTCCAGTTTGGGTTTTCATTTTTAGTTCAAATTGTACTAAAAGTGAAATTTCAAAGTGGACAATAATTTTGAGACAGAGGGAGTATAAATATAAACTCCCCATAAATTAGTACTCCTCCTGTCTTTAATATAAGTCATTTTGATTTCGTCTTAAGTTTTATCTCGCACGTAGTTCTAATTGACAAAAAACCTTTAAAAATATATTTTTACATTCGTTCTTTTCTCTTAATTGTTATGAAATATTTTATAAGATTTTTTTGTCAATTAAAAATTACTTACTAAATTGAACCTAGAATAAATTAAAATTCAGGACAAATCAAAATGCCTATCGAACGGAGGGAGTACATAAGGTTAGTTTATAAAATAGAATTTCGGGTTATTTTTGAGTTCTTGAGCAGTAGCGGAACGGGGTCCTTGTTGAGAGAAGACCGCCTTGGAAGAAAAGCCCTTGCGGCTTAGATTCCTACATATACATTATTTGTGAATCAGAATTAGGTTTCACATCTTTGATCATCTTCTGGGTCTCTCTCAACATCACATAATTTTCTTCCGGTTCCGATTTCCTACAGGAAGAAGGTTAGTTTCACTTGAATATTGTCTCCTTTAGTTGTTATTTTTGGGAATTCCGTGCTGAATTTTCATTGCTTTTCCTGTTTTGATGTTTCTAGTTTGGCGTAGAAAGTTTTGGTTTTATTGGTCGAAAGACATGGGTTTTTAGGTTAATTTACGTGCCTCTTTATATCTCACGTGATTGTTCCAATTCTATTCTAGGTTTAGGCTTTGCTTCATAACTACGATTTTCTCCTGAATTTTATTTCTTCGTTTTTTCCCCTTTTAATTATTTGTTCGATGATGCTACAAAATTTGCATAAGGTAGATCAATGCCCTACCATTTGTGAATTTTCTTACTGTTGTTGTTGAGAAATTGTTACTTTTCCTTTCATATCATTGTTGTACCTAGGTGCTAACAATGTGTGTGATTGGTGCATTGAATTGTGAAATTAAGACTAAGTTTTAGACGTTTTACTTAAGTAGCTGAAGTGTATTAAGGAGTTATAATTATGCATTCTGGTTATCATTGAGGCTTTAACCTTGGATGGAAACATAGAGTTACATGAATCAGCTGAACTTGTGTTGTTGGAAGAGAGGATGATGTAACAAAAGGGAGTGCTTGAAACCCTGATTGAGAAGTTTTCTGTGAACTTTTTGGAATTCCTCCATTCATGGGTATCTGGATTTTAGGAGTTGTGAAAGACTAGCCTGAGCATGGTAGTGTAATGTTATGATACTACTGGTTTGTTCTTAATATAAGTTTTCTATGACTAGTTGAACGCAGAATTTTATTAGTGTCCCTTGTCAAAGGGACAACTGCAAAACAATGTTCTCATTGTTCTGGGATTGTATATATCCTGCTTTTTTAACCCCCTTATTCTTGCTTCAAAAAAATCAAATGTTAAATGGCACTGCTAAGGTCAAATATATGGAAAATGTAACTTCCAGAATGTATTTTGTGTAGGCGCAATGATTAACCTTTTCAAACTAAAGGATAAGCAGAAAGAGTCGGCTGAAACTGCAAGAGGTTTTGCAAAGAAGCAATCTGCTGGCGAATTACGTGTTCAAAAAGGTCTTTCTTTCTTGAGTTATTATATGTGCCTTATACTATGTTGAAGATTTAGATCATGTTTGTTCCCTTGGACTTCACATGTTTTTTCATGCTGTTGCATTTCATTTCCTTCTTTGAGCGAAATTTCTTTTTTTTTTTTTGGCTCCACATTCAGACATGAGCGAGTTGAACCTTCCTAAAACATGTAAGATCACATTCCCAAATGGCAAGGATGACCTGATGCACTTTGAGATCTCCATTCGGCCAGATGAAGGGTATTATCTGTAAGTAGTTTCCTGCATTTGGCTCTTGCTTGGATGTGCTCTGTAGATAGTTTGTCTACTTGAATTTGTTGTTACCATGACAAACAAACTTCATGGTGGTTATTCATCATGTTTTTCAGGGGAGGGAATTTTCTCTTCAGTTTTGAGGTGCCCCCCGTCTATCCGCATGAACCTCCAAAAGTCAAATGCAAGACCAAGGTTTGTTGTTTTTTCCTCTGTTTGAAAATCCCGTGTATCTTTATTTGTTTGATGTGACATTGTGTGCATCATCTTCATGCAGGTCTATCATCCTAACATTGATTTGGAGGGAAATGTTTGCCTCAATGTACTTCGTGAAGATTGGAAACCTGTCCTCAACATTAACACTATTGTTTATGGACTGACTCATCTCTTTACGGTACATATTCCATTCTTGTAAATTTACAAATCCTCTTATATTTTCAAGCTTTCTTCCTGTAACTATTCTGTTCTATGTATAGGAACCAAATCACGAGGACCCTCTAAATCATGATGCTGCTGCGGTTCTGAGAGACAACCCCAAGCTATTTCAGTCAAATGTTAGGAAAGCTATGGCTGGTGGACTAGTTGGGCAGACATATTTTACGAGATGTATGTAGCTTATCTTGTGGTTCGAAAGCTTGTCAATTACATTGTTGCTCCATGATGGGATGTGAACTCCAGTCTCATTCGTAGTCTTCCAGTCCTAGTTTTAACTGTTGAATTACGTTAGACAGAATTTCTCCTCCAATTGATAACAGATGTTACTTTTGATATTGGATGGAGGCTTTTAGATAGCTCTGTACGTTTAGAAATTTGCTGTTTAGTATTGCGTGACATGGGGTGTATGTTTGAAATTTGCCATTTAGTATTGCATGATATGGGATGGAGGCTTAAATCACAATGTTTTTCCTGCTTTAAAGCTAGTTTGAACTTCAATGTAGTCGTTCCTAACACCTAGACAAGTCTTATTACCATGGAATTGGATACAGAATATCACTTGTCTTGCATAAGCTATTCATATTGCCGCAATAGATATACTACCAACTATGCTTAAAGGCGTAGGAAAAATTTGTAAATTAAGTTCAGTACAACATTGTCAGTGTTTACATCTGAAGTGATGAATTCAGTTCTAGTAAATAACTGCAACAAGTGCCTGCCGGAGATCCAAAACAACCTAATATACTGCAAGTTGATAATCGGAGTGGAATGTCATAACATCTCTGTTTCTTTAACAGAAGCTACTCTGGCATTTTCTCGATCATGCTTGAACGTCCAATATAAAGGCGTGTAAAATAAAGAACACAAACCAAATGGAACTGCCATCATGCAGAAAAGTCCTCTTGACAAGGCTAAAGCTTCTCTCCCAGACCCTAAAACTGGATCAATGGATTTTCGATCATAGCCATATATATTCTCTGCGAGAATTCCAACAATAGGAGCTGCAAAAGAAGAGAATGATCCTTCGAAACAACGATCAAATGCATAAATCATGGTCCGATGTTTGACAGGGACAACCTCAGCAAACATTGGGGCGTTCACAGCACTACCACACCAGCTTATTGTAAGCCCCATTAGAAACAGGGTCACTGCATATGTATAATAACTGTCCACTGACTGAGTCACAACTCTCAGAAGGAACCACGAGAATGGAATGCCCATAGAAGCAGAGAACTGTGCACACATGATACGCCCAGAATGAGGGTACAAGAGCGACATACGATCGGCAATAATTCCACCAGTAAAAGCCCCCAATGCACATCCACCAGCAAAGATACCAACTAAAGCTGCTGAACTATTGTGATCAAAACCTGCACAAAATATTGGATTACTCATCTGTCCAGCAAAAACAGGAGTAAATGGGAAAAAGAAAAGGAGGAGAGGGTTGGTTGAATGGTAGGTAACAGTGTAGCGACTCCAGACACCAGAAAAGGAAAATAAACAAAGAAGTTGCTTCTGGACTTACTGAGTGCACTATTGCTTCAAAAAGGTTACAGAAGCATGGAGTTTATATTGAATCTGATTCGTTGGTCTTGTTTTGTGAGATAAATTTAAGTTGAAACAATGTAATCCACTGAATTTTTACAACCAGTAAGATAAACTGACTTCTTTTTTCTCTAAAAGCACTAGAAAGTAGTCCCTAGTTCAATTATAATTGAAAGAAATCATATCAAAATGTCTTGAAATGTGGCCCTATGAGGTCAACCAATACAGTTTCCATGACTTATTAAGGAAAGAGCATGCTGAGCATAAATCTTCAGGTGTAGCAGTATGAAAGCAAAAGCAACTAGCCATACATTTAACCAGGAGAAACAATAACTATAATAATCATGAAGGTCAAGCTTACCAATCAGTTCGAACCATAAAGTCAAAAACACAAAGGCTGTCCAAGGCAGTGAACCAACTAGACCCTGCAACACAATATATTGAAAAGTTGGAACTCGAGTAACTGCTTTCGTTGCTTGCCAGGACTCCAGCCAAATTGAAAGAGAGTTGGTATGGACCTTGTCCGCCAATTCATCCCTGAATCAGAAAATGGACTGAAGTTAATTGGCCGTACGTATGAAAAGATGACCATCACTTCTACTTGCGTAAATTCCTAATTTTCAACCTTTCAGAAAGAAACAACAGGGAAATATGTTCTTGACATATTTGGCACACATAAAAGAGGAAGCCGTAACTAATACCTGGAAGAAGACTTTATTTTTTCATAATCACCGGTGGTTCTTTTTTCTGGATCTTCAACAAATGTATAAACAAGGAAGGCAATCAAACAACTCAGAGTTGCTGTCACAATAAAAGCAAACCGCCATCCTGGTATACCAAGATAATCATGACCAGCCATAACAGTGGCGATAGCACCACCACCTATGCCACCTATAGTACCAACAAGATGCAGAAACCCAAAACCTTTTCCTCTCACACCATCCTTATAACTATCAGCTATAAAAGACTGAAGGGCAGGAATAACAATAGCCAGTCCTAAACCATTAACTACTCTCCAAAATGCAACTTGAGCAAAATAACTGCTGAAGCCTACCCCGGCAGTTGACAATGCCCAACACAAAGTGCCAACTGCTAAGACCGTCGGACGATCATAACTAAGGGCTAGAACGCCTGCCACTGGAGATGCCAATCCCTGGCTGAATCTCAGTAAAAAGGTCAGATAACCAAGATCGGATGGTCCTGCAGAAAATGCTTCACTAACTTCTTTGTAAACAGATGGAAGGAGATTCTCGTCAGCTCGCTCCATTATAGCAGCGAGGTTAATTATAATGAGAGACAGGGAAATCCCAAAAAATGTTCGTGTCCTACAATTATAATATAAAAACGAACAATTAGATTCAGCGGAAATATGTTCATCCAAAATTAAAACTCGATATTTGTTCATGGCAGCCAACTACCTTACACTTCAAGATATGCAAAGGGCTAGGAAAATCAAATGAAATTAAAAGTCTGCCATTAATATCTCTTACATCTCTGAGCAGCAGATGTTTCAGAAAAGAATAAGCCAATAGACTTAACTTTGTTCCTATAACCAACAAATGCATTATAAACAGTCTTCGAGAATACATGACCAAATCAGCCATCTTTGCAAGCTATAAGTGCGTTATCAAATAAAATCATCATCTGCTGTCACAAGCAAGTAAACGCATGAGATCCATCATAGTTCCCAATCCTAGAATCCCCAAGGAAAGTCAAGTTTCCTACACTGCAACTAATCTCTTTTCCTAACACGCGGGTCCTTCATAATGTAGTTTAATAAATACTATCTTATTGTTCAAGTAGAAACTAATACAGTTGCAAACTCATCCCACAGAATCCCCAACCAATCAAACAGTTCTTGCAGAATAACATGGGAAGCTACCAGTAACATTAAAATCAACGAAGAAAAATAAACTGGGGGCAGAAAAAATCGAATGCAGAAATTTCTTTTAAAAAAACAGAGAGAGAGAAGACGACTTACTTCATATTGCCAAGGTGACTAGGAAGCAGAGATTTCGAACCAAATTCAAGCCGGCTATTATTTCTAGAGGTCCGAAGGCTGAGTCCCATTAACCAACCCAAAACGGAAAACAGGCCAAGACAAAAAGGCCCGGAAACGGAAACTCCGATCTGGGATTACAGCAGCCAACGATGAATGATTACACACATATTGTTACAGAGACGGCGTTGACTGTGTTGAGCCCAGGATGAAGACGAATACGTCTGAGCAATCCTTTGTTAAACCGTCGAGATTTGAGGGGAGCTCATATTTAATTAATTTACAGGTACGGATCAGATCAAAATCCACTGTTTAATAAGAAGACAACTGGAGGCCATGCCAAATTCCCAAAAGTTTTTTATTCCTCCCAATGCATCGGCAGGCATAAGTCTCGTGGATGAGGGGAAGTTATTGAAAAAGGAAGCTTATATTTTGGTGGGAAATTCGGAACATGGGAAGTTGGTTGTTTGGTTTGGTGGGATTCGATTGGATTCTAGTCTCTAGATATTTAGGCCTCCATCATCATCCTAACAATGGTTCAGGAATCAGCAGAGGAATATGGTGGTTTCATAGGATTTTGTCATTGGTCAAACACTTTGAAAATTTATATGTGTCTTTTGATCACACGTATTTTCTATCATGTCGAATATCTTTGTTCAAATTTCAAAGGGTTTCTTTCGTCTTAAAATTTTCAATTTCACAATTTTTGTTTTTAACATAATCTCTCTTGTTAGTAACTGTTTAGAGGATCTTTTCGGGAAAAAAAAAAACTGTTTAGAGGAAGAACCTACATAATAGAGGATATCAAGAGGAGAGCGGTGTCAGCTTTGAATTTGGTTTTTTTAAAAAAAATAAAAAATAAAATCACTTGAAGCTAAGAGGCATGTAGGCTAAGAAAAACTTGCGTAACGGCAAGTTATGATTATGAGAGATAAATATCTTCTTTGAGTGATTTCGAAGTAATATTTGGCTATAATTCCAGGATTCGAATGTGAGGTGAGAAATTATGGTCAGATCTAAAATGACACTGAATTACTACTTCGGTGTCAATGCGGATTTTTTTTTAAGACAAGAGGAGTATATACTATATACTAATAATATTCTACAAACAAGGTACTATTAAATTGAGCTAGTACAGTATATATAGTTTCATTTATTTAAAAACAAAATTGGATGCACAACATCAGCTTGGAATAGGTTGAAACAGCGTTGAACTGTGTTAATTTTGTGTATCGTATCATGTTTTATTTCTTATTTTTAGTGATTGTTGCGATAAATCGTTCAATATGTCTCGAATTATTGGATTACAGTTTTCATATTATTATTTGCACAATCCACTGAAGACACTGCATAATGTTCCACTCTTGTATACGTATTCATTAGGAAAAATTATTAGATATAACTGCTGTATCCTGATTTTTAGTGCAGTAAGTACTAGCACCCCTTATATTAATGATGTAACTCCCGTATAAATTATCTTTCCCCCCAAACTTTACCCCTATTATTGTGTCTGAGTGCACAATTCTACGTGATACAGCAGCTTTACTGAATAATTTCTCATTCAATATTCATTCTTTTGTCTTGGCGTACTTTTAGAGGACTTGTCTTAGTGTAAGTACGTATTCATCATTTTGTCTTGGCGTACTTTCAGAGGACTCGTCTTAGTATTATAAGTAATAAATTGTAAATGATCAATTGATTGAAATATATTTTGATTTGGATATGCTATTATGACGTCTATATGTGATGCGACGGTAAAGAGCACACAAATACGTTTGGGTTATGTGTTTATTACATTACATTAGTAGGTGACGTTTAACAATTTATTCAAAAATACATACTGTCAAGATTATGTAGGATCGGACACACCATTATGTAACAAGACCAATATGTGAGTTTATGTGTCTAACTTTGTTCTTGTTTTCCTTCTGTTTACTTCGACCGGACCTTGAAGTTTTCTATTTTGTTTAGGCCCATTATGTATCTTGGGTTATAAATACGAATGTGAGAAAGGCCTCTTATGATCTTATCATTTGTAGGCTCTTTGTTCCATGCCAACTGAAACGAAATATGCTTTCAAATATATTTGCATCAAACAAGCTCTAATTTTAGACGGACTTCGAAGATTAAATAAAAATGTAGCTCTGATTTTGGATGATAAAAAAATGTAGCTCCTATTTTAGAAAAAAAAAAAGTGATAATCGAATATGCCAATAAGATTGCTGAACCAGAAGGAAGTCCAGCCCAAGAAAATCCAGATAAGAGCCACTAAACTTGAAGCCCGTGGCAGCTTTGAGCCTTGAGCTCGTGACTAGTGCAATGGGATATTGGGTTTAGATGTATAATATTAGAACTGGACTCTCTCGAAGCAGTTGAGCTTTTGTCAAACGAGATTTCCTTGTGTGTTAATAGTAATGTGTTCTAAACTGGACTCTCTCGAAGGCACCTCTCAGATGACAGTGGTTGCCACTTTTGTGGTGATAAGAAGCCCTGCCGCACATCTTTAGAGATTGTTTCAGGAGTAAAGAACTATGGAGAAGTCTCAATGTATTACTGAGATCTCCTTTCTGGTATGTTATGGATATTAAGAAATGGATGATTACTAATCTAAAATCTTCTTTTTTGGAGGAGCAAATTCTTTAATCTGTGTAGTTCGAGATAAGTTGTTAGAAACTGTGGAACTCCAGGAATAAAGAAATCTTCGGAGAGAAAATAATGACAGTGAGGGGCAATCAGGTGTGCGATGCACGCTCTTGTAAAAGAAGTAGCTCGTTCGAACCTGATTTTTGCACATGGTTTGAACAGACGAATTAGCACCACACAGCAACTGGCCTGAACACCACCTCTACTAGGTTGGGTCAAGATCAATTCGGATGGCGCCTCCAACAACGTCTCGAACAAGTTAGCGGCAGGAGGGGCAATCCGAAATGATAAGGGGCGTTGGATTATTGGTTTTGCAACAAATATAGGCATATGTTGCAGCCTGGAGACAAAACTATGGGGTGCTCTCTTTGGTTTACAAATTGTGTGGGACCTCGGCTTTAGAAAAGTGGAATTAGAATTGGATAGTTCTAAAGCTGTGGAGCTTTTATCTAGCAAGGTTGCTCTATATTGCCAGAGTAACGTAGTCAGTAGAGTTAGAAAACTTCTTCACCTTAATTGATATGTTTTGGTTAGCCATGTTCGTCGCCACCAGAATAAAGTGGCCGACGAGTTAGCAAAATTTGGCTTCTCATGTCCAAATGGTAAACATATTTTGTCAACACCACCGACTAGCATTGTTAAAACCTTAGCATCTGATCAAGCAGCTGGTACTTTACAGCTGTAGAGCCTTTTGTAACTAAGCCTGTTGACTCCCATTATATATATATATATATATATATAATAGTAATGTGTTCTATAGAATTAAGAAACTATTGAGTTTCAACTGGCATGTCAATGTACAACATGCCCGGCGGAACCGTAATTCCGTCGCGGATGTCTTGACAAAATTCGAATTTTCGTATCCTCTGGGGAATCACATTTTGCCAACACCTCCAAGTAACATTATAAAGAGTCTTGAGGCCGATAAGGCTAGATCATCCCGTCACGGTGGGAATATCTTGTAACTATTAAGCCTGAGGGCTTCCTTCATATATATGTATATATATAATACATTATTTTACATCATTTTAACAATGTTTCATCTCAACGTAGTTAATTATCGTGTCAACATTCTATAAGAAATATGAAAATCGATACTAACTAAACCTAATACAATGTATTCCACGTTGTACTTTGTCGCTTATATTTTTATTCTAACTAAATATAAGACGATCTCCAAAAACCTTTTGAGATAATAATTATTGACTTTTATAATGTTAAGGGTTTCTTCTTGAAATTTTTAAAATAGTCTCAATGTAAAAGTCATAAAATATTTTTTTTGGTTGGAATTGATTTATCAAATTTAAGCTTTTCTTAGGAAAGAAGATAAAAAAAGTCGAAGAATACCAAAACAATATTATTTTGTATCTTTTTTTTCCCACGGTTGTGTGATAATTTATAGCATCGTCATTCTATAATGAATGCAAAAATAAAAAAGGCACTTACTTCTTTCTTCACTCGCTTATTAGCTTTCACAACCCAACTAAAACCTAGACGCAACCGAAAAATATATTAAAAATAAATTATTCAGTTTTAACAAGGACCAAAGTATATTACTGTATTTTATATCATTTTCATAATTTTTAATAAGAATATATGATAAATTATCATGTCGACATTTCATTCTTATTATGTGAAATTTGATCGGAAGATAACTTGATACTGTGAATTCTCTTTCTACTTGGTCGTTAGATTCTGTAAGTTATGACTATAAGTCTATAATTGAAAAAAAAAAAAAAAACTTTGACCATGACTTTTAAATTGCTTATTAAAAAAGAAAAAAAAAACTCATATTATTTTGTCCATTAACTAATGTCCTTGTGTGGAAATGTGTGGATTCAAAGCTCACCCAGTTAAGACTTTAAGACCTCTTTTAAGGTGTGATTATAAAAAAGATAATAATTTTTTTTTCAAAAAAAAAAAAACAAGAAGAAGGAAAAATCTGAATGGGAAATAATAGAAAACCCACGTGAGGTTGTTCAAACGCAGGCATCCAATAGGGGAACAGGTTGGTCTCGAGACTGGATGTGGTCCCGCACGAGGCACGCCAAGCCACACGTGTGGATGAAACTTTATTTGTGTGTAGTATTATTGAAAATGAAGTAGTAAGTGCTTGGTTGGATCTTGGATGATGTGGGCCGATGATCCAGCTTATCTTGTTGGTCTCCCCATCCCTGTCATGCTTCGCTGTGCCCACTTAACCCACACGGGCCATTGCCCCCTCCCTTCCCCTGTTAACCAAATTTTGGTGGATTTTAATTATTAAATTATTATAATTAAAATCATTTTAAAAAGGGAGTCATTATTATACACTTGGACTCGTGGATGAATTTTTTTAATATTTCCATTCACGCGGAATTGTAACAGATATATTTATGGTTGTCGTTATAATTGTAATTGTGTGTAAAAAAATATTTTTTCTTTTTGGTTTTTTGTTCTATTGAAAAATTTAAGGGTCGTTCCTTGATATACCTTCACTTGTTTTCATAATGTATTTAAATTAAAAATAGTGGAACAAAGAAAAAAAAATTGTGAAATGATGTGATGAATATGAACCATCTATTTAATTTCAAGTGGATGCATTTTTATTTTTAAAAGATAAAGCGCAGATTTCTGTTGAACTATATTTCACGTTTTAATAAATAGCAAATGCATCCTGGGAAATCAATCAAACATTTCCTTTGTGCAGTTATTGTGTAGTTCAGTAGCTTAAGAAGAGTGAATCAATTGAATGTTTATCATGATTTGTCTCATAACAACAATCATATTCTTAAAACAGTAACTTGTTGACTACTATTTTACCGTTTAATGTGTATCATGAAGTGAGTACGGCTTTACTCTGAATGCTTCAAAATCAAATTACTATTTGGACATAGCATATTCTTAAAATTTGATAAAATCAGATTACTATGTAATACTTCATCCGTCTTAAAATTATTGTACAGTTTGAGATTTTATTTTTAACAGAATTTGAACTAAAAATGAAAATCCAAACTAGACAACTATTTTAGGACGGGGGAGTATTAGTTACTATTACTTCTTACTTGCCATTGTTACTAAATAAAACTCGATCCTCGCCACCATTACCAAAACAACTCTCAAAATGCATTTTAAACTAATGAACACATGAATACTCAAAACTTTCGAATTTTCGAAAGGTGCCCTATCATTGCAGAATTGTTGGTGCTTAATTTTTCAAATGAAGGGGGAAATTTTAAATTAGAGACATAGAGGATGGGCTGCAAATGCAAATATGCATAATGTGAGTGGGTCGTCGAGCCACTCAACTAAGAAAGTAGGACCCTAATGCACGTGTTTGATAATTTGAAACGACACATCAAATGTCCAATTTTGTGTGGCCCTAACAAACCAACCGGTGGGTCCCACTTCTAGCTGGGTATTGCGTCGCACGTGCAAAGCCGTCCCAGCAATTAAAAAGATCACCGTCTTAATTGTATAGCCTTGTATAATTGTGTTATGTTTACTTCCAAATAATTCCGTTGATCAGTAGATTTATGAGTGATTTAAGCACATAAAAATGAATGAATATTTCTCCTCAATTCATGAAAGGTGTTAATTTTTACGAAGTGAATTATTAATACAAAAACAGAGCTATATGACATTATATTTAAGTTAATTAATGTACGTATTCCCTCCCACGCCTTGTCAAGTGAAGTCCATGCATTTCTGTTCGTTTTTTTTTTAATCCAAATAGAAATAGACTAAAGTCATTGTTTCATTACTAATAGTGGTCGTACTTCAAAAAAATTAAAAAATATAATAAATACTCATTCCATTCCAAAATAAGTGTCGTCCTACATTTTGCACATAGTTTAAGAAACTTTTAAATATGGTAATAAAATTACTTGGATATCTTCAACCAACTACATTATAAAATTGTCCACCAATAGTATCAACTCTTTTGAAGGTAATTTTGGAAATTTTTGACAAAAAGTGCATTGAAATGTGAGAACGACACTTATTTTAAAATTTCTTCATTTTGGAATCGAGGGAGTATATTTTAAAAAATATATTAAATGTTTTGTATTTTGTCAAAAAAAATTATTAAATATATATATATTAAAATTTCGTCCCTTGCGCTAATACGTAGTAATAAGTACTCTACCTGCCGGCACACTACATTACATGACAGCTTGTATTTTAAGAGAAGAATGTGTACTTTAAACTCTCAATGTTGAACTGTGGATTGGATCATCTCTGAAGAAAACAAAAAAATGGGGATACAGGGTTGAATATTGTTGTCGCGTTATTTTTATATCATGATGAATATATTCGACAAAAAACACAACTATTAGCCCAAATAAAACATGTCCTAAAGTGGTTATAACTTGTTTTGGGTTGCCAAATTATACTAAACACGGTTTAATTAAATTTAGTCTCTGCATTGAGTTAAAGACACTTACAGTATTTAAAAATTTATTGAAGGCCGTTTAACAATATTGAAAAAGATAAATCAACTGGACACGCAAAATGACGATCATCACTGTATTTGCGAAATGCATTTCAATTATGTTAAAGAATCTAAAGATATCGCATGAACTTAACCCCAAACAAAATATTGTAAGTAGATAAAAAAAAAAAACAAAAAAAAAAAATGGATAGCGTGTTAGACGTACCTTCTTGCGAAGACCAGTTGTTATAGAACTTAAAAAATGACGTAGTTAGTAGGGTTACGGCAGCTGGAATTGCATTGATGAGAAGGGAAAGTTTACTCCCCAAATTCTATGATTGCCTGAATGTACTACTACTAAGCACACGCACATGCTTAATTACTCGGGGGTAGTAGAATCACGTAATGTCACGCATTCACGCCAATATTTGGATGTACGAAATTCTTGGCAAGCAACTGATGATAACAACACGATTCACGCCAATTTTTTTTTAATGCTTTTTTCACTTAGAGATTTTATCCATTATTTTTTATGGGCTTTACTCACAAAAGTTTGTCAATTTATTTGTTTAGTTTTGGCTATACAAATCACATAACCATAACGAAATCATAACAAGATAAATCAATTTGACACCGTACAAAAAAGAGACAATGAAAATATCTTAGTTAAGAAGACCTTTAGTTTAAGCGCAAATTGTGCTTAATTTTTATTGATTCATGATACTGCTCTAGAAAATAATACTACTGTACTAATTAAAAATGCACAGTCCTGAAAATATTATTCCTTACCCCAAAAAAAAAGAAAAAAGAAAAATTAGACTGGTACAAGGGAGGGAAGGTGGGTCCTGGGAGAATTATTAATAAAAGGACTAAAAAAAAGTGAGCATAGGCCCTCGTGTCATGGGACCTGAGACTTCCTGACTCGTGAGGCGCGAGTACTACTGAGTCCTCTCTGTCCTCCTCTTGCCTGCTTTTTTTTTGCATCTCTCTCTGTCTCTCTCTCCCTTTCCTTCTTCAACTTCGTCATCCATTCATTCACACTGAATCCTGTTCCAGTTTTTCCTAAAGTACAAATGATGCTGTCGTAATTAATACTACAAATCAAGCCGCACCCGATTGGATTCCTCCCCCAGATTAATTAAAAAACAACAAAAAACAGAGTCCTTTTAGCAAAAGCAGGAGGAGATCGAGAGTAAAATCGGAAGCAGAAATGACTGCCGGCGGTGGGTCGTCCTCCGGGCGATTGCCCACCTGGAAGGAAAGAGAGAACAATAAGAGACGGGAAAGGAGAAGGAGGGCGATCGCCGCCAAGATTTTTGCTGGGTTGCGAGCTCAGGGCAATTACAAGCTCCCTAAACATTGCGATAATAACGAAGTCTTGAAAGCCCTTTGTGCTGAAGCTGGTTGGGTCGTCGAAGATGACGGCACTACTTATCGCAAGGTTGTTTCTTTTTTCCTTTCTTTCTTCTTTTTTTGTTTAAATATCTATTCAATCATGTTGTGCTATTGAGTTTCTGCAGCCTATATCTTGATATAATAGATCTGAATAAATGAATGCATCTCTTCGTTTTTGGCCGGATTTATGTAGCTGAGTTTGTTTGTTTTCCTGCTGATGGTGTATATTTTGTGAAAGAGAGGTTTCAAGGAATAATCTTTTTTGGCTTTGTGATTGCTTTTGGGGGAAAGTTTTGGTCTTTTCTCCTTCCTCTCCTGAGACTCTGTTTTATTTAGATTTTTGCTTATTCCCTGTTCTGCTTAATTGTGACTTTGATCTTCATTTATGGAAATGGATAATCTTGTTTGACAGCTTCTTAGCATAAGCTGAGCTGTGTAGAATAGTAGTACTTCTTTTAAGGAATTGAAATAGACATTCTTGTGTTCAAGAACTTGCAGTTTAGTTGATTGTAATGTCAAACTGATTCCCTTGATGTTATTCTATGCTGTCGTCTACCTTCCATTTCAAAACTTTCCTATGTCATTTGGTAACTGATCTTTCCCCTCCCCCCCTCCCCTTTTTCTGTTGGATTGCTTATGTAGGGAAACAGATTAGTAGTTCGGAAATATGATGTCTGAACCACTTTGTCTCCAATGATGTTTTCAGTTTCATGAGACTAATAATTTTCCACCATCATTCCAGTTTTATAATGTTTATGGTTATCTCATTGATACAGGGAGGAAAGCCAACCATAGTTGAGCTGGGGGGAGCATCAGCAAATATTAGCACATGCACTTCGATCCAACCAAGCCCTATGTCCTCTTCATTTCCTAGTCCTGCACCTTCTTACCATGCCAGTCCTGTATCATCCTCATTCCCGAGCCCAACTCGTGGTGATGGAAACTCCCCTGCTTATATTCTTCCTTTCCTCCAAAACTTAGCTTCAATACCCAACTCACTTCCACCTCTGCGAATATCCAACAGTGCCCCTGTAACCCCTCCAATTTCTTCCCCAACCAGAGGTTCTAAAAGAAAACCTGATTGGGAGCCTCTTTCTCATATTAAATTGCCACCCTCATTTCCTCACTCTATGTTTGCTGCTTCGGCACCGTCAAGTCCTACACGCCGCCGATGTTTCACTCCGGCTACTATTCCGGAATGTGATGAGTCTGATATATCCACGGTCGAGTCTACTCACTGGGTCAGTTTTCAGACAGCTCCCACCTCACCTACATTTAACCTTGTGAAACCCATTATGCAGCAGAATCATCAGAACTTTATTGATGGCCGTGGACCATTTGCTTGGGGTGGAGTCGAGAAAAGGGGATGTGGTTCTGAGTTTGCCTTTGAGAGTGGCACAGTGCGGGCATGGGAAGGTGAGAGAGCTCATGAAATTGGCGTCGATGATCTAGAGCTCACCCTTGGGAGTGGAAAGGCTCATGGTTAGGATTCTGGTTAGGTATGTGATGATTAAACTGAAAGAACTAAGGCCTTCTTAGTTGCATATTTTATATTAGCATGTCAAATGAGCTGCTTCTGCCTATGAGGTCTCTTGCTTCCAGTTTGGTTCATGCTACTTCGAGTACAAGGATTTTTACTTGGAATCCGTGGATCAAGGTTTGTTGTGGGGAGATGTAAGGTCTGATATCGCCAACCACCTGAGCTATGCACTCTTACAATCATGATTTGTTAACTATAGAGCAGGGCAAGCAGATGGCATGAGATAAATTTTTTTCCCTTGTTAATAGTTGGATAGATCCTTAAGTATTGCCATTGATCACAACGAATATCTGTTTTCTTTTACCTGTGGTATAGTGGGGAGGACTTGCCAGTAATGCTTCTGTTGTAGAATTCTGTAGAAACATATAAATCAGAACTGTTAGAATTCAGCTGATTCTTGGTGTTGATCAGTGGGTATTACTAGCCTGTGAACAGCCTTATTCCATCCTGCTAATGTATAAAAACATTAGGCTATCTGGTTTTGCAAGAAAAAATGGTTCAAAGTGCTGCAAGCGAATCGCCTTTTCTTTTCTTTACAGTGAAGGCTATTCGATAAGTACATTCAGGTAGCACAGCAATCAACTTCATTAACCCCTATAATGAGCTTAAATTCTTAAGCTACAGCATATCTATAAGACTATAGGCTTCTTGTTCTTGATATAGGCTCACGGGTCACCCCAGGTCATGGAGTCTGAACTCCGTCCATTGCAGCCGAAATATATCGGCATCCTTAATCTGTAATACTTATCTGCAGTCATTTTCAGAAAACCATGATTAGACAATAATGCTGGTGGTGTCTGTAAGTAGAATTGATGATTGGGGGGGTTGGAAGAAACACAGAAAATTTGGACACTGAGGAAGGAAAAAGAAAGGAAAGAGACGTCTCAAGGGTAAGTCCAATTGATGCATGATGATGCTATAAGACTCGATATTAAAAAAAGAAAAAAAAGGCGGGGCTGAGCATCAATCTGTTATCCAAACGTGACATTTCTGTCTGGAGATTGACAAGAAGTTTGTGAAGATGTTTTTGTTTGGGGTCAAAGTGAAAGAAGAAGAGCATCTTGACGAGAGACATTGCCTCTAAACCAGGGCCCTTTCCCCATGTGGCTGTCAGTTTTGGGTGTTCTTTTGTTATTGATTATTGAAGCTCTTTCCCCATGTGACCCAATCTCACGCGTGATGTTGTAATCTACCAACCCCATTAATACTATTCCCTCCGTTCTAAAATAAGTGTCATTCTAGAATTTACACATAGTTTAAGAAAACATTAAATAAGATAATTAAATTACTAGAATATCCTCAACCAACCCCATTAAAATAAATATTACCAATAATATTGTTTATTTTGAGGGTATGTTTGGAAATTTTTAACAAAAAATGCATTGGAATCTAAAAACGATACTTATTTTGAAATTTTTCCATTTTGCCAAAATGATACTCATTTTGGGATGGAGGGAGTACCTTGTTTGCCTCATGTTTACCAGGAATCTCTGATTGTGATTAGTTATTACTTAACTTACTATATTGTCTGGGTTGAGAATTTCATTAGGCCCATGTTCACGATCGCTCCTCAGGTCCACCTTTGGAGTTACCATGCTGCCCGCCCCAATCAATGTTTCACTTCTCCAAGCTCCAGAAGTTTAAAGCCAATCAGCCCACGTTAGGAAAATATATGGTGGAAGTGATGAAATTTTGCTTGGAATTGGAAGGTTCTGATTACAGTGACTCAGAGATGAATGACGGTGACATGGTGTATTATTTTGAAGTTCTTCTTCAGTGCACCTTTGACCGGGGAAAGCCTAGTGAATTATACTATACCATAAACATCTGGACTGTATAAGTTTCCACGCTTTTAAAGTCGAATTAGTTGGCCTAATCTTTGCAAGTTGCATGCTGAGTCAAAAACAATCACAATCGTGTTGGTCATCAAGTTTATTGCCACAGGATTTATTTAACAGGGTGAATAAAGGATCACCATTTCAACCAGTTTCACCAAAATTATCTCCTAGTTCAGGTCTAATCTTTTTTACTGACCAAATTAAGTTAGAGCTTATTTGTAAAATCGGCCCAACAGAAACTCTGCAACCACCATCCTTTGATCAACATGGCGGATAATAACACAGTTACTAGACAGCAGAAGATAACTCTGCAGAACCGCCATGGCGAAAAACTCGTGGGAGCGTTTCACGACACTGGATCGGTAGATGTTGTGATCTTGTGTCATGGTTTCCGATCCTCAAAGGAGTACAGAATCATGGTGAACATTTCTGATGCCCTGGAAAATAAAGGGATCAGCTCATTTCGGTTCGATTCTGCTGGAAATGGAGAAAGTGAAGGGTCATTCGAGTTTGGTAATTACTGGGGAGAGGTTGAAGATCTGCGTTCTGTAGTAGAGTACTTTACTCCGGGAATGAACCGAAATATTGCTGCAATTGTTGGGCATAGCAGAGGTGGCATGGTTGCTCTCTTATACGCGTCTAAATATCATGATATTTCCGCTGTGATTAGCATAGCTTCACGTTTCAAGTCACATGGAAATTTTGCAAATACAACAAATCAAATGATGAAGGATCTGCTGGAAAAAATCAAGAAAGAGGGATACACAGAGGAGAGCCTGATGGAGGAACTGAATATCAATATGCATGATCCCTGCCTTCAAATCGACAAAGATTGCAGGGTGTTAACGGTTCACGGATCCGCTGATGACATTGTCCCTGTTGACGATGCAATGGAATATGCAAAAGTCATACGGAATCATACATTACGCATCATTGAAGGAGCTGGTCATGGGTTTAATCAACAGCAGGATGAATTGGTTTCCGCGGTTTTGTCTTTCATTGAACAAGGCCAGCTAGCTAGCTGAATTTGAGGCCGGATTTTCTTGCTTGTCATGAAGTACTACTACTGAATCTGAATAACATTTCAGTTATGTAATCCGAAAGATTTTACAAATTTCCATATTTTATACTATGCATAACACGTTACAGATCGCTTCCTCATTGAAACCATTGGATATTGCTCCCCTGCAGGCTGCAAAGTTTTCTCTGTTATTAGCTTTTCCCCCTCATTTTTTTTGCCTGCCAGGAACAATTCAGCAGCATCAGCAGTTGTTTTGAGACAGCCATCATTGCTATATTTGGTAACTAATATCAACCAACTAGTCTTCAAACAGCTTAATGTACTCTATCCTTCTAATGAAGTCCGACAAAGTTCTGAATCATCTGATACGAGATCGTCACAATCAACTAGTTTCTTCTCCTCCATCATAGCAACCATATGTTTCTATTGAGATATCTTCCTACTTTATAGAGATAGGGATAGAGTTTTCCATATTAATCACATTGTTATATCGGTCTATATATGACCATCTCTTAAATCAATTCCAACATAATGAAAACATCTTTTACCATATTATTTTACATGGTACAGAGCAAACCCTAAATTTTTTTTTTTTGAGCCGTCAACCACCATTTTTTTTTCTTCTTTCTTCTCCGGCTCCATTTCCTTCTCCGCCGATATGGTTGAAACCTCCTCTACTTCCGGAGATCTTCCTCCTCCACCATCATCTGTCATCACTCAACCTCTCGTTGATATGAAATCCCCGTATTACATCCATCCCTCTGATCATCCCGGCTTGTTATTTGTCACCGATCCGTTAGTCGAAACCGGCGACAATTACTTTACCTGGCGGAATAGCATTTTAACTGCTTTTGAATCCAAAAATAAAGCTGGATTTCTGGATGGTACGATCTCCAAACCCCCTGTTACCAGCGATGATTTCCAAAGTTGGATCCAATGCAACGCTTTGCTCAAAGCCTGGATCACCAACGCAGTCTGCAAGGAACTCAAACCCGGCGCTGCAAACACGCATTCTGCCTTGGAAATTTGGCAGGATTTTCAAGAACGCTTCACGCAGGGAATCGCCCCTCGCCTATGATCCAAGCGTACCATTGCTTTGCTGCAGCAGGAGAAGGCTTCCACAAAGAACCTACTATGGCAAATCAAGTCTGTTTGGAACGAATTACGAATCTTCGTCCATTGCCGGTTTGTTCTGCTGCGTTTGTTCTTGCGGCGCAAGAAGCAACTGGAAAATATCCGTGAAGAAGAAAAGGTCTATGACTTTCTCATGGGGCTTGATGAAACCTACAAAACGGTGCGATCTCAAATCCTTAGTCTCGAACCGTTACCGACCTTGGGCGAGCTTATTCTATTGTTGTCGGTGATGAAAACAACGCAGCATCTCGATCAACGTCTTCCCGTCGCCGAAGCCACCACCCCGCTTGTCAAATCTCCCGCCGATTCTCGTCGTGACAACCGCCGCCGAGACGTTCGGGATAGGACCGATCAACGCAGCGGCAGTGGACCAAACAAACTTCTCGCTCGCATTGTCGCCGTACCAATCACACCGTCGATCATTGCTTCAATTGATCGGCTATCCATCCGATTGGCGACAGCCTCAACGCCAGCAGCTTCGCTCGCCATCGCGGCTTTCTCTTCGTCACGGACACCATGTCCCCTTCCTCAGCAGCAGCCGCCACTCTCACTCCATCACAGTTCAGCACTCCTTGCCATGTTGGGTAATCAGCCGCCCACGGTTCGCGCCTTCTTCCTCCACTCCGTCTTCCGGTAAGACAGATTGGGCAGCCGATTCCGGCGCCACTGATCATACTACTCATTTGATTCATTCCTTGAAGAATGTTTCTCGACCTTCTTCTCCTATTTTTGTCCAAATACCTAATGGTGCTAGGGTTCCGGTTTCCACAGTTGGTCATTTTCATTTTGACAAAAATTTAGTCTTAAAAGATGTTCTGGGGGTTCCTCAATTTCGATTTAATCTCGTTTCTGTTAGCAAACTCACTCGAGATTTAAATTGCTTCTTCACTTTTGGTCCTAATTTTTGTTTTATTCAGGACTTACGCTCGAGGAGGCTGATTGGAGTGGGTAGAGAACGTGATGGATTGTACTACTTGGAGCATTTGGATACTGGTGGCGGGCGGAACATTCTGTTGACACAAAAGGATAGCTCATCTACCTTATGGCATCATCGTTTGGGCCACATGCCAATCAGTCGCCTTTCTCTCATTCCAAGTATTTCATTTTCTAGTCCACAGTCAATTTCAATTTGTGATGCTTGTTGTCGAGCTAAACAGACACGTTTGCCATTTCCTTTGCATACCAATAAATCCCTACATACATTTGATTTGATTCATTGTGACATTTGGGGTCCTTATCATACCCCCTCTCATTCTGGAGCACGTTTTTTCCTTACTATTGTTGATGATTATAGTCGTGCTACTTGGGTTTTTTTAATGAAGCATAAATCTGAGGTTAAACGGTATTTATTGATGTTTTTCAATTGGGTTTTCACACAATTTCAAACTTCCATAAAGGTGTTTCGTACTGATAATGGTTTGGAATTTACCCATGTTGATTTGCAAACTCATTTTTTTGATTATGGTATGGAACGTCAAACTAGTTGTGTTCACACCCCTCAGCAAAACGGGGTTGTCGAACGCAAACACCGTCATCTTTTGGAAGTGGCTCGAGCCCTTCGGTTTCAAGCTCACCTCCCGATTGCCTTTTGGGGTGAGTGCATTCTCACTGCTGCATATTTGATTAACCGTATGCCCCTGTCTGTGATTAATAACAAAACCCCCTATGAGCTTTTATTTGGTATATCCCCTGAGTATACACATTTACGCACTTTTGGTTGTCTTTGTTATGCCCACGTTCCGGGCAAACCCCGAGATAAGTTTGATTCTCGTGGTAAACCTGGAATTTTTGTTGGCTATCCTCATGGTCAAAAGGGATATAGGATCTATGATTTGGACCGCAGGGTGATTTATTCTTCCCGTGATGTCCAATTCTTTGAAAACATCTTTCCTTATTCTCGAGGCCTCGATACTTCTAATCCCTCCACTGCTCAAGACAATGATCTTCTTGCCCACCAAGCAGCTTCCGATCCTATTCTTCCTACTCCACCTTTGAATGCTTCGCAGTCCTCTATAGCTGATGAACTTCCTACCTCAGTTTCTCCGGTTTCGTCCTCGCCCGCTGCTACTTCTGCATCTCCTCCACCAGTAAGGCGCACTCGTCAACTCTCTCGTCGCCTCACTGATTTTGACATCACTCTTCTGCCCTCATTGCTCCCTAACAATCCATCATCGTCCTCGACTCCTCCTTCAGATTCCTCGACGGTACATCCCCTCTCTCATACTTTATCTTATTCCCGCTTTAGTACTAATCATACAGCTCTCCTTGCGGCCATCTCTTCTGTTGATGAGCCCACTTCATTTTCTCAGGCCGTTAAACACCCTCATTGGTGTGCCGCTATGGCCCAGGAGATCTCTGCTTTAGAGGCAAATCATACTTGGACTCTTGTTTCTCTCCCCCCTGGGAAGCGCACCATCGATTCTAAATGGGTCTACAAGACCAAGTTCAAACCGGATGGTAGTATTGAACGTTACAAAGCCCGCCTTGTCACTAAAGGTTATACTCAAGTTGAAGGAATCGACTTTCATGATACCTTTGCTCCTGTTGCTAAATTAGTCACCTGTCACTGCCTTCTTGTTGCCTCTATTCGTCGTTGGGCCCTCCACCAGTTGGATGTCACCAATGCCTTTCTTCACGGCGATCTTCATGAGGAAGTCTACATGAAAATACCTCAAGGCTTTGCTAAAAAGGGGGAGACTCGGGTTTGTCGTCTCCAAAAATCTCTTTATGGTTTAAAACAAGCTTCGCGAAACTGGTACCAAAAGTTCACTCATTCTCTGCTTGAAGCGGGTTTTCGGGAGTCTACTTCTGACCCCTCGTTATTTCTCTCTTCCAATGCGGCCTCCTTTGTGGCCGTTCTCATATGTTGATGACATTATTGTGATGGAAATGATTCTCGAAGATTCTCGCACCTTAAACAAGATCTTCATCGTCAATTTCATATCAAGGATCTTGGTCCTCTCAAATATTTCCTTGGTATTGAAGTTGCTCGATCTTCCTCTGGCATCTTCCTAAGTCAGCGCAAATATACTTTGGATATTCTTGATGAAAGTGGTCTTCTTGGTTGTCGGCCTTGTTCTACTCCAATAGAACATCGCACCACCTTACTCTTGACTCGGGCGACCTCTTTTCGATCCCGCCGTTATCGTCGTCTCGTGGGTCGTTTACTCTATCTTACCATTACTCGTCCGGACATCAGTTATGCTGTGCATCTTCTCACTCAGTTCATGCATCAACCACGGGTTCCGCATTATGATGCTGCTCTTCGAATTCTCCGTTACTTAAAGAATGCACCCGGACAAGGCATTTTACTCCCATCTGTCAACTCTCTTCAGTTGCGTGCCTATTGCGATGCTGATTGGGCTGGTTGTTCAACCACTCGACGGTCCACTACTGGTTATATCGTATTTTTAGGTTCCTCACCTATCTCCTGGCGATCCAAGAAACAATCTGTGGTCTCCCGTTCTTCCGCTGAAGCCGAATATCGGGCAATGGCTACCACTGCTAGTGAGATTGTCTGGCTCAACCGTCTCCTTCAGGAACTTTGTGTCCGTCAGACGCATCCTATTCCCCTCTTTTGTGATAATCGTGCTGCCATTCACATTGCCTCTAATCCAGTTTTTCATGAACGCACGAAACACATTGAGATCGACTGTCATTTCATCCGTCAGCACATCCAGTCCAAACTCCTACTTCCTCATTCTATTTCTTCTACTTCTCAGTTGGCTGATTTTCTCACCAAGGCACTGGGACGTGATCAGTTTCATTCGATTCTTTCCAAGTTGGGCATTCTGGATCTTCATGCTCCAACTTGAGGGGGAGTATTGAGATATCTTCCTACTTTATAGAGATAGGGATAGAGTTTTCCATATTAATCACATTGTTATATCGGTCTATATATGACCATCTCTTAAATCAATTCCAACATAATGAAAACATCTTTTACCATATTATTTTACAGTTTCTCAGTTTTTGTCAATTATTGCAACGTACATATGCCCCTTTTCAACTCACCTCCCACAGTCCCACACCATAAATTAACCCACTTAAATTTTGAGTCAAATGTATCCCAATATTTAACCATTATCATGGTGAATCTGACATCAACCACATGTCATCGAACACCTTTGGCCCTTTTTCTAATGAAAATTTGACATGTTAAGGGATTAAGGCATCATTTTCGTTATTCTCAACAAGCATTTATCGTTTTTTTTTTTTTTGGTAGTGGAAAAAAAGTATATATGATCAGTTGATTCTAATTAATGAATAAAGTAGATATGATCAGTTGATTCTAATGAATTCTTTTTGTAAAGTAATTAAAAAACCAACATATACACTTAATTCTTGAATGAAGAAGGAAACGAAAAGTAGCTCGCAAACATATCATTATTTATTTTTTCATATGATTAACCCTTGCAATTTCTATATTAACCCTTGCAATTTTTTCATATAATACTACAAATTAACAAACAAAGGGAATTTCGTTAAACTATGCAATAAATGATTTTAGAAGTTAGTTCCTGCTACAGCCTTTTGATGTCAGGTTAGCAGTTTCATTCATTCATTTTTGGTGGGTTTGTTTTCCCCGTTTTTGGAAGTTATTCTCTGTTGGAGTATTTGGAAACGACAACACTCCATTAGAGTAAACGTCTATAAATATATTGCAATGACTAGGCTCCAAATTAGCTCCTTGGGATATGGGGAATCAAGTCTCCATCTTATCAACAAAATGATAGGTGTATTCTCAGGCTTAATCATTGTACCCTGGCTTCCAGGTCCAGTTCTCTTGCTAGATCATACAGGAATGCCGTCAGAAGTTTATTGAACATTATTCAGTTTCGAAATGGTGAAGTGGGAATGGAGATGAAGGGATTGAGGTTGTGAGGGATTGATGTTGTGGAGATTTGGAAATGATGAAATAGAGAATGGAGATGAAGATTGATGTTGGATTGGGGCGTCGGCTAAGAAGTGAAGAAAGGTTAAAGCTGAGGAGGGAAATTAGTAGGGTTTATAATATATATATATATATATATATATATATATATTAATAGTTCAAATTTTCGGGCGGGAACCGAACTAATTTTTTCCCGTCCGCACCCGCACCGAAAATTCTTTTTGGTTAATTAAGTAGAACTGAAAATCTCGAAATTCACTCGGTACTTAATATAAGACATTTTGATTTCTACTACATTTAAGCTAGTAAGCATTTTTTATTAACAAAAAAATTTTTAAAAATATATTTTCACATTCGTTGTGTTCTTTTAATTGTTATGAAATATTTTTAAAATTTTTTTTATTATAAATATGTATTAGGTGAAATCTAAGAAAAGTCAAAATGACTTGTAATAAAGTTCGGATGGAGTAGTTAAAAGGACTTGCAAAAGCGACCCCATCCACGTTCAGTTAGAGGTCTTTTGGCTTTGTTTGTTTCCTTTTTTTGTTGGTTTTTTCAGAATTTAATATTAATAACTGTCCCATCTCAACATAACTTTTTACATTTTCAATACACCTTTTTACATTCTCAATATAAAAAACACTTAAAAACATACACTAAGAAAAGGAAATAAACAGACCCTTAAGGTTTAATTATAGTTATTAATGATATTCTTTGCCGATTCATCATGAATAGATCGAATGACTAGATCTAGATGGTTCGAAAATGATATCCTTTGCCGATTCATCATGAATAGATCGAATGACTAGATCTAGATGGTTCGAAAATGCGCACAGTTGCACTTGTCCCGCAATCTATAATTTTTTATTTTTCTTAAAAAAAGTGGCATGATTTATTTGAAGTTGAGAGAGACAGTCCCACTTTTTTTAATGAGGAAAATGACCAAAATCTTGAATTTTGGCGTAATTGTATTTGGCACTTAAATTCCTTCAAATATCAACGATAATGTATACGCTAGTGTCGAATTTTGTTAACCATTTTGACCCATTATATCAAACATGTGCATATAGTTTACTGATGATCAGTCGTTGTGTAATTGTATGCATCATTTCAGTTGAACGACTCGAACATAAAAAATTCACCTTCTCAGCTTCTCTACCATTGTTATATACTCTTTCCGTCCCATAATTATTGTCCAGTTTAAGTTTTCTTTTTAAGTTCAAATTGTACTAAAAGTGAAATCTCAAAGTTGACAATAATTTTGGGACAAAGGTAGTGTATATATATATATATATATATATTTATTTACAGTCGGTATAGTATACAAGGAGTACAGCTTCTTAATAAAACATGAATTATATTATTGTAAAACAGACAAGACAGACAGTCTAGTCCCTGAAGCAAACATCAAAATCAATCAAACAAAACATAGGAAAAACTTGAAATAGATTATGGATTGGATCTAATCAGTCAAGCATGATTTGAGTTTAACCTCATGTTGGCATCTTGAAGGAAATCATTCATAGCATTGTACGAGGATCCTCCCACCTTTGTCGCATATTCTCCACTAACCTTAAGCTTTTTAGCCTTATCCCTGATGACCCTACCTTCTTTGGACTCCATGATAGTTCTCACCATTTCCTCAATCTCCATCCTGCAGACAACTTTCTTCGTCGGCAAAACCTTTGGCCGGACAGCCACGCCGAGCTCCTCCGCAAGCATGGTGGCGTTCTGTCTCTGCTCCGCATAAAGCGGCCACACAATCATCGTCACCCCGTTAGTCAGGCTTTCTAAAGCTGAGCTCCAACCGCAGTGTGTCAGAAACCCTCCGACCGACGGATGGCTCAATATATCCACCTGGGGAGCCCACTGTGGTACAATCTGGCCGATACATTTGGTCCGATCCAAGAAACCTTCCGGGAAAAAGTCCGGGCTGCCATCAGGACCGTTGCATGACGTGAGGTATGACCCATCTGAACATTCAGCCGGCGGTCGGACCACCCAAATGAACCGTTGTTGACTCAGCTCTAAGCCCCAAGCTAACTCGGTGAGTTGCTCAGCTGATAGAGTTCCGCCGCTCCCAAACGAGACATATAGAACCGATTCAGCCGGCTGCATGTCTAGCCACTTGGATAACTCACTCTTTAGACCATTATTCTTTTCAACTGGTCTAGTAAACGGTCCGATCGGATAAACCGGCATCTTCAGAAAATCATTCCCTCTGAACGCTTCTAGGGTAACCGGCTCAAGATCTTCCCAGGTGTTGATCAATATTCCATCCGCCTGCGTCAACTCCCTTCCCATCCGCAAGTACTCATTGTACTGCTGGTCATTCCTGTCCACCATCGGGTCGACCACGTCCTCTGGTCGAACCGAATTACACCCGGGAATCTTCAGCGGCTCGGTTTGATCAATGTATTGACCATCTATTTGTTCATGGAGGAACGGAGTATATGCTAGTAGGGCAGTAAACCATGCATTACTCGCAACGTACATGTACTTGGGCATTTTAAACTCAGCGGCTACGGCGAGAGCTTCGGTGGAAAAAAGGTCACCGATGAGCACGTCAGGCCGGTCTTTCATTCCAGCTATTGCGGAACGAACAGCGGGCAAGGCCTCGCGGGACATAATGCGTAATCGGGCCACTAGTTTAGTATTTGCGTCGACCAAGTGAGAGATGTCGACGGGTGGGATTTCGAGTATTTCGACGTCTGGGCCGGAAGCGAGGCTCAGGATTTGAGACTCCGGCCCGGAAATGCTGGTTTTGATGACTAGCACCGTGACTTTAACGTCGTGATGGGTGACTAGATGGTTTCCGATGACAAGAACCGGCATGAGATGACCCAAACCGGGACTTGCTAGAATAACCACGTGCAGTTTTTTGCTATTCATGATTGGAGAGAGAGAGGGAGAGAATAAAGAGTGATTGGAATACGAAACGAAGAGAAGAAAATGCACTGATTAGAAAGAGGATGGCATCTGATTTAATAGGGAAAATTTTGGACGCGAGGTGTACTGCCGCTATATGATTACATGTTCAGTATTCAGTCAATTATAGAGCATTGATAAAAAGAAAACAACATGGACTTTCTTAAATGAAATTTATTTCTTGAAGAAATCTCTATTCAACTTGGATTTCATATAGTATTAGTTGGAGGTTTACAGGGTTTAAGGCAAAAGAGGGAGGGGTCGCTTATTCATTCTCTGTCTAAGGCCCTTGACGATATAATTGAAATTTTCTCCATTTCTTAATTAAAAAAAGTGATTTAATCATTTTTTCGTTCTTTGGATATTTCTTTTTTTTTTTTCTTTTTCCTAATATATTTACATTATTCAACACTCAGAAGTAAATTAAGGTTTCGCATCAGTTGTTCCTTTGTTCTCTAGAATCTTTATAGTTTTAAACTGATCTCTAGCAAAGTGACGTGTTTTGTAATCATTCCGGGTACTTGTTACCTAGAAATGTAAATAAATCGAGCTTATGCATATCAACCTCTCATCAAGTGGTTGATGCATTATTTCTTTCCTTTGAGTCTTGCTTATCGATTAAAGTTAGTAGATATGATGTTTATGAATTTCATAATTTAACATTTGATATAATGCATTTTAATAGTTTAAGTATCATTATTTTAGTACTCCTTCCGTTCCGAAATTATTGTCTAATTTTGATTTTCATTTTTAGTTCAATTTGTACTAAAATTGAAAATCTAAACTGAATAATTATTTTGAAACGGAAGAAGTAACTTTTCCAAAAGAGAGAGAGAGAGATTGATTTCAGACGTACAACTGCAAAATGGTGTGGAGTGTTCTTCTTATATAATGCTTTTTCGTACAATTACATATTCTCATGCGGACTATTCTCTTAACAAGATTCTCAATTCGTATTATAGCGTCGTTGATGCGGCTAATTAGCATATACATTAATTCGAACATGTATTGGTGTTTGCTAGTGTTTGGCCTGCTTTGTTGCAAAAGAAAGAAAAATAAAAACTGCCTGCTTCGGCTGAGTGCTTCCATACCTTACGGGTTTATGAATCTGACCCGTGATAGACTTTTGGTAGTTCAAAAGAGGGCCCAACATGAGGAAATTTTGGGCCATTTGGCAACCGTCCGGCGGTTTCCTCCTCTGATCACCGTGGATGGAAATCAATTTGAAGAGTACAAATGATTCCACGGCCACTCTACGCCGGCCAAAAACAAAGGTGGTCCGTCCAGGGGGGCCAGAACAACCAAGAATTGCTGGGGAGGGAAGAAATTGAGAGATGCAGCCTATGATAGAAAAGGTTAAAACTTAAGAGACAAAAATTGAGTGCCGATTACAGAGTCTAAGGAATCAGGGTGCTTATTCCAAGGCCCTTGAGGATGTAAGATTCCATGTGTCAATAGCTAATTGAAATTTTCTCCATTTCTGAAAAAATTGAAGTTGCGATTTAATTGTTTTCTTTTTTTCTTTTCTATCGTTTTTGTTACTTGGTTTTATCATGTAATATTTCCATTCTTCAATATCAACATAATATGTTAATTTAAGGTGTCTTATCAGTATCAGTGGTGTATAATCTGTCTTATATCGTCACCGTGAAGAAAAATGACTAGGTATATAAGTACCAAAGACTATCCAACTCATTACCAATTGGTAGGGATGCTAATTCGAGTAGTTCGGTGCGGTTCGGGTGAATTCGGTTTAGGTTAATTGGATTTTTTTTTCCTCACAAGACCCGATTGAAACCAAACCGAAAATTGCATTATCCCGAACCGAACCGAACTGGATACACAATTGGATTTTTGGTTCGAGGGCCGATTAAACCGACACCAACACAACAATGAACTTGTGCTTACCACTAACAAAATTCATTTCAGATCGTGAGCATAAACATCACTTTTCTCTCCAAAAAATGAACAGAACAAATATTTCAAAGCTTGAAGAAACTTATTCGAATTAAAATTATTTCAAAAAGAAAAGAAAATTAGACAAATAATTCAGAAATGTTCAGATCTATAATCGCAAAATTGAAGATTTGAGAATTGGGTTTTGGGATTTCCATATTGGAGGAGTGATTTAAAAAAAAAAAAAAAAGGAGTTGGCCGAGAGATGGAGAAGAAAGAGAGAGATGGGGATCTGCGATGGTGACTTGGTTTGCCAAAAGATGGAGAAGAAAGAGGGAGATGGGGAGTTCTATATATGCGATGGTGACTTGGTTTGCCAAAAGATGGAAAGGAAAAAGAGAAAATAGGAGATGAAGAAGGAGTTTTTGATAAAAGAAAATGGCGCAGAAATAGGAGAAGAGAGAAATATAGGTTGAATTTTGGAGAAGAGCAAAATACTGATATCGGATTCTTAAAATTCGATTTTTATAGTAAATCGAATTCTCAAAATCCGACCTTTCCTTAATACGAAAAATTAATTACAGTAATCAAGATTAATAAAAGGTCGGATTTTTGAAATCCGACCTTGTCATATTAAAATATAATATTTTGAAGAAAAACACTTAGTTTTTTTTTTTTTAATTAAAATTTTGACCAAGGTCGGATTTTAGGAATCCGATTTTAATCAAAGGTCGGATTTCTGAAATCCGGATAAGGTTATATCGGATTTTGAGAATCCGGGTAAGGTAAGTTCGGATTCTCAAAATCCGATGTCTTTGTAAAACAAGTGAAAGGTCGGATTTCTTGGACAGAAACTTAGAAAAAAATAAAAGATTAGTTTCTAAACCAATTCCAACCTATCACAACAGCACCAAAACCAAATTTCACGCATAAAATTACCTATAAATACATTCTAAACACATCGTAACAAACATTAACAAATTCAAAAGCATTCAAATTCCAAAAATCATCTAAATTACAACTAATAAACATTAAAGAGTTTAAAATCATAAAAAACATCAAAATAACTCTTAATACAGTCCTACAATTGAATTACTTGGACGACCTTTTCTTCCTTCTAGCCCCGTCGCCGGGAGTATACTTCTCGGCCGGTTTACTAACCCTATCACTCTTGCAAACCTCGACCGTTTTCTTTTTCTTTTGGGAAGAAACACGAGGTAGAGGGGACTCTTCTTCTTCTTCTTCTCCTTCGCACTCAATGTAGTAATCCTCATCGCTTTCATTGCCTTCATCATCTTCTTGCATCGGAGTTGGATTGGGATGAACTATGATTATTCGATCTGAAATTCCCTATCGCTTCCTCCTTCCTCCTCCAGTAGGCTTCGATGTTGTTTTCTGCGTGAGCACAACAGGTTGACTTGACTCCGGTGGTCTTTTCTGAAGAACCTGAGTATCGTTCTGAGTGCTCATATCACATGGGCCTAAAGTCAGGGCACTGAAACTCTTGTCGAAGATTTGCAAGAGTTTATCCTCTAGACTACCACAGAGGCCTGGATCCCGTAAGGCTGCATCAGCGAGATGATATACGTCGCTGAGATTTGAAGACTGCAGAAAATTGAACCATGTTAATAAAGTATAAGATATAGCAAGAATTAAAAAATAGAAAAAGTTTAAAATAAAATATCGACATATATCTTACATAAAATCTCTCCAGAGATGAAGACGAGTGATAACCTTGTGCCAGAGAGCCGTATTGAGTGGGATCAGTCATAAATCTGATAGTCTTCTTTTGAAACCACGGCATGTAGTCTGCTGTGCACTGAGGACCTAGTTCTGGATCAACCAATTTATGAGGGACCATGTGCTTATCTCTCACATTCCAATGAGGTTGTACCTCGGTGTGTTTTTGCACCCAATCATCATATGCCTTTCCAGTCCCAAGGCATCCGTGGTGTATCGCATTCTAGCGATCAGTGTCATTGATTAACGGGTACTCTGGCACAGTTTGCTTACACTGAAATTGATGAAGGACCCGATTAGGCACGTATGGTTCTCTGATGGCTTAACAAAAGATCCACGTCCTACAGAGGTAGATATGAACCCCCGCTTTACATAAATCAGGGAGAGCATCGATGAAGGGAGTGCACGGAGTCCATAAAAACTGGCCAAAATTAAAAAATTAGTAAAAAAAAATAGAGAAAAAAATAAAAAGGAATTTTATCAAGTAATAAAAATCAATACTTACATCCCCATCCCTTAGGCTAGATAACTGATCCTTGATGCCAGCAACACAATGAGCGGCGATGTTCGCTTTGGATTTTGGGCATTTCCACCTATGAAGGAAAAGAATTCTAGTTAAAAAACTATTGTTTTGAGACATAGTAGGTAATAAAAATTAATAAAATAAATCTATAATTACCTATTGCCTAGTGGAGCGTCCGACACCAAGTAACTTTGATCTTTAACCTTCCTCTTCGGTTGAAGTCTTAGGATACGCTCCCAAACCCATAACTGAAATTTTAAATCAAACAGAAAAGGCACAAATGTGAATAACAAACAAAAATATAATAAAAAAATATAAATAAACAAATGAACAAAAACATTTACCTGCATCAGCATATAGCATCCGGTAATGTCTTTCTTCTCGGGGCTCGGAAGCTTGACACAAAGCAAAGTACAACTTCGCCAACAAAGCTGACCCCCAACTGTAGGTAGCATAGACATCCAAATCCTCTAGTATTGTCAGGATCCAAAGAAGTATTTTGTTTCCCGTATTGTCAGGAATCAAGAAACCTCCAATCAGTAGTAAAAGTAAGGTACGGGCCCTCTGTGTATAGGCCTCTCTTGGAGCATCTTCTGGGATCGAAAGTTTACACTTGTTGATTAAACACTCTGCATAAATCTTATTCCCATCAAAGAAATCACTAACGGGTGTAATTCCCAAAAATCTAAAGCACATCGCCATCCACTGTGCCATAGAATTCTCAGGTGTCATCCCCTCCACAGGCTTACCATCCACTTTCAAACCTAATAACACCTCAACGTCTTCCAGAGTGATAGTGACCTCG